AAAATGCAGATGTTGTATACACAGACTTTGCAAAGGCATTCGACAAATGTGACCATGGAGTGATAGCATACAAAATGAGTGTGGGGAAATCTGGCTCTATTTTAATACTAATAAAATGTATAATTCTATATATGCAAATAATGATTAAATCTCGATAGATAGCTCGAAGGATCATAAAGTATGTTAAATGAGAGAACCAGTGGTTTATGGGTCTCTATGATTATATGTAATTAAATTATATTAAGCAACGAACCGAATGTTCTATACTTTCTAGAACCAGTTTCCCATGACACATTTTGGGGGGGGGGTTACTCTATGAGATTAATCTATGTGCAACATATATTGTGTGAAAATAATAATGATAGATACATAGCTAATGATAAAAAAAATGTAATGCAAGAAATGCTACTGAATATTAAAATTCAAATCATGTATCTGATTAATATACAATGATTAGAAATGCTTGACTCTCAGTAATTAAGATACTATCTACAATGAAAAGTGATTAAATCTCAGCTGTGACAGAGGGACGTAGGTGGAGTCCAATCTCTACAACAGTCTGGAAACAGCTTGAGATAGTGATCCTTGGAACACGTGAGTATATGACAGTCAAGCGCTTTCTCAGTGGTGTTGCACCAGGCTGCAATAATTAAATTCCATAATTTCCACTCCAAATTAGTATTCACACACAAATGCAATATCTAAATATTTGGAGGGGAGAAAACAGCACTTACATGGGGTTTATTTTATCCCCTGCAGCGTCACGACAGGGCACATAATGAACATATTTAAGAGCTCGTTAAATAGAACAAAAGAGGTAAAAATGCCTGCCGAACTGGTGTCCGTAATTCTGGTAAGCTGCGTCCTCAATCTGAAGCCCGATGATGTACGGATGCTGGTTAGATTGTAAGATATGTAAGGACCGCTTCGGAACACCGTGCTGCCAGTGTATCTAATATGGCGAGAGTCCCTCCTTCCTCCTCGGGGGACGCGCATGCGCGATAGGTCTCAGTGGGGGGCCCGAGCATAAATTATATTTATTCATTAAAGCTAAAAAGGGAAGAGAGGTGTTTATGAAAACTTTTTATATATTAATCAAACACTTTATGTGGTGATGTTTGATTCTCACAGTGCAGGTCAGTTAATGTAGACTGCACAAATAAAACGAGAATTCTTTGGAGGTGGAAATTATTTTAGATTATGATATTTACTAGAAGAGCTATCAACCTGGGTTAAAGAATTCCAGTAAACTTTTGTATACTAAATAAAGTAAACCTATTACTAAATAATTATCCTTGATAAAGGTAAGTAAATGGTTGGACTTCTATTAGATCTACAGATAAGTGAAAATTTATTCTCCGTGGATGGCTGACGCAACACTGCACAATTCTAGGAGAAATTACATGATGTTCCACATCCTAATGCAGTGAATTCTATGATACTAAACTACAAATTAGTAGTGTTAGTTAACTATTACACTTAGTACAGGAAATGCATCCCATTGTACTAAGGATTAGTAAATGAGTATTAAATGATTATGAAACCTAATACAGGAAATGCATTCTGTTGTATTAGGGATGAAAATAACTTGGAAATTTCCAACAATGAGGTCAATGGGACTAACTGGTAAAGTAGGACGCTGGATACTCAATTTCCTGTCTAATAGAACACAAAGAGTAACAGTCAATCAAATAAAATCGAGTGTAAGCGCAGTTAAAAGCTCTGTACCTCAGGGTACAGTCCTGCCAGTCCTGCCAGGGTACCACTGCTTTTCCTTATTCTCAGGTCAGATATAGACAAAAATACAAGTCACAGCTTCGTGTCATCCTTTACAGATGATACAAAAATCAGAATGAAAATTACCTCTGCTGAAGACATTGAAAAATTACAAGCAGATATCAACAAAGTTTTCGATTGGGCAGCCGAAAATAACATGATGTTTAACAGTGATAAATTCCAGGTACTCAGGTACGGCAAAAATGAGCATCTGAAACATAATACAGGGTGCAAAACACAGTCGAATGTGCCCATAGTAGGAAAATAGCATGTCAAGGATTTGGGAATAATGATGTCCGACGACCTAACGTTTAGGGAGCATAACCAAGCAAATATTGCGGCAGACAGAAAAATGATCGGATGGATTACGAGAACTTTCAAATCCCGGGATCCCATCACAATGGTTGTACTCTTCAAGTCACTTGTGTTGTCCCGTCTTGAGTACTGCTCAGTACTCACTTCCCCCTTCAGAGCAGGAGAGATTGCTGAAATAGAGGGAATACAGAGAACATATACGGCACGCATAGACGAGATAAAACACCTAAATTATTGGGATCGTCCTGTGTGTGTGTATGTGGTGTTCGTGTGTGTGTATGTGGTGTTCGTGTGTGTGTGTGTGGTGTTCCTGTGTGTGTGTGTGGTGTTCCTGTGTGTGTGTGTGTGTTCCTGTGTGTGTGTGTGTGTGTGTGTGTGTGTGTGTGTGTGGTGGTATTGTGTGTGATGTTCCTGTATGCGCTCCTATGCGTGTGTGCGCCTGAGTAATGCTCGTGTGTAGTGATCGTGAGTATGGTGTGGGGGTGACAGTGGGTTTCGGGGTGACTGTGGGGGTGACAGTGGGTGTGGGGGTGACAGTGGGTGTAGGGGTGACAGTGGGTGGTGGTTCAGAACCAGTGGGGGGCGAGGTCCCCCTTGTGAGTTTGTCATGCACGCGTATTGATTGCCGCCCGGAGGGGAGGGTGGGGGGAGGTTGCTGTAGGGGTAGTCTAGGACCCAAGGAGGGGTAATGGGGCCAGGGAGGGGTGATGGGGCCAAGGAGGGGTGATGGGGCCAAGGAGGGGTGATGGGTGCGGGTTGTTTATGGGAAAGGAGATTGGGTGCGGCTGGGGGGGGTAGGGTAACGGAAGCTAGACATAGGGAACACAGGATGGCCAAAACTTGTTCAAGAAAAGGGTGTTGGTCCGGGAAGGTTGGGGGGGTGGGGGTCATTGGGGCCAGGGTGAGGGTGAAGATTACAGGTCAGGGTGAGAGTGAAGATTACAGGTCAGGGTGAGAGTGAAGATTACAGGTCAGGGTGAGAGTGAAGATTACAGGTCAGGGTGAGAGTGAAGATTACAGGTCAGGGTGAGAGTGAAGGAGGTCACAGGTCAGGGTGAGTTTTTTTTTCTACCACAGACGTGGCCACACATTTACAATGCTAACCAGCATATATACATTTTCTTCTGTCCTCCATGGACAGGGTTAGAGAAGTGTTAAACATATAGTTCAAGGGTTTATTGAACAATCAACCACAGAAGGTGATTCGTTGCTTTTAAAATGCTAAGCTAACTTACATACGTAAATACATAGATACACAGATTTACGTATGCCCTACATAAAGTGTTAGATGTGTCTTTTTACATAGTGTCATTAATGTGCATTTACAAAGGTGAAATGTAATTCTGATCAGCTTCCATATATACTTTATATCCATACATATACATATACACACACACATATACATACATATATACACACACACACATGCATTCACATACATTTGTCTCTTTTACTCTGACAGGGTGAGGTGGCTGATAAAGAAACTAGTGTGCAATTAAGCACTTAATCACTGAAGGTGATGAAGGTGCTTTTACAAGCTCAGGTTATATAGTTACATCATATATATACATTGTATAATTGATACATTACATGGTTAATCTTGGGTACAAGTCCAATATATCAAGTGTTCCAGTACTCATATAGTAACTACAGAGTTCAGCATACCTTAGCCCAGGAGGGCGAAAGTCAGTCAATATGGAACAGTCTACAATATAATGTTCAAGAGAGTGCATGTTTTCTCTTTCACAAAGTTGACACATTGTGTACTCGACATTTGGGTTTTGAGAAAGCTGCCAGATACGTCTATATCCCAGGCGTATTCTGGCCACTATAACATCACATTGCCGGGTTCTTGTTCTATTAGTCCCATATGTGAATGTCTCCTCACGATATCTATCATAATATTTAATGCTACAACTTTCAGGTCTTTGTGAATTTGTTAGGTCGGTGAGATCTTCATTAGATATTTGTTTAAGTATTCTCTTTGTCACTGCTAATGAAACACCCATATCAATTTCTACCACTGGTTTTCTGCAGGCTGTCTTAGCAAGCATATCAACAGTGTCATGCCTTGAGATGCCAACACCTCTGGAGGCCAGGCAGTAACACCTCTGGTGGCCAGGCAGTAACACCTCTGGTAGACAGGCAGTAACACCTCTGGAGGCCAGGCAGTAACACCTCTGGTAGACAGGCAGTAACACCTCTGGTAGACAGGCAGTAACACACCTGGTGGCCAGGCAGTAACACCTCTGGTAGACAGGCAGTAACACCTCTGGTAGACAGGCAGTAACACCTCTGGTGGCCAGGCAGTAACACCTCTGGTGGCCAGGCAGTAACACCTCTGGTAGACAGGCAGTAACACCTCTGGAGGCCAGGCAGTAACACCTCTGGAGGCCAGGCAGTAACACCTCTGGAGGCCAGGCAGTAACACCTCTGGAGGCCAGGCAGTAACACCTCTGGAGGCCAGGCAGTAACACCTCTGGTGGACAGGCAGTAACACCTCTGGAGGCCAGGCAGTAACACCTCTGGAGGCCAGGCAGTAACACCTCTGGTGGACAGGCAGTAACACCTCTGGAGGCCAGGCAGTAACACCTCTGGAGGCCAGGCAGTAACACCTCTGGTGGACAGGCAGTAACACCTCTGGTAGACAGGCAGTAACACCTCTGGAGGCCAGGCAGTAACACCTCTGGTGGACAGGCAGTAACACCTCTGGTGGACAGGCAGTAACACCTCTGGAGGCCAGGCAGTAACACCTCTGCTGGACAGGCAGTAACACCTCTGGTAGACAGGCAGTAACACCTCTGGAGGCCAGGCAGTAACACCTCTGGAGGCCAGGCAGTAACACCTCTGGAGGCCAGGCAGTAACACCTCTGGAGGCCAGGCAGTAACACCTATCCCTTGACACACAGGTGACCGTCATCATCAAGGGCCACGACGTGTGCGGGTCGGAGCGGACGTACGAAGCGTCGACGGACGCCCTCCCCCGAGCCTTCGTGGACGGGAGCACGTGGTCAGGCGGGGCGGCCCACCACGCCCACGTGCAGGTGGTGGAGCAGCTGCCGGGCGAGCACACCCTCATCACCATCTCCTACATCAACGCCACCGTCGCCGTCAGGAAGATCGGCAGGTGGGTGCCGGGGGCGGCGCTTGGAGTTGTATCTGGGGGGTTTAAGACAATATGTTTATTACTAGTGTTTATCTGTCCTCTCTCCCCTCCCCATGCATATTTCTGGCAACCTGTCGTCTAAATATGATGGTACTTGTTGTAGGTATTGCTCGAGCGTACACAAGTGGACTGCTGTGTCCACTTGTGTACAATAGGTGGATAATATATCAAATATTTGGATTAATATATATACAATCTTAGGACTAATATATACAATCTTAAGACTAATGTAATGCATCATTGTGGTTTGCTAGGCTTAGGACACCACCAGGCCCTACAGGTCACACCACAACACCACCAGGTCCTACAGGTCACACCACAACACCACCAGGCCCTACAGGTCACACCACAACACCACCAGGCCCTACAGGTCACACTACCAGGCCCTACAGGTCACACCACAACACCACCAGGCCCTACAGGTCACACTACCAGGCCCTACAGGTCACACCACAACACCACCAGGCCCTACAGGTCACACCACAACACTACCAGGCCCTACAGGTCACACCACAACACTACCAGGCCCTACAGGTCACACCACAACACTACCAGGCCCTACAGGTCACACTACCAGGCCCTACAGGTCACACTACCAGGCCCTACAGGTCACACCACCAGGCCCTACAGGTCACACCACAACACCACCAGGCCCTACAGGTCACACTACCAGGCCCTACAGGTCACACCACAACACCACCAGGCCCTACAGGTCACACTACCAGGCCCTACAGGTCACACCACAACACCACCAGGCCCTACAGGTCACACCACAACACCACCAGGCCCTACACACCACCAGGCCCTACAGGTCAACACCACCAGGCCCTACAGGTCACACCACAACACTACCAGGCCCTACAGGTCACCACAACACTACCAGGCCCTACAGGTCACACCACAACACTACCAGGCCCTACAGGTCACACCAGAACACTACCAGGCCCTACAGGTCACACTACCAGGCCCTACAGGTCACACTACCAGGCCCTACAGGTCACACCACAACACCACCAGGCCCTACAGGTCACACACTACCAGGCCCTACAGGTCACAACACTACCAGGCCCTACAGGTCACACCACAACACCACCAGGCTACAGGTCTACAGGTCACACTACCACCAGGTCCTACAGGTCACACCACACCACCACCACCAGGTCACACTACCAGGCCTACAGGTCACACTACCAGGCCCTACAGGTCACACCACCAGGTCCTACAGGTCACACAACACAACCACCACCAGGTCCTACAGGTCACACTACCAGGCCCTACAGGTCACACCACCAGGTCCTACAGGTCACACCACAACACCACCAGGTCCTACAGGTCACACTACCAGGCCCTACAGGTCACACCACCAGGTCCTACAGGTCACACCACAACACCACCACCAGGTCCTACAGGTCACACTCACACCAGGCCCTACAGGTCACACCACACACCACCAGGCCCTACAGGTCACACCACACACCACCACTACAGGTACCAGGCCCTACAGGTCACACCACCAGGCCCTACAGGTCACACTACCAGGCCCTACAGGTCACACCACAACACCACCAGGCCCTACAGGTCACACCACAACACCACCAGGCCCTACAGGTCACACCACAACACCACCAGGCCCTACAGGTCACACTACAACACCACCAGGCCCTACAGGTCACACCACCAGGCCCTACAGGTCACACCACCAGGCCCTACAGGTCACACCACAACACCACCAGGCCCTACAGGTCACACCACCAGGCCCTACAGGTCACACCACAACACCACCAGGCCCTACAGGTCACACCACCAGGCCCTACAGGTCACACTACAACACCACCAGGCCCTACAGGTCACACCACCAGGCCCTACAGGTCACACTACAACACCACCAGGCCCTACAGGTCACACCACCAGGCCCTACAGGTCACACCACCAGGCCCTACAGGTCACACCACCAGGCCCTACAGGTCACACCACAACACCACCAGGCCCTACAGGTCACACCACAACACCACCAGGCCCTACAGGTCACACCACCAGGCCCTACAGGTCACACTACAACACCACCAGGTCCTACAGGTCACACCACCAGGCCCTACAGGTCACACCACCAGGCCCTACAGGTCACACCACTGCTGTAAGCCACCTAACACATTCTCCCTACCACCAGTCATTGTCCAGTATATCAGCCTAAACTCATTATACTGGCTATACCCATTATGCTCCCTGTACTAATTGCGTTCTCTTCTCATTACATTCCCTGCACTCATTATAATACCCTTTAACCTTAAAATTGCTAAGCTGTATTCCCACTTGGAGATGGTAGGTACAACAATGGCCTGCTTCATGCAGGTCAGTGTTCGATTCATGATGATGCAAGTGGATGAGCACCGTTCCTTCCATCCTTCCTATCCCAGACACTTATCCTCGTATCCGTTCTAGGTACCATTTAGTCATGATGGCTTAGTGGTTTCTCCTGATAATTGCTTGCGTTAAAATCTTACATCATGGTGACTCAGAAAAAGTATTGAAAACCCATATGGATCAATCACATATGGCAATTGGAGCACATGGGAAACTGCAGATAGCGATTGTATCAGTGTAGGGGTTTAACATTCCACTCTATGAGTGTACTCATCACACCACTCTTTGTCGTATCCTTGATCTCAGCAGAGAAACAAAGATACTAAATCGGCGCCCACCCAGACAGGAAGGAGCTGTTCGCAAGATGCAACTGTCTGATGGCTTCCAGCTTGACTATGTAAACAGATTCAAATACCTTGGCCTTGAGGTGCCACTGTATGGTCCTGTTGTATTCAGACTCTGTCGTCAGTATAAAGAGAGGCTCCGATCTCTCAAGGCTGTTGCAGGTTATCACTCAGGCTATGGTGCCAATGTCACAATTGTCAAAATGATGTACCTTGCATACATCAGATCTTTAGTGGATTACGCTGCGCCTCTGCTTGTTTTGATGCCTGAAAGAAAGCTTGGAGGGTTTGACAGATTGCAGAACGAAACCTTGAGGATAATTCTTGGGTGCCCTCGTACCACAAAGATACTTAATATGAGGAAGGAACTTAATATTCCGAGCGTTGTTGACCGTGTTACTGAAATTAACTGTCAAATTCGTGTAAAAACGCTTTGGGTTAGGACGAGGCTAACTCATCCTAACCCTTGCACAGAAGCCCTCCAGAATTTCTTTATTAAAGTCCAACATTGTTCCAAATGGATAACTAAAATTGGAACTGAACTCAGAACGTATCAGATTTATAATTTGTACCAAGAGAGACGAGAACGGCTGTTTCCTGCACCGCGGGAGATTACACCCTTTCAAATTTTAATCCCTCCCTTTCCACCCAAGAAGCAAATTAGAGATCAGCCCAAGCTTCATCTTGAGGCAAAGCTCAACGCCTTAAGCCATATTGATGATCTGTCCACAGAGCATTCTCTCTCTCAAATCATATACACTGATGGTTCCCTACACCGCCCCACGGGTGCAGCTGGAAGTGCAGTTGTTCTGACAATGGGCGATGGCTAATATTTTGAGTGGGGAGTCCGTATAAACAACTGGGCCTCTACCCTTCAGACCAAACTATTCGCCTTGCTCCTTGCACTGAAATGTGTACACATCCCCAAACTTGATGCTTTAATTGTAAGTGACTCTTTATCAACCTTAATTGCTCTCAACTCTTTAAGACATAACTGTAACATGCTCGTGTCTGAAGCTAGACACAAATACAACAAAATTATTAATAATAATAACAGAATCCATTTCATGTGGGCTCTATCTCATGTTGGCCTCCGAATGCATGATAGAGCTGATGAGTTAGCCAAATAATCTGCCTTTAAAGGAGAAATTGAATATAACTTTGGATTGTCAATGAGCAGTCTGAGAGCAGCAGTACACCGAGAACTTTAACAAACTCTTGTAGATCTGAAGCAAAGTGAAATCGACACCAGTAATTCCATCTATCATCATACTATCATGCAAGAGAAGCCACACATCTATAGTTCATCCAATAAAAATCAGCAGACTTCTAGATGTTACTACTGCTCGGCTTAGACTCGGTTACAAGTATCTCTGGGAGTTCTCATTATCTGCCGATGTAGACCTGACCAAATGTAAACTGTGTCAATAAAATTATTCGCACACCCTCCGTCACTATGTGATGGAGTGCGAAAAGATACGTGAATTTAGAGACAATTCTATAGAGACAATTCTATTGGAACACAAATGTTCCAGATATGTGTAAATATTTCATTTAAAATGATCTGCTACCAAAAATCTTAGCCAAATATCCCCAGTTTGATAACTGTAGGTAGTAACTAAGTGATTGTAACCTATCCACCGCTGCCCACTGGATGGGGGGCGGTGTGCAGGACAAACATATCAATTGTGACACTAGCTCTCCACATATGTCAGTTGCTTGATTTAGAAACTGTACTTGTGGTCGATCTCGAACCCATTGTTGATATATATTGAATTTTGTAACTTGCTTAGCTAAATGAATTGTGGGGTTCAGTCCCCGAGCCCATTATGTGCCTCTGTAACCCTTTCCACTACCGCCTAAAGGATGCGTATGGGGTACATAATAAATGAACTAAACTAAAAGTTTGGGTTACCTCATTTGAATAGCTGTATGCAATCAAATCATCAATAGTAGCTACTTATACTAACTTGAATCCCTCTGCATCTCTATGCACACTGATATTGATCCTGATCAAAATCTTCTGTCTCATATCTATACCAACCAGCACATTGATCATCATTATTGTAAGTATTTCACAGCACACCAGGCTAAAAACAAACTCCAAAATAGCACCTATCTATCAGTTTATAACCAAAATGTTAGATCACTTGGTAAACATTTTGACGATTTAAATGCACTACTCACAGCACTAGGTACTAACCTATCGTTCATTATTTTAACAGAAACTTGGCTAAATAAAGACTATACCCAACTCTACAACTTAGCTGGTTATAAAGCCATTCATAACTGTAGGCCTAATAAAAAAGGTGGTGGCACAGCTATATATTACCGAGATACATTTATCTGCAACAGTGTTATTAGTGACAGAGATGACTACTGTGAATATACTTTTGCTCAGTTTACAATTAAATCCCTTAAATCCTCTTTGACTATTGGAGCCATCTATAGATTTCCCAATACTAACATAGCTTCTTTCTCAGACAACCTAAGGAATCTTATTATAAACAACAATCTCAACAAAAACCACATCATTCTGGGAGGAGACTTTAATATTGACCTGGGTCAACAAAACTGCTCTCAAGTTGACTATTTCCTTAACAGCATGAACTCCTGTATGCTAATCCCCACTATCACCAAACCTACCCGAGTCACTCAAACATCAGCCACTACCTTGGACCACATATGGACAAACATAACAGCTCCCCTTGTATCTGGTATAATCTACGACAGAACAACTGACCACTATCCTACCTTTCTCATAGCGAACATGGACATAACACCACCAAAAAGCAAGAAATTTTCATTTAGGCTACACAGTGAATCAGCTTTAGACAATCTTACAGAGGCACTTCACAATATTAACTGGGATTCTGAATTCAATAATACCCATGATATAAATTCATTAGCTAACCTCTTCCTCTCCAAAACTCTAAGCCTCTACAACCTTCATTGTCCCCTTCTTACAAAGCAAGTAACTGACAAAAGATTAAACAATCCATGGCTCACAAATGGCATTCTCAACTCAATCAACAAGAAACATGATATGAAAAGAAAGTTAGGATTGGCCTAGTTTCAAAGGAAGTAGCTAAAAGGTACTCATCAATGCTTACCAGTATCATAAGAAAGGCAAAACTTGCATATTATGTGAATAGATTCAATGAAGCAAAAGGCAACATTACAGGTCACACCACCAGGCCCTACAGGTCACACCACACCAGGCCCTACAGGTCACACTACCAGGCCCTACTGGTCACACCACAACACCACCAGGCCCTACAGGTCACACCACAACACCACCAGGCCCTACAGGTCACACCACCAGGCCCTACAGGTCACACTACAACACCACCAGGTCCTACAGGTCACACCACCAGGCCCTACAGGTCACACCACCAGGCCCTACAGGTCACACCACTGCTGTAAGCCACCTAACACATTCTCCCTACCACCAGTCATTGTCCAGTATATCAGCCTAAACTCATTATACTGGCTATACCCATTATGCTCCCTGTACTAATTGCGTTCTCTTCTCATTACATTCCCTGCACTCATTATAATAACCTTTAACCTTAAAATTGCTAAGCTGTATTCCCACTTGGAGATGGTAGGTACAACAATGGCCTGCTTCATGCAGGTCAGTGTTCGATTCATGATGATGCAAGTGGATGAGCACCGTTCCTTCCATCCTTCCTATACCAGACACTTATCCTCGTATCCGTTCTAGGTACCATTTAGTCATGATGGCTTAGTGGTTTCTCCTGATAATTGCTTGCGTTAAAATCTTACATCATGGTGACTCAGAAAAAGTATTGAAAACCCATATGGATCAATCACATATGGCAATTGGAGCACATGGGAAACTGCAAATAGCGATTGTATCAGTGTAGGGGTTTAACATTCCACTCTATGAGTGTACTCATCACACCACTTTTTGTCGTATCCTTGATCTCAGCAGAGAAAACAAAGATACTAAATCGGCGCCCACCCAGACAGGGAGGAGCTGTTCGCAAGATGCAACTGTCTGATGGCTTCCAGCTTGACTATGTAAACAGATTCAAATACCTTGGCCTTGAGGTGCCACTGTATGGTCCTGTTGTATTCAGACTGTCGTCAGTATATAGAGAGGCTCCGATCTCTCAAGGCTGTTGCAGGTTATCACTCAGGCTATGGTGCCAATGTCACAATTGTCAAAATGATGTACCTTGCATACATCAGATCTTTAGTGGATTATGATGCATCTCTGCTTGTTTTGATGCCTGAAAGAAAGCTTGGAGGGTTTGACAGATTGCAGAACGAAACCTTGAGGATAATTCTTGGGTGCCCTCGTACCACAAAGATACTTAATATGAGGAAGGAACTTAATATTCCGAGCGTTGTTGACCGTGTTACTGAAATTTACTGTCAAATTCGTGTAAAAACGCTTTGGGTTAGGACGAGGCTAACTCATCCTAACCCTTGCACAGAAGCCCTCCAGAATTTCTTTATTAAAGTCCAACATTGTTCCAAATGGATAACTAAAATTGGAACTGAACTCAGAACGTATCAGATTTATAATTTGTACCAGGAGAAACAACAACGGCACTTTCCTGCACCGTGGGAGATTACACCCTTTCAAATTTTAATCCCTCCCTTTCCACCCAAGAAGCAAATTAGAGATCAGCCCAAGCTTCATCTTGAGGCAAAGCTCAACGCCTTAAGCCATATTGATGCTCTGTCCACAGAGCATTCTCTCTCTCAAATCATATACACTGATGGTTCCCTACACCGCCCCACGGGTGCAGCTGGAAGTGCAGTTGTTCTGACAATGGGCGATGGCTTATATTTTGAGTGGGGAGACCGTATAAACAACTGGGCCTCTACCCTTCAGACCAAACTATTCGCCTTGCTCCTTGCACTGAAATGTGTACACATCCCCAAACTTGATGCTTTAATTGTAAGTGACTCTTTATCAACCTTAATTGCTCTCAACTCTTTAAGACATAACTGTAACATGCTCGTGTCTGAAGCTAGACACAAATACAACAAAATTATTAATAATAATAACAGAATCCATTTCATGTGAGCTCTATCTCATGTTGGCCTCCGAATGCATGATAGAGCTGATGAGTTAGCCAAATAATCTGCCTTTAAAGGAGAAATTGAATATAACTTTGGATTGTCAATGAGCAGACTGAGAGCAGCAGTACACCGAGAACTTCAACAAGATCTTGTAGATCTGAGGCAAAGTGAAATCGACACCAGTAATTCCATCTATCATCATACTATCATGCAAGAGGAGCCACACATCTATAGTTCATCCAATAAAATCAGCAGACTTCTAGATGTTACTACTGCTCGGCTTAGACTCGGTTACAAGTATCTCTGGGAGTTCTCATTATCTGCCGATGTAGACCTGACCAAATGTAAACTGTGTCAATAAAATTATTCGCACACCCTCCGTCACTATGTGATGGAGTGCGAAAAGATACGTGAATTTAGAGACAATTCTATAACAAATGTTCCAGATATGTGTAAATATTTCATTTAAAATGATCTGCTACCAAAAATCTTAGCCAAATATCCCCAGTTTGGTAACTGTAGGTAGTAACTAAGTGATTGTAACCTATCCACCGCTGCCCACTGGATGGGGGGCGGTGTGCAGGACAAACATATCAATTGTGACACTAGCTCTCCACATATGTCAGTTGCTTGATTTAGAAACTGTACTTGTGGTCGATCTCGAACCCATTGTTGATGTATATTGAATTTTGTAACTTGCTTAGCTAAATGAATTGTGGGGTTCAGTCCCCGAGCCCATTATGTGCCTCTGTAACCCTTTCCACTACCGCCTAAAGGATGCGTATGGGGTACATAATAAATGAACTAAACTAAAAGTTTGGGTTACCTCATTTGAATAGCTGTATGCAATCAAATCATCAATAGTAGCTACTTATACTAACTTGAACGATTTGTCAAGCTAGTGCACTCCACATTCAGCTTTGTTCCATGATCATCATCATAGTTAATTTCTTCCTTAGGTACCTGACTGTGCAAGTAACTTTGCCGGAAAAATTGCTGAGAGACGTGGAAGGTGGTGATGAGTTGCAGTTGTGTCTCCAGGGGTGTCCGGTTCGTGAACTCCTCGACAAGGCAGGCATAGCATCAGCTGTTGCTATGAGCAAAGACAAGGTAAAGTTTAATTGCTAACACATCACATATTCCAAGATTTCTTCAGTGTTTATATTTTAACAACAATATTTGCATGAGTGACCTGGGTTCCTTCAGCTAAACCAATTTTGTTAAACAGTTGTTAAACAAACAACTTGTTTAACAACTTAAAAGTTGTTAAACACATGGGGCAAAATCTTACTGAACGACCATGAGGGGTAATAAATACTCATACTCCGCCCAAGTAAAACAAACAAGCAACACTCAGTGGGCCAGCCAGAGGCTTAGGGCCCGCGCAGGAATATCCCTGCAACTGGAAAATGTGCAAAGACATGCCACTAAATGGCTCCCAGAACTGAAGGACAAGAGCTACGAGGAGACATTAGAGGCATGGCTGGTTTAACAGGCTTCCTGCTCCTCACAATGGGGAAACTAATCCAGTATAAATGTAAGATATATATACCGTGCTCTATTTCATAAAAGTGTAATAAACAACAAATTCAACTTCCATAGTCATATGCAAAATATAACTAAAAAAAAAAAGTTTCTAAACCAGTAGGCATATTCTCCAAAATCGGATACTGCATACCTTGTTCGCCCTGCCTTAGTAACTCTGCATTATCCATATCTCACCTATGTTATCTGTGCCTAGGGATCTACCACCCTTAATTTCCACTGACCCCAAATTACTCAACATCAATCAGCAATTAGAACAATAACAAACTCCAGTCCCAGACACCACTCTGCTCCCTTACTAAAATCTTTGAATGTGTGTCCTGAAATCATTGTGAAAATGAAATTAATTGTGAATGTGTTGATGGTCCTGGTAGTACAGTCGGGTTTGTTCTCAACTCACAATCGAAAATTCCGGGTCTGAATCCGGGGTGGGACAGAAATGGTTGAGTGCATTTCCTATCACCTCATATGCCTGTTCACCTAGCAGTAAATAGGTACCCAAAAGATTTATTATTATTATTATTATTATTATTATTATTATTATTATTATTATTATTATTATTATTATTATTATTATAGTTATAAAGAGTATGATCTTCTGCAGGCTTATCTTAGTTGTGAGCATTAATTTAATTGTCAAATAATTGAGTTGAAGATTCTCCACTTACATAAATGTTTTCTTTTGGCAGGCTACAATGCTGTGTAAAGAATATAATGTGACTGATTATTACCTGGATTCCTGCATCTTCGACCTCGTTACAACAGGTGATCAAAGCTTCCGAATTGCAGCTCAAGCGGCTCAGAAGGATCTCTGGGAACACGACCCTATTGGGGCACAGAGACTCCTCCGCAACTGTTCACAGCCACCGTGTGTGTGGGATATAAATTCTTCGTTTCAAAATCCATACCATTCTAGAGCCTTGCTAATACTGGCTCTGGTAATATTGATTGTAAATGTGTGGGCTGAACGGTAGCCAGCATCTGGGACATTAGCATCCACAAGACAGTGTTTAGATGAAGTGAAAGCTAAAGTCACAGTTCTGTGGCAAGCAACATAATATGCATTATACTGACAATTTAGTGACTAAAGATTCTCTGAAATATTATATATTTATCTAAACAAAATGTTATGAAAAGTGGTAATTAGTCACAAATACTGTTATAGCCAAAAGATGAAAAATATGCACTCAAGATGTAGGTGTTTTTAGCTTCTTTATTCAGAACCTGAACATAATGCAGTACTGTAGTCACAATCTTGTGATTACAAAAGAGTGTTTGTTTCTGGAAGTTAATGTATATAATGCTAGTATCAAAATATGATAAACCTTCCGTCTTAAACTGTACATGTATAGATGAGACATAATGTAACTGTAGTCGTAATTTATGCATATTCATATTTTGTATGAAGTGAATGTCTTTCTATTTATTATATAGCAACATTTCTTGTGTCTGACAAAGAGAATACTGAGTTTTGCTTTTATAGAAAATATATAACTGAAAAAATCCTAGTTATAAATTTCTTTAACAATATTAAAAATCTAACAGTCAGTATTACATACTTTTAGTTTTGTTTATAAAGTGTTTTTAGCTCTAATAATATTTTAAACATTGTGTTGCTCCTACTTCACTGAATTTTATGCATACAGTATATTTTTCCAAAGAAAATGAAGAGCTGAAAGATGAAAAATTTTTACTACCCAACTCAGCCCCCCTCTCCCACCCCCATGTCACGAAGCATACCTCATTACTGTCACTGTGAATATAGTGTCCTACTGCTCCACTTAATATACCCTACCCAGGATCATGTAGCTCGTTTAGCCTCACTTTTGCAACTGTTCCTCTTTAATGTGCCAAGATGCTCAACGTTTTCCAGTCTAGCAACTACATAACACTTTTCCTTGATAGGTGAGAGGAGATTGAGGCTCTTGTATTTATTGGCATAACTAGTTTAGCCTTGGTCACGAGCTTGAACAGTTATAAGAGATGTATGTAGTGCTATTACAACGATCGAGCTTATTTAGGAAACTATTGTAGTACCTGGTTAATGTGGTTAGCAACATTTTCTCCAAAGATCGTACAATTGTAATCCAGATGAACTGCTCTAAACTTCAAGCTTTTGTAATTTTTTTGTTTTTTGGAAATTATCAGATTGACTTGAAATTATAAACTGAGTAATAAAATTGGTACAAAGAATGAAAAGAGTTTATCTGGAATACATGTTAATGATAGCACTAATCTCTGTATTTCTTGGACTGCAGGTCCAAGAAATACAGATATCAGTGCCAGTACAGAAATTACATATAGCTATGCTTCCATCTCTCTCTAACTAGTATGTACAGTACTGTACTGTACATCAATGAATTCAACAACTGTTATATGTGCTTATTATTCTGTATTACTGGGTATATCTTTATGTATTCATACACATACAAGATTATTCTTGAGCTAGGAAGAGATAGTTGTAGGTTCACTTTTAGACCATTTATCATCTGTTACTTTTTAATGTTTCTGCTATATTTATCAGCATCATTAGTAAAGTGGAAGGTTTCAAATAATGTTATAATTAATAGATCAAGAGACACCACATGAATCTAACTCTTGTAATTAACAAGGACTGTGGTCTTCCAACTCATTGCTGCTAATGTTATATCTGGTATACCTTATATTATATCCTGCTGGGTATGTTGACAGTTTCCTGGGTTAGAGGAATGGGCTAATTGAGGACCCAGCAAACTTTAGATTAACAAAAAATCTTCCTAAACTTTTGTGACTATGCATTTTATAATAGAAGACAATATCCAGAAGCAGTAGTGCTTCTTAACACCCTAATTCAATCCCATCTTCCTCTTTTAGTCATATATGTACCAAAAAAAACTGGGATCACATGATTTAGTTGAAATATTGCATCTTGGCAATTAACAAGATTAAAAACGGTGGCATAAGTTCTTTGTTTACAAGACCTAATAATGTAAGCAGTTTGATTAATATATGAGAGCTTAATAAATTCTCATGGGCTATTATGAATTAACATTATTATTGATAATCCTGACCTATATACAGAGTGTATATTGCTCCCTAAACTGTTTTTAATTGAGTTTGAAAATCTAAACTTTTATTATTATTATTATTATTATTATTATTATTACAACTACAAGTACTGTACTACTATTTATAAATTAATTTATATATATAAATAGGAAATGGGTTAAGTGAGCAGAATTTACAGAAAAAATTTGTTTGAATGCAAATATGAAATTGATGGGTGTGTAATGGGTTTATAGTCTGGTCTTACAATTGAAATTCTACAATTTTATTAATGCATTTACATCAAACTTTTATTATTTCCCTCCAGTTAAAGGTTAGTTATTGATACAAAAACTGAATATTCAGCATACCTCATGATTTGAGTTTTTTCTAGTTCACTGCAACTGGCAAGCTCATTTAAAGTAATTACAAATGATTTCTATAATTTTATTCTATATGCTGCTAATAAATTTCAAGGATTTTCAAAGTTTGACTTTATTCAATAATAAACCAAAAATATTGAGTAGTGCTGATGAGGATGCTCTTGTACATTGTTGGATCCTCTATGAAACGTAATTCCCTTATTACTCCCTGCAGTTAGAACTCTTACCTGAGTACCACACAAAACGATCTCATTAAACAGGATGTCAACGGTACTAGATTCTGAAGTATAATTCCATTACATTTCAGCATAAAAGTCCCCTTAACTACACCCACATGAAGCACATGTCATAGATCTCATTATAGAACTGCCTGCAAATTGTGTATACATTTGTATAGTATCCTATATTTATTATTTTGTGCATATTTGTTGGTTAATGTTTGGTGACTTTTATAGCTGAATAATGGAAAATTGTAAATAGCCAACTATGTGTACAGTGTAAATATGGTTTTTGAGCAGTTGTCATATCTATGTTGTACAATATGTGTTACATGTGTTTCTATATTTTACGTTCTGTCTTACTCTAGCAGTCTCGCATTTTAGACCAGTTGTACTGTACTTGTGAAGCTGGTTGTCATAGACTCACTCCTTTAAAGGGCCTCCCAGCACGACTTGCCTCCATACAGTCATAGCTGTCCACAAATGAGACTGAACACTGATGGCTTGTCTCCCATGTATTTTATAAATGTCCCACATACATGACTGGACATTCATGGTAGACTTGCCATGAGTAATTTATGTCTGTTGGAGATACAGTATGTGAATACATCACATGCACGTGCAAGACATGTAGGGCTGGCCTCTGATTCTGGACTGAAGATCCATTATAGGGAAAATGTTTTTACTAATGAGCTTTGGTGAGGGTGTTTCTCTGGACTATGGCTGTTTATACTACTGGTAATTTAGTTAGCTCACACAAATATTTAAAATATTTTGCCTTAATGCATTTTAAGAGTTTTTTAAAATTAACTCTTAATTTCCTGCATAAATATTTGCCCACCTGTAATCCTACAATTTTCCTTCCTTTCCCTAGTTTCCAAACCTAAACTGTGATGACATTCACGAGTCTGTGAGTGTGTAGAAGCAAGGAGACAGGTGTCAAGGTGCCACCCAACTTAATCAACATTCACACCACATTACCATGTGCAAACATTACTTTATAATTGTATGTTCAGTATAAATTAATTATATGTAGAATCCATAAAGTAAATTTTTATTGGAAAATAAAATTTTCAGTTTCTAGTAAATCATTCCAGTTGTGGCTATGTCTTCGTCTTATTCTAGTCAGTTAGGGAAGTGAAGTTATGCAATTATAGAAAATGATTATACTGTAATTATTATTGCACAGTATATGGATTAAATCATTACGTATTTCAACATCATATTTCCTACATCTTGAGATGTAGATACTCAGAGCAAATGTTCTTCACCATTTCACTACATTTGAGATGTGTATCAGTAACAAATATCAGCTATTTTTATGTTCACATTGTTATTTTGAACCATTTTGGGCATAGCTTTTTAAAAAATTTAAAACATATATTTAACATCTTGGATAATTACTTTGGCCTTTAATAAGTTATATACTGTACAGTTAAATGGTAGGCCTAAATTTGTTTCCTTATGATTCTAAATTTCATTTTGTATTGTGTGAAGTCATTGCCATCCTGTCTCTATTGCAAATTAAGTTCCTTTCTTATTAAGTATTTATTTTGTACTGGCCATACTACTTTGCTGACTCAGTTAAGAAAATTATGTATATAGGTATTGATGATGCAACCCACCAACCGGTTTATAGGTTAACCTTATAACATGGTTTGTGGGACTCTGGGTACAATATTTACATGTTACTTTATACTTTTGTTGTCCATTTCTAAATGAAGTTTAATCTCAATTCAATGTATGTATTACTTCTGTAATTCATACTGTATATTAAATTCAGGCAGGTTTCCTCTATACTGTATAGCCATAATGTGTTTCCATAACAAACACAGAGGTCCGTTGTGTGTACAGGGTCGAGACGCTGACAAGGTATTCCAGAATAATAAATAGAGATTTTCCACATGTTATTCTTTTGTCTTCCATCCTCTATCATTACTCAATACCTTAACTTTGGAAATCGTACTGTTCCAAATAAAGTAACAGATTACACTAACAAAGCATTATGGTACAGAAAAAAATAGAAAATTGTAAAAATATAACAGCGTAGTTCATTGCAAAATTTTCATAATTCTAGGCAATATTTTGTCTTTAAATATTTTGACATCTCTGAAGGTTATTAAACATTTATACTGGTTCCATTCACCTGGGCTGTATGGGTCTCAAACCATGGACCCCATGCATGTGAGGCCGATGTTCTATCATACTGGTGTACTATTGTCGGAGCTAGGAAATTCGTTAAGCTTATTGAGGTCCCCCTAGGTAATGTCAAGCCAGCGTGCTCACACGTCTAGTGTGACATTCAGTGTGAGCCAGACCCAATAATGCTCATTAGGTTAATCGTACAATCGTATTTCTGGGAAATATGATTGTACGATTATCCTAATAAGCATAATAATAAGCATCTGGGGAAATAATTTCCCCGGACAAGTTCGCCTTTTTGGTGAAGTGGCAAGCGCCACTTCACCAAAGTGCCAAGCCATTACGACTATATAGCACTTGGAAGGGGTCAGGATAAGAATTTTGGGGAGGAATGGTACTCAACCACTTGGATTGGACGGTAGAGCGACGGTCTCGCTTCATGCAGGTCAGCGTTCAATCCCCGACTGTCCAAGTGGTTGGGCATCATTCCTTACCCCCCTTCCCATCCCAACTCCTTATCCTAACCCCCTTTCCAAGTGCTATACAGTTGTAATGGCTTGGTGCTTTCCCCTGATAGTTCCTCCCTTTAAACAGTCACATGTAATACATACTTGAATACAACATACAAGAGGCTTCAAGCACAAGACACAATGTAGGACAGAAAGCAAGAGATGCTTTTCATGAAAAAAAAACCATGCAACCACCTACCCACCGAAGCGGTAAATGCCAAGTTATTAATTCATTTTAAAAACTAAAATAGAAGAAATTTTCAAGAACAAATTGGGGCGGGAACTTTGACAAGTCTTGCTTCCTGTCCGCATTATTCCTGTCCACATGCAAAGAGGACAAAAAGTCATTCACCCAAAGGTCTAAGGAAGCCAATGAAGCGGTTTGTGAAAAGCAGATGTTGGAGGTTTCTAAAAGTTAGAATAGAGTGATAAACTGAAAGGAAACAGCTTCCTGGTAATATTTTACATTAATTTAAATTCGCCAAATTCATAGGTCTCATAGAACTTCAACAGATAATTAGCTCAATAAACCCAGAGGTGATAGTGCTGAAGACATGCCTATGGAAGTAGGAATACAAAAATAAAAATACAAATTTGAGAGGGAACACGCAACATGGAGAAAAGATTAAGAAGGAGTGATGATCATACTCCAAGATCACATACAAGCCACATACCTCAAACTCCAAAATCAACATAGAGGCAATACTAGTGAAAATAGAGTCAACAAATACAAGTATTTTGAGACCTATACATGCTCATAACCTACAAAAGAAATCCACTTGGACAGAAGAGGAATTAGATAATAAATGTCAGTAGAGGTAGAGGTAGAGGTAGAGGGCCTATAGGGGGTGGCAGAGGGCCTGTAGGGGGGGGTAGAGGGCCGGGAGGGGGTGGTAGAGGGCCTGGAGGGGGTGGTAGAGGGCCTGTAGGGGATGGTAGAGGGCCTGTAGGGGGTGGTAGAGGGCCTGGAGGGGGTGGTAGAGGGCTTGGAGGGGGTGGTAGAGGGGCCTGGAGGGAGTGGTAGAGGGCCTGGAGGGAGTGGTAGAGGGCCTGGAGAGAGTGGTAGAGGGCCTGAATGGGATGGTAGAGGGCCTGAAGTGAGTGGTAGAGGACCTGGAGGGAGGTAGAGGGCCTGGACGGGGTGGTAGAGGGCCTGGAGGGTGGTAGAGGGCCTGGAGAGAGTGGTAGAGGGCCTGAAGGGTGGTAGAGGGCCTGGAGGGTGGTAGAGGGCCTGGAGGGTGGTAGAGGGCCTGGAGGGAGTGGTAGAGGGCCTGGAGGGAGTGGTAGAGGGCCTGGAGAGAGTGGTAGAGGGCCTGGAGGGTGGTAGAGGGCCTGGACGGTGGTAGAGGGCCTGGAGGGAGTGGTAGAGGGCCTGGAGGGAGTGGTAGAGGGCCTGAAGGGGGTGGTAGAGGGCCTGGAGGGGGTGGTAGAGGGCCTGGAGGGGGTGGTAGATGGTGGTAGAGGGCCTGGAGGGTGGTAGAGGGCCTGGAGGGAGTGGTAGAGGGCCTGGAGAGTGGTAGAGGGCCTGGAGGGTGGTAGAGGGCCTGGAGGGAGTTGTAGCGGGCCTGGAGAGTGGTAGAGGGCCTGGAGGGTGGTAGAGGGCCTGGAAGGAATGGAAGAGGACCTGGAGAGGGTGGTAGAGGGCCTGGAGAGGGTGGTAGAGGGCCTGGAGGGAGTGGTAGACTGCCTGGAGGGAGTGGTAGAGGGCCTGGAGGAGGTGGTAGAGGGCATGGAGGGGGTGGTAGAGGGCCTGAAGGGGGTGGTAGAGTGCCTGGAGGAGGTGGTAGAGGGCCTGGAGTGGGTGGTAGAGGGCTTGGAGGGGGTGGTAGAGGGCCTGGAGTGGGTGGTAGAGGGCCTGGAGGGAGTGGTAGAGTGCCTGGAGGGGGGGGTAGAGGGCATGGAGGGGGTGGTAGAGGGCCTGGAGGAGGTGGTAGAGGGCATGGAGGGGGTGGTAGAGGGCCTGGAGGATGTGGTAGAGGGCATGGAGGGGGTGGTAGAGGGCCTGGAGGGGGGTGGTAGAGGGCATGGGGGGGGGGTGGTAGAGGGCCTGGAGTGGGTGGTAGAGGGCTTGGAGGGGGTGGTAGAGGGCCTGGAGGGGGTGGTAGAGTGCCTGGAGGGAGTGGTAGAGGGCATGGAGCGGGTGGTAGAGGGCCTGGAGGGGGTGGTAGAGGGCCTGGAGGGGGGTGGTAGAGGGCATGGAGCGGGTGGTAGAGGGCCTGGAGGGGGTGGTAGAGGCCTGGAGGAGGTGGTAGAGGGCATGGAGGGGGTGGTAGAGGGCCTGGAGGGGGTGGTAGAGGGCCTGGAGGAGGTGGTAGAGGGCCTGGAAGGGGTGGTAGAGGGCCTGGAGTGGGTGGTAGAGGGCTTGGAGGGGGTGGTAGAGGGCTTGGAGGGGGTGGTAGAGGGCCTGAAGGGGGTGGTAGAGGGCCTGAAGTGAGTGCTAGAGGGCTTGGAGGGGGTGGTAGAGGATCTGGAGGGGGTGGTAGAGGGCATGAAGGGGGTGGTAGAGGGCCTGGAGTGGGTGGTAGAGGGCCTGAAGAGAGTGGTAGAAGGCTTGGAGGGGGTGGTAGAGGGCCTGGAGGGAGTGGTAGAGGGCCAGGAGGAGGTGGTAGAGGGCCTGGAGTGGGTGGTAGAGGGCTTGGAGGGGGTGGTAGAGGGCCTGGAGTGGGTGGTAGAGGGCTTGGAGGGGGTGGTAGAGGGCCTGAAGAGAGTGGTAGAAGGCTTGGAGGGGGTGGTAGAGGGCCTGGAGAGGGTGATAGAGGGCTTGGAGGGGGTGGTAGAGGGCTTGGAGGGGGTGGTAGAGGGCTTGGACAGGTGGTAGAGGGCCTGGAGGGGGTGGTAGCGGGCTTGGAGAGAGTGGTAGAAGGCCTGGAAGGGGTGGTAGAGGGCCTGGAGGGGGTGGTAGAGGGCCTGGAGAGAGTGGTAGAGGGCCTGGAGGGGGTGGTAGAGGGCCTGGAGGGGGTGGTAGAGGACCTGGAGGGGGTTGTAGAGGGGCCTGGAGGGAGTGGTAGAGGGCCTGGAGGGAGTGGTAGAGGGCCTGGAGAGAGTGGTAGAGGGCCTGAATGGGGTGGTAGAGGGCCTGGAGGGGGTGGTAGAGGGCCTGGAGGGGGGGGGTGGTAGAGGGCCTGGAGGGGGGTGGTAGAGGGCCTGGAGAGAGTGGTAGAGGGCCTGGAGGGGGTGGTAGAGGGCCTGGAGGGGGTGGTAGAGGACCTGGAGCGGGTGGTAGAGGGCCTGGAGGGAGTGGTAGAGGGCCTGGAGGGGGTGGTAGAGGGCCTGTAGGGGGTGGTAGCGGGCCTGTAGGGGGTGGTATAGGACCTGGAGGAGGTGGTAGAGGGCCTGTTGGGGGTGGTAGAGGGCCTGGAGGGGGTGGTAGAGGACCTGGAGGGGGTGGTAGAGGGCCTGTAGGGGGTGGTAAAGGGCCTGTAGGGGGTGGTAGAGGGCCTGTAGGGGTGGTAGAGGACCTGGAGGGGGTGGTAGAGGGCTTGGAGGGGGGTTGTAGAGGGGCCTGGAGGGAGTGGTTGAGGGCCTGGAGGGAGTGGTAGAGGGCCTGTTGGGGGTGGTAGAGGGCCTGGAGGGGGTGGTAGAGGGCCTGGAGGGGGTGGTAGAGGGCTTGGAGGGGGTGGTAGAGGGCTTGGAGGGGGTGGTAGAGGGCTTGGAGGGGGTATATAACAATATAAATATAATTATAATTAATTTTATTCATTGTGTCGGGGGACAAGCAGCTATGGATTATATATATACCTATACATGATAGACTTATATCGAGGTTTCCCCCCTCCCCCCAGGTTAACCCCCCCTTGGGTCCAATATCTGCCCCTCCCCCTCCCACACAAGAAGCTCATTCCTGGGTACCTACTGGCTGCTAGGTAAACAGGAGCATGAGGTGATATGAAATGCGCCCAACCATTTCTGTGCCGCCCGGGAGTATACGTACTACATTATGTACTAATATAAGTACTATATTAGGCGTTAACCGTGTATTAAGGCTAAGGATGGTTAGAGCAGCTCTTATTGGCGACTAAATATGAAACTTTTCCGGGTGTGTCCATATTCAGTACTGGAAAAGTGTACTTTCTGGTAGTCCATCGCGACATATATATATATTGGTACTTTCCACCACCTCGTTCCTGTAAGTACTTGCATTTTAGCACGATGGGCTGATTAAAGGAAAGTACTTATAGTTACGATATTAATAATGAATGAATTAACTGAATTATTTGACGGTGTTAATAGAATAATAATAATTTTATATATAATAATTTATATTCACAAGAAGGTACCAATGGGTTGGTGAGATTACATCAGAATGGTATTTTTACATTTATGAAGTCACTAACACGCGTAGCGTTGTGTTAATTGGCACAGGATAGTTAGTTGAGTAGTTAGGTGGTGGGGAGGTATGGGGGGGGGGAGTGGGTATGGGGGTGAGAGGGAGGGGGTGTTGTATGGGGGTGGGTGTGTGGCCGGGACCACAGTGTTGCTCTACACTCCCAGGGAGACACACCTGCACACCCACACACCTGACTGTACCTACACACCTGCACGTGTGGAGCCATGATGAGTTCACCTCTGCTCAGCAGCAGTTGTCTGCGGATCTTACCAAGACTTCTGAGACGGAATATTTCTTACGTGGAGAGAATTAGATTTCTTCAGGTAAGAATATAATAGGGGATTATATACATATATACCTGGTTTTAAAATTAGGTAGACCAATAGGTCATGTATACATTTATTTTATTATAGCCAGAATTATATACTGTATTTTAATGTTTGACATGGCACGTGGGATAAGTTTGGGGTTTGAATGGTTTTAGCACTATATATTATCTGGACAAGTCGCTCCACTTCTGGCGGCCGCCTTCAAAGTGCTTTACTTTTTCTGGACTATAGATAGGTTACTTTAAAGTTTTTATTGGCTTGTTTCAGCTAGCAGTCAACTAGGAATGCGTTAACTTCTTGTAGTTTGTTAGGAAAAGAAACCTTCATTAATCTTGCTCTCTGCACCCTATTCCCTCTCAAGCCAGACCTCCCCCCCCCCCTCAATATGTTGCACAATAGTTGCCTAACTCCGGGGTTTCTACTTACGAACTAGTTAAATCGTACTCAAATTCGTTCATAGATTTTTTTTTTTATCCAACCTGACCCAGTTCAATCCAACATCATATAACGACGTATGTTTTTGACGATTGTTAAAACTGCTTCGAAGTACGAGAAGGTCTTTTATTTTAAGTTCTTGCATTTTTAGTAAAGCCACTAGCATGCATAGCATCGCGGGCAGATCCTTGATCCTAATTTTCCCTGGAATGTGACCCACCCAATCGTTAATCGGGTGCCCATTCACTGCTGGGTGAGCAGGTGTTTAGGATTCGCGACCAGTTAATCATCCCCGGCCAAGATACGAACCCAAGCTAAAACGCTCGCTAAGCGCGGGGGCAGAGCATCTTGCCGCTGCGCCACGGGGACTGTGGTTGAATTAACTATAACCCCTATGTATTGCTAGGCAAGCATACGTATCTTGTTTATATTTAGTTAACTGATTATGTAACCCCCATACCAATCCAGTGCCTGTTAGTGGGAATATGTTAGAGCACCTAATTGGGCTTGGGAATTCTCTTGGTATTTTAGCAAAGCATGTTACTGCATTGATGAGCTAGTTAATTTAATGTAATTTATTTACACTATCAAACTAACAAACCCTAGTTAAGGTTCTGGCTGGGCTGGAGCCCTACCACAGGAAGGTGGTACTTCTGGCTCCTTAGTGGTTGGCTCAACCATGGTTTCAGTTGCTGCTTGCACAGTATCTAAACAGAGGTATTTTTTATGACTGCCAGAACCAGATTCTGGTCCCTGGTAGGTTAAAAAATTCCATGGCTGATGTTGCTTAGTAGTTTAGAGCCATCTTTGCAAAATAGCATCAGGGAGCCACCAGGGCTCTTCCAGTAATGTGTAATTATTCAATGCTTTTTTTTTTTTTTTTTTTTTTTAATACCAGTATGCTAAAAGATTCAGAGGTCTCTAACATTGAATAACTTCCACAGAATCTAATGGACTAGAGTATTTGGGGGTTACATTCAATCTCCAACAGGTAATTGACGACATGTGGCTATAGCTTCAGGGTGACGGCAGCTTATGGGTTAAGCATGATTGCCTGCGATTGTTTGGAGGCCTTTGTGTTTGAATGCAAGGAGTATGGCAAATACAGTAGTTTGGTGGTGAACGGTGGATGCCCAATTCTTTAAGACTTGTTGGTCCAGATATGATCAATTAGTCATTATCAAGACGATTGCACTTCCAGCTGCACCATTAGTGCAGCTAAGTGGTGGTGTAGGGGGGGCCATCAGTATATGGTTTTCAGAAGTGCTGTATAATCAGTTTTTTGATGTGGCTTCAGAAAATTGAGCTTTGCCTAAAGACTTGGGTTGATCTTTAATTTGGTTCTTTTGTGATTTTCTTCTTTAAGGGCTATTCTTTAATACTAGGTGTTGAATTTGATTACCATAAATTTAAATGTTAATGTATTGCACAATATACTTTTGTTACATTTGTAAATGCTGTTACTCTACTCAGAAGGTTCACTACAAATTTCATTGGGGCCCTATTATCTTTGGGGTTGTATAACCTATGCACATAGGGGCAAAAAGTTCATACACGATCTAAATTCTTTCTTTGCTTCCTGCTGTAATTCTATGACCTAACAGCCTAATGTACAAATTATAGCATAGTCCAGTGGCTACAAAATGGGGTATGGACTGTAATTTCTCAGCCTTGGCCTTCCAGTGCCAGTTTGTTTTATGGGGAAACAATGCAAGCTGTACCTATTGTATAGCCTTGGCCTAAAAGGTAAAAGATGGACCCCAAGAAGCTAATATTCCCATGAAACTTATGTTTCTAATGTTATGTTCCTATTTGCATGGTATTCAGTATTGTAGTTAACTAAAAATGTTTGCTGTACTGTACCTTGTTCATTGGTGTTAGGTTGGTAAAATTGTCAAGGGACTTTGTAATTGTTGCTGCATTTACTTTTTTTGTCTAAACATTTCAGCAGCTTTATGCATAGTTCTTGATATTGAATCCTTTTTACAGCGTCTAAAGGAGCAGGATTCAGTCTGTACCTCTCATATTCCTGATGGAAAGTTCCTGTTGTACAGCCAGAGCAAACCTTTGCTACGAGTAGACAAAGCAAACACCGAAGATGCCATAGTGTGGTTAACTTATCCAGGTAATTATTGGGAATTATTGCATTTTGTCCTTCCAAAAATGTGGGACCTGGAAATTCTTTCTACTGTATGTAGACTTTCTAGACCGGTGTATAATGGTTCATGGAAGGTACGCTTGTAACTGGGCCATGTAATTACCAGGTGGCAGGTTTTGGAATTATTTTGAGGGGTAGTAAGAACTAGTGATGCCTTTGGGGGGGGGGGGGGAGGGTTAGGTTAGTCTGAAACTAACACTAGCAGAGTTTCATAAACATTGTGGCATTAATAGTTAGTTTCTCGTTCTGTTGAGCTAGCCATATAACTGGTTTGTTTACCTGGTGCTAGGAATAATTTGGAACATAAAGTTCTTTATCCATGTTACACTTTATCTTTCTCTTGGCGAAACATGCAAATTGACACTAGCTCTCCACGTGTCGGTTTCTTAATTTAGAAACTGTTCTTGTGGTCGGTCTCGAGCCCATTATTAATGCGATGTGCATTGAATTTTGTAACTAGCTCGGCAAGATTGAACTTGCTTAGCTAAATGCATTTTAAGGTTGTCAAACACCATTGTGCCTCTAACCCTTTCCACTTCTGCCCACAGGATGGGTATGGGATTCCATAATAACTGAACTACTCTCTTGGCAACCATTGGAAATTTTAGTCCAGTTGGACGACCCTGTTGCTCCTAGTAGGGGTTAGGTTTTGTTCTTTAATTTCTATTTGCTTTTTCAGTAGTTGATCGTGATATTTTTCAAACAAATCGGTTTGTATCTAGTCAAATTAGTCTGTGTATTTGGGTAGCTGGTCATCTAGGTTTCATGCCCAGGCTTAATGTTCAGGGTGATTGTTTTAATTTATTAAAAATACCAAATTAGATATAAACTTGCCAAATTCTTAAGTAGATAGTTGTCATTTTGCAAGTTAGTGCACTGTACACTTAAAAATGGCCAAAAGTATAGTATTTGGTACTCGTAGTGTGTTCATGTTGGCAGTATGTTGGAAAAGCTATAGAGTAAGATGGGCACAGTCACATTACAGCAAGACTGTTAGTTCATCCACACGGTAGGATTTCATTTACCCCCCTTTACATGTACACTTGTCAAATCTATGCTTAAAACCTAAAGTGTTTCTTGGTGCTAGTTAGCTGTGTATTCCACATGTCCATAACCTTGTTCTAAAACTATTGCTTCCCTTTATCTCCTTTAGACTTTAAGGGGCCGTTAGTTTGTCAACATTTGTTCAATGTTGACCCATATTTCTTGACTAGTTGTATATGAAAAGGGCTGAAATTGTTAAACCTTTCAGTACTGCAGCCTAAATAGATTAATTCCCCCGCCCCTCCCAACAATTAAACATTTTAGAGTTGAAACCTTTCACCTTTTCAGATTATAATCATTGACACTTTTATGACACATTAGCATATAATAAAGTATCTGTAGAAGGGGATTTTCCAAAACATCTTTGGTTTTCGTAATACAAATGGTCAAAATTCCCCCCCAAAAATTATGCAAATATATTGTTTATTGCTATTTATAAAATCAATAAATGAACTTTGGGAAAAAATGCTTCCTTCAGATTTTAGGCATAGACTTTACATATAAGGTGTAAGTTTCATGTAAATTGAATAAAAATGAAAGTATCAACTCGTTTGTTACTTGAAAAAATAAATCGTTAAAATATTAGTCTAAGGTGCTGCCATCTGTGGCTGAGGTTGACATAAACAAATTTCCTGCAAAATTGGCACCCTTACAGATAGTTATGTGCAGTCAGGTGTACAAATTTCATGCAAATTGCCCAATAATTTTTTTAATAAAACTAAATTATAATTTGTTTAATATATGCTATTGTGATAGCTTATTCATAAAAAAGATTTCATTTGACACGTGTTTGATAATTGGTTTTTGACCATTTTGGAAAATTTGACACAATTCAATATTTTTTGCCCTTATTTATGCCATGATGCCGAGACTTGAACCAGATGAAACCCTTTTCATATACAACTCGCCAAAAAAGCTTGAAATCAAACCATTTTGAAAATCGTACCTAATAGCCCCTTAATAAAAGTTATAATAAATGAGTTTGTGACAATAATAAATACCATCTCCGATAGTTGCGCAGTAACAGGAGGAAAAACTGGGGTCATCAGTTCTACTCCCCAAAATTCAATATGGGGCCTATGAATTTGAAGTCACTTAAGGAATAATGCAATTATATTTATCACATCCTAAAATCAATTAGGCAATCCCATTAGACATATTTTCAGAAGATACTTTATAAATTAAGTTCTGCCTTAAGTGTCATTTTACAAAATTAGTCAAATACCTTCAGTGAATTACTAGTGATGCAGGTTATGATGAAAGTTATCAAGCAAGTATTCAATAATCCCTTTATGCTGAATATCTAAAGTCTGCATCACCTTGGCATGGCTGTGAGAACAGGGAAGGTGGAGGTACCAGTAGAACCTGCTCCCACTCCTGATAAGATGCTTTAAAAAGTTTGCCTGTAATTCCTCTAGCACTTTCACATGGCTAGTTTGACTAGCTTAGATTGGATGCTTTTCAAAACTCAGTGTAGATTCCACCAGTGCTGTTGGGTAAACATGCTATGAAGCTTGTCCTAAATTCTGACAATTTATTTCCTATAATCAGGATTGGGATTCTGACATGGATGGTGCAATATCTCGACAGTCCATGAGCTCTCTCAGAATATCACGACTGTGTTCTAAAAAAAGTTGGTTACCAACAGTCTTTTTGCTTTGTGGCCACAAAGCAAACTTGTGGTGGAGCAAACTGATAGTCTTCCACACAAATATCTCGCTACTAGGTTTGCTCAAAGTAGGTCTTTGGTGTGTTTTGCTTAGGCTGCTGCTGTTCATTTACTGGGTTGAGCAGGTATAAAAAAGCTCAAATTGGACTGCCTCATGGAGGATTAAACTAGGCAAACAGTGTTCTATACTTTGGGGGATAAGTAATGTAGTCCAGTTGAGCTCGGTCCTCTGATTTGACTTGTAGTCAGGGCAGGATTGACCTAACTTATTGGGTAGAAGAATAAACTGTTTGGCACCAATGATCAAATTTATCTGGCACTAAAGCATCTAGGATATCTACTCTGAATTTGAATAAAAAGCCTTTTGATAATTACTAGAGTAGCAAGCAGGATTGAGAAATGGAAGACTTAGGATTTTTCTTGGCAAAAATATAATGAACAGTAGTTCTTGTTTATCTTTCATAAAGTATCTAGAGTGTACTTCAAATGTCTCCCTTTGATTAAACCAATTTTTAACGCATGGCTTTAATTCTGTACAATGCTACATGTACTCTAGTTTTTTGTATTGGGATTCAATTTTTGTGGCTTCATTAGGATTGTAAAGTTTACACGATCTTGTCATGTTGCCACTTTATACAAGATGATAAATAATTTCAGAGGTGACTCGGTATTATCCCCACGCTGATGACTCTAGTGTTCTAGTGGACGTAGCCATGGATGGGACAGCAAGGTACAGTGTGCAGGTAAAGTTTCTTGAATTCTATATTATCTATATATATCTTTCTAATTTTATCAATGTTCAACTATGTATTGCTTGATGTATTGTAAGTGATCAGTGATTGCTGTGGTAAAGGGAAACTATTGCGTAACATTCTTGCTCCTAACATGTGCTGCCATTGGAAGTGGACAAGGTGTCACCCCCCCCACCCGCATGAATTATAACTGTACTACAGTGGTTTTGTTCATGTGTATAGAAAGAATGGTTACAGATGGTTTCATTCTAGACTGAATTAGATTGTCTTAGATTCCCAGGTGGGGTAGAATGGTTGGACTTATTCTGGGGAGCTGCTTATGGCTTCCTGAAGCCATCTTGTGAAGATGGCTCCCAACTACTAGATCACTTCAGATATGTAGTAGTTTCCCCTACTGGGGACCAGAGCCAGAAGCTGGCCCCTTTGGAGGCAGAGAGAACGGGTGCTATCCCACAAAGCATCCAGAAACTCGGTGAACTAACTCGGACAACTGCAGGGTTCAAAGACTTTAGCCTCAAAACTGCCAAGCAAACTCTCCAAACAATGTGTATAAATGAGCAATTCTCTTGACCCTTGCACAAGCTCATTAGCACCAGTCCCTGCCAGTAGGGTGGGGGCCTGGAGTTTAGTCTCACAGCCCATTGAACCAGTTCAGTCAGATTGTGGACACCATCGATTGTCCTTTGTAGGGTTAGTTGTTAACCCAACCCGTCCTCAGACAAAGTCCATTCCATCCAGCGGTTGACCCCAAAGACACTCTTAAACTTTACCATTTTGAATAAATGGCATGTTAATTTTCTCAATCATAAATGTATTATTTTATATTACCATATAAAAGCTAGCCCCTTGATTGGGGGGAGGGGGGAATTTAGGTGGTTGGGGCACACTGTAGGGTTTGCACACTTGATTTACACTGCACACCATCATCGTCCTTCACAGCTGCATTAACTAGTCTGGTCTCCTTGTATCACTCCAGGCAAGCATCTTCAGTGCCTGGGTGTCCTGCTTGGTCAGTCTTTTGGGCTCTGGTAATCCTCTGCTGGTTTTGGTGTGGCCTTTAGATTCTGTTGATACTACTAGGGATACCCTCTGAGCCTGTTCTTGCCATTTGAGCTGTTATTTGCCTGCCATGGGGTGGTGATTAATTCTTTCTGCCTCTGACAAGATGCCTGTTGTGTTGACACTTATGGTGACCAGAGTCCTGTGGGTTCTGTTCCCCCTCCCACATGTGATGCCTCTTCTCTTTGAAGTGAGGTGAAGGTTTATTAGGGAGCTGGTACCTTACAGGTTAAGTTTGCCCACCTTCAGTGTTCACGGCTCTATGCCTAATTGGGTATCCTGGAGTTGGTCACTTGTTTTCGGGGGACCCAGAACTAGATATCGTCCCCCCCCCCTCAACCATGATTCTGGCACTCTTCCTCTGCCTTCTCTCTTAGTGTGGTAAGCCTGACTTCCACTTCTCTTACCCCCCTTCCCTCCCAATCCCTCTGCTTCTAGCATGGAAATGTCAGTGTTTCACAGGTGACAACTTGTTTGACCTCTTTCTCTTCTCGCTTGGGTCTCCTCCCTCCCCAGAAGAGGAAGGGGGGGGGGGGGCTTGCTGCAGCTTTTGGTTTTTACATGCTTAAGTGACCTATGTTCTCTGCAGTTATTCTGGTATTTTTGGGCAGTGCTTTTGAGCCACTGACAGTTTGCTCTCAATCTTTACCAGGATTTTGTTTTTACTCTTCATTGGTTTTTGGATTTAGTCAGGTAGGCCTTGATACAAATTTTGCCTGCTACTGGCAGCCGATCCTCGCATACAAAGATCAAAGCTTGTTAATCCAGCCAACAAACCCCGTGTTTATGAATGAAAAGTAGCTTACACACGCCGCACAGCTGATGACGTCCGAACACTTCCGACACAAGTGCTTCGCTCGCTTCCCGTTTGAAAAATTGTATTAATGCTTCACCTTTGTACTTCAAATACAAATAATTGCCAACAGAACCTAAATGTCTTAACCTAATCTACACCTAACTGATATTATTTTTATGTATAACTAGCAGTACCCGGCCACGCGTTGCTGTGGCTCGGCAACCTTCCCTGTCCCACAGTCCTCCCCCCCACCATTTCTCCCTCGTCCATCTGCCTCCCAACCACTCCCCACTCCACCATCCCCTCTTCCTTCCCACCATGCCCCTGTCCCTTTGTCCAACCCACCATTCTCCACTCCCCCTTCCTTCCCCACCATTACCCCTTCCCTTGTCCCTTTGTCCTCCCCACTCCCCTGTCCGATGCCTTCCCAAAGGGTCTGATGTTCCAATCACCTGAAATATAAGAAACATAAAAAATGAAAGGAAAATATGAAAACATATAAACTATATTCACGAAATGAACGGTATGGTAAACACAGCTCAATTCCAACACAATTCACACAATAATTAAATCAAAATGAAAATAAATAAATCTGAATTTAATTTATCAATGCAATCAGAAACATTGAAATGGAATTGTAACATACTTAGTATAGTACGTGTATTGCTCTTGCATGCAACAGATGGTGCCGTTTTTCAAGAAAAGCAGTTTTACCTGTCACAGGTGTGACATATATACTTGTACTTACAAAATGAACGGTATGGTAAACACAGCTCAATTCCAACACACACCACAAAATTTGATAAAAAAAACAATCACTCCATCTATGAAAATACAATATCAATGCAATCGGAAACATTGAAATGGAATTTGTAACACTTGGTATAGCGTGTATGTTGCTATTATGTGCAACAGATGGCGCTGTTTTTCAAAAACACGTTTTTTTTTTTTTACCTGTCACTGGTGGCATCTATGTAGTAGGTATATGAAAAGACGTGGCTATTTGAATGAAACGTCAGTCAAAGTTTCAAAGCAATCGTAAAGAGGTTTCGAAGACTTCCTTTGCATGGAAAAAGTTCATTCCATTCAGCGGTTGACTCCAAAAATGCATTCATTGATTTTAACGTGCTGTTCATTAAAAAGTGGATCTTCTCAAATATAAAGTTGTATTGTAATACTGTGCGTATTTAAGTATCGCTTACGTGTTTGTTCTGGTGGCGCTTGTTTATTTGTAGTACATTGGTGAAGCATTTACAGCATTGTGGTTCTGACACAAATTGTCAGTGAAGCACTAGTTAGAAAAGTCTTCGAATGTAGTGTGTGAAACTGTTTCATTCATAAACAGGATTTGGTGGGTGCACGGAAAGGACTTGGACCTTTGTTTATGATGGGCTGCTTGGAGAGTATCAGTAGTTCAACCTGTGGGGAAGGCCTTGATACAAACCTTTTAAGTATCCATACACGTTTCCTATCCTGGACAATGGGAATTAATATTGTATCTTGGAAAATGATTATGGTACCATGACTACCTATCCCAACAGGTAGGGCATCATGGTAAAAAAGTATAAATTATGTCAATGAATGTGTAGTGATATAATTAAACTGGCTTCTCCTAAAATAAATCTAGTGTTTGTAGAGCTATTTGGGTTGTAGGTTTTTAAGTTTTTAAATGTTAATGTTCCCAAATGATTGTTCTATTGTATGGTAAAATAAAAAAACATTTCATACTAGATTGATTTTACTTAAATATTAAATAGATTTTGTAGTAAGTACCTTCAACTTCATTATTAATGGCTTGCAATTTTTCTTTTGCTTCTAAGTGGCACAACAAATGCTTTAAGATTTCCTCCTCAGACACTTATAAAAAACTTTAAGTGTAATCATTCTAAAGTTCCACCCCCCCCCCCCCCCCCCTTCAAAAAAAAAAGGCACTACAGAATTTGCACCATGTGAGTGGATGGAGCCAAGCATGATTTATAGTCAGAATCGTCTTTTTACAAATTTAAGTACTGTATACTGTACGTTACATTGTTAGGATAAAATTGCTAGATTTCTACAGTAATTACTAGAAAAGTTAAGATACTATAAAAATTGAAATGTTAAATAATCTTGCAGGGCAATTTGATACATTTACAAAAGGTCTAGGGTGAATAAAACTAAATTGGTATTCCACAGGTGGGAGCATTACCAAGAACAACCAAAGATGAGCTACAAAGTGCAACGGGTGCCACATTTACTGACTTACGGGTTGCTCTCTTCATGGTCTGCTGGAGAGATGCTCACACGCTCTCTCGTGCAAATTCTCTACACTTATGGAATAGAAACAGTGCTTTTTGTGGAAAGTGTGGTGCTCTAACAGAAAGAAGTGCTGCAGGTTAGTGATAGTTTCTTGCAACATTTTAAAATAGTCTCGCACGTTACACAGTAACCATTTTAACGACAATTTGTAGACGTTTCGCATTGTTAGGAGGGGCAATTATTTAAAGATAAATGCAGCCACAAAAATAGCCTTCCAACTGACCGCACATGTTAATGCAGAAGAGTCGCAATAATAGGACTGAAGATACGACCGAACCACACTTCAGAGGAAATAATGACGTTTCGGTTTGTCCTGGACCATTATAAAGGGCTAACACATGACTTGATAGTTCAGGATGGACTGAAATGTTACTTCTGATATGTGGTTTGGTCATGTATGTTAATTAAATTTTGTTCTGCATTTCAAGTTTAATGTACCGTTATAGATACACATCAAACACGAGGTAACCTGGACTTTCACGGTTTTGCATTCTTGGGACTTGAACAGACCAACAGTGTGGATGTGTCTCGGTAACACATGGGCTTGTGTAATACAACAACTTAAAATTTTTCTTTATCATTGTGGGGAATTTACCAGCAGGTAAATATTAATTATATAAAATGGACTGTATTAGACTTCTGCTAGATTATACCATGAACACACATCATAAGGGGTGGGGGGGGGATTCATTCAATAGTAGTTATAACCGTTAGTTATGTTTCAAAAAGAAATTATAGGGTTAGTCACTAACTGAAACTAGTGTAAGCTTAGCAGATTAGGTTTTAACATGAATTATCTGCTGAACATCAGAAGGGTCGGGCAAGGCAAGCATCCCATAGCTGACACTAAAGTCACGTGTTGCCATAGAAGGTAGCCCCAAGGTCTCCATTGATCGCCGCCTCCTGCGAAAAGTTTACACCGTAAACACTAAAGCAAGTATCCTCACGGCTAATCTCTTGTCGGTAGCAAATATTCCATAGTTATACATGTGCTCAACATGGAGATTTGGGTTTTTAATGTGGTATACCTGATTGGTCACTAGAATGCCTGATTATATGGCCATGCATCAATGAGTAAGACTGGATACCATGTGTTTTGTAATCTGAAGGTTGCAGTAGTGTTGGAATGTTATAGAACCACGGGTGACTTGGATATCCATCACTACTAATTTTGCTTCCCTCGTTAGACTTGCTCCTCTCAGATCTTTTGCAAAAGTGCCATCTTCCTCCTCCTATTGAGGTGTGCATCACAATAAGTCATGCTACTAACTTTTACCCGTTCATTAACTAGAAGAGTTGGGCATTATTTTTATGCCTTGATTGAATCTAAATCCAGCAGTTTTTATTATTCCTAATGCTGGACTAGAAGTTAGTGGGGGTTTAAAGCACATTTGATGTGCTAAACTTGTGGTGTGACTCTCCCACTGGCAGTGGGATGGTATTCACAACTGCGGTAATTTACCTCACATGGAAGATTACATTAATTCTAAGTTAATTCCATTCTAAAATAAGGTTTTCGAGAAAGGAGAAAATAGTAGATTGGAAATATTAATATAAGAATAATAATAGCGTTGCTTCGATACTGACTTGACGCAATCGTCCTATACATTTTGAGGGACTTCTAGAAGTTTCCTAACAGGAAATTCATAAGATTACTAGTGTAAATTCTGACAAGATTTTAACTAGTATTGGGAGTTAGTAGTTTAGGGGTCAGAAATTTTGGACAATTATACACCCCATACCCATCCCATTGGCAGTGGTGGAAAGGGTTAGTGGTGCATAATGGGTTCAGGAACTGAAGCTCGTTCATTTAGCTAAGAAAGTGACAATTTTTTTAAGCTAGTTAAACAATTGTTAAGTGTACATACACATCCAGTAATTTACACATATATACTGTATCAATCTTTTTATATCAAGCGATTCGACAAGAAGCTCGCGAGTCACTGTACAAGGCACTTTACATCTATGGTGGGTCACGGTTACTAGTCTTGCTCCACACCCCACCCAACTGGTGGCAGCTTTAGTCTTGTGCAGGCTGCACTTACAGTATGCAAATTTTGGATACTTTACTAAGATTCCTAGCAGTATTATGAATGAAGTACTTGCACATTTCTTGGACTCCATTAATGGTGTTCTCAGAATTCTGCAATTTTTTGACATTCCATTATATAATGAAGCAAAGTATGCAATTAGTTCTGCTGACATTGGCATTATATTTGCCATTAATTATAAATTATTTATTTTTTTTTCCTGCACTCTGAGGGTGCCTAACAGCTGGGTGGACAGTGCTTTGGATTAGTAGTCCTGAGGTTCCGGGTTCGATCCCCTGGTGGAGGCGGAGACAAATGGGCAAAATGTTTTTCACCCTGATGCCCCTGTTGCCTAGCAGTAAATTGGTACCTGAGAGTTACAGCTGCTACGGGCTGCTTCCTCGGGAGGTGTAACAAAGGCCCGGTTAAGGACCATGCCGCGGGGACGCTAAGCCCTGAAATCGTCTAAAGATAACGGTTTACATTTGGTCAAATCTACATCAGCAGATGTTACAAACTCCCAGAGGTACTTGTAGCTGAGCCTGAGCCTAACAGTGGTAGTCTAGAAGTCTGACCTTATATAATGGGGAGAACCTTGTATAACAAGGATGACATTTATCACTTAACAAAATTAATCATACAGTACACACTGAAATCACAACTGTACAGTCCATTCTAAAATAAGTGAAAACAAGGAGGAAAATGCCCGAGACCTCGCTCACACCTGACTCCTACCAGTTTCATCTCTGTGCATGCAATTACTGGGATGCTACCCCTCATGGGTACATGTGGGAAATGTACTTCACACACTAAGACAATGTAACATACTGAACTTGCAAATGCGGATAAATGAAACTTAAATTTTAGTTAAATTTTACATTTAAACTGCTTAATTCATTCACTCTGCATTGAATGACTTCTGAATGTGTCTTATGATGATGATTATACAGTACTGTATTTGAAATTCTGGTATAACAAAAAAAAATAAAGCCAATTTTTCTTTTGCACTCAGGCCACTCACGCAAATGCAGAAACTGCAGTATGACTAACTATCCAAGTGCCGTACCTGTAGGCATCGTCCTCATTACAGACTCTGCCCATCAAAATATCGTCCTTGTAAGACAGCCTCGTACTCCAAGGGGAATGTATTCATGTATTGCAGGTTTTTCTGATGTTGGTAAGTTAATATTTCTCGTTACGCATATTTGTTGGGGCCATTTCCCTGAACTTTTTCCCATAAATAAAATTGGCCTTGTATCTAGGGTGTGATAGTGGTGTCGAGCTAGAAAGCTCGTATGGCTGTGTAGATGAGAGTATCTGAAGGAAAGAGGATGGAAGGAATAAGTTTAAGACTTGTTTGACGAGCCAAGTTTGAAAAGCGGGATGAGATGGGGATTGGCAGAGATGAGTGCAAAGCTAACCTGGTCTGGAAACACGTGTCAATCTCTATGGAGCTGCTTCAGAGCTATTGTACCTGGTGCTTTTATGCTTCGTGTTCTGCTGAATTTGCACTTGAAGTCGTGAACTGAACTGCACATTGTATATGTGGATAATCAAAATAGATCCTGAATGTAGTTGTCCTTGTATAAAAGTTGCCAAGAGACAAATCCTCGGCGGTTTAAAGATCGATTAATGAAATTAGGATACTGCTTAGATCTTGCATACCCAGCCCCCAAATACCTAGCTTGGGGACTGCAGTCTGTCACCTGAATTACAGAAATGTGGCAAATATATCGAAATTGCAGAAGTTTAGTCGTGCACAAATGAACTCTTGCTGCTATAATTGCCCAGTGTGGTTGCAGGATGAGCTACGCTCGGTAGCCAGTCTTCCTAGTACTCTTCGTCATATGCTTTGAAACTACCCATGGTTTTTGCCTGCACCACAACCTTACTTGGCTCACTGTCTACCACTCTGCAGCCCGTCCTCCAAACAAAGACCGAAGAGATTCCATGCACCCGCCAAACCCGTTTAAAAATGAAAACGGTTTATGCACGACTCGCAACTGATTTTGTCTGAACACTTCCGGAACAAGTGCTTCACTGACTAATCTTTCTCGAACCACAATTTTTATAAATGCTTCACCCACGTACTACAAAAAATTGCCAAAAGAACCTAAACGGGGAGACTAAAAAAAAAAAGAATCTAAAGGAGATAATAAACAGGGAACTTACAAACATTCCATGGGGAACTGTTCTAAGTAATAAGTCCTACAGAAGGAATAGAAAAACTGACTTCAGAAGCATATCAAGTCCGTCTGAAAAATGTTCCTTTGAGGAAAGCCAGGAAGAGATCTAACGTAGAAAGAGAACGCAGACAACACTATAAATGCAGGAAAAAAATAACGGAACTGCTTGTGCAGACACGAATTTCCCGTCAAAGAAGGAATAATTTAAATAGGGAGATTGAAGAAATCGAGCGGAAATTGAAACTCGGATGAAACTGAAGAAAGGCAGTTAGAACAGAAAGCAAATCGGGAAATAAAGAAAAATCCAAAATTTCTTCTCGTATGCGAAATCAAAAGCAAAAACCACTGCCAGTATTGGACCTATTCGTACAAGTGAAGGTTCATACACAGAGGATGACAAAATTAGTGAAATTCTAAAAAAGCAGTATGAGGACATGTTTAGCACTCCAATAAACAACATGAAGGTGGAAGATCCAGACAATTTCTTTATGCGGGATATTCAAACCCCTGTAAATATAACTGATATAAACACGAGCGCACTAAATTTTGAAAGAAATTGAAAACATGCCCATGCACTCGGCCCCAGGTCCAGACTCGTGGAATTAAATATTTAAAGAAATGTAAAGTGCCGGTAGCACAAGCACTCGGTATAGTGTGGAGGAAGAGCTTGGACACGGGGGAGATACCAGATGCACTTAAAGTAGCAGACATAGCCCCTCTACACAAGGGAGGGAGCAAAGCATTGGCAAAGAATTATAGACCAGTTGCACTAACATCGCACATCATAAAAGTATTTGAGTGATTAGGAGTCAGGTCGCCAATTTCATGGAGACCAATGACCTTCACAACCCAGGCCAACATGGATTTCGAGCGGGAAGATCGTGCCTCTCACAGCTACTTGAGCACTACCTCAGTCACTGAGGCATTAGAAGAAACAGAATGCTGATGTGATATACACGAACTTCGCAAAGGCTTTCGATAAATGTGACCATGGCGTGATAGCACACAAAATGAAGTCGATGGGAATAACCGGTAAAGTAGGACACTGGATACTCGGTTTTCTGTCAAACAGGACTCGGCGAGTAATGGTCAACCATATAAAATCTAGTCAAAGTGCAGTTAAAAGCTCTGTACCTCAGGGTAGTCCTTGAGGTACAGATTCTACCCTGAGGTCCTCAGGGTAGAATTTTCCTTATTCTCATATCGGATATAGACAAGTAAGTCACAGCTTCGTATCATCCTTTGCAGATGACACAAAAATCGGTATGAAAATTACCTCGGCTGAAGACATTGAAAAACTTCAAGCTGATATTAATAAAGTTTTCGACTGGGCATCAGAAAATAACATGTTTAAGTGATAAATTCCAGGTACTCAGGCACGGTAAAAATGAGGACCTAAAACGATTGGGAAGGAAGAATGGGAAGGAAGGATGGGAGAGAAGGATGGATGGGAGAGAAGGATGGAAGACATGGTACACGGCAGGTGGCCAGGCGCCCCTCTCACTTCCCCTCCCCTCTCACTTCCCCCCCCCCCCCTGGAGTACAAAACAATCAAATGTACCCATAGTAGGAAAACAGCATGTAAAGGATTTGGGAATAATAATGTCTGACGACCTAACATTGAAGGAGCATAACCAAGCAAATATTGCAACAGCCAGAAAAATGATAGGATGGATTACGAGAACTTTCAAATCCAGGGATCCCATCACAATGGTTGTACTCTTCAAGTCACTTGTGTTGTCCCGTCTTGAGTACTGCTCAGTACTCTCTTCCCCCTTCAGAGCAAGAGAGATTGCTGAAATAGAGGAATACAGAGAACATATACGGCACGCATAGACGCAATAAAGCACCTAAATTATTGGGATAGTCTCAAAGCCCTCCAAATATACTCGCTAGAAAGAAGAAGAGAGATATATCAAATAATATACACCTGGAAGATACTGGAGGGCCAAGTACCAAATTTACAGTAAAATAATGTACTAGAGTGAACGATATGGAAGAAAATGTAGAATAGAACCAGTGAAGAGCAGAGGTGCCATAGGCACAATCGGGGTACACTGTAAAAACATTGGAGGTCCGCGGTTGTTCAACGTCCTCCCAGCAAGCATAAGAAATATTGCCGGAACAACCGTGGACATTTTAAAGAGGAAACTAGATTTATTCCTCCAAGGAGTGCCGGACCAACCTGGCTGTGATGGGTATGTGGGCCTGCGGGCCGCTCCAAGCAACAGCCTAGTGGACCAAACTCTCACAAGTCAAGCCTGGCCTCAGGCCGGGCTTGGGGAGTAGAAGAACTCTCAGAACCCCATCAACCAGGTATCAACCAGGTAAACACTTAACTTTACCTATGCCTATATATACACAATATGCTAATCTATAAAAGTAAAAAGGAAAATGTTAGTTTGTTCAAAAGCGCTAATCTCCGAAAGTTTTTCACCAATTGCTTTGGAATTGACAAGTTACGTTCGAATATGCAAGTTACTATATACCTATTATTTGAATGCCACACATGTGATGGGTAAATTTTTTTTTAAATGGCGCCATCTGTTGCACAATAGAAACACGCACTATACTAAATATGTTAAGATACCATTTCAAAGTCTCTGATTGCATTGTAGAAGTGAGGTGCCGCATGGGAATAACTTGGTAGATTTATTTTAATTTTCTTGCTTTCAAATAGTTTTTTGTTTAACAGGTTATACTTATGTCAAAGTTGGGGTTCATCATTTACAACTTAAAATATACATGTGTACAGCTATGTATAAATATATGCACACCATTATATTTAATCATGCACTACTTGCATCTTAGCCTAAATCTTATATTTTAGACAATGTGAAATTATGTTAATCATTAATTTGCTTGTTAAACGTCCATGGCTCCTAGTATGGCCACCCTGCAGATTTAGTGGTGTGCCAGACATGGTTACTTTGTAGTTACCTTGTTGGTTTTGGGGATTAGCGTCCTTGTGGCCCGGTCATCGACCAGGCCTCATTGCTGGACTGGTCAACCAGGCTGTTGGATGTGGCTGCTCGCAGCCTAATGTAAAAGTTGCAGCCTGGTTGACGAGTATCCTTTGGTGTTTATCGTTCTCTTGAACACTGTGAGGGGTCGGCCAGTTATGCGCCTTATTTGTACTGTAGTGGCAGTGTTGAACAGTCTCGGGCCTCTGATGTTGGTTCTCTCGAGTACCTATTGCTCCTATGCTTTTTCAACCTAAGCATAGATGGGGGGTAGTCTGCACATCCTGCCATGCCATCTGGTCTCGTGTGGTGTTATTTGTGCAGGTTTGGGTCCAGCCCCTCTACTATTTTCCACGTGTAAATTGTCTCTCGCCTGCGCTCAAGAGGACACAGATTTGGTCACTTTAGTCGGTCAGTCCAATGGTCCTCGTCTTCACATAAAGGAAAAAAGCATGTATCCGAAAGCTAGATGCTCCCAGTAGTCTCTATTGCAAACAATACCCTAGGAAGTTTTGTGGTAAAGAATGGTATAATCAATTCAGATCTGGTATATGTACCAGTATGTCTTCTAACCATTCCATAGACTGTAAATTATCACAACTTGTCTCACCCCTGCATGTCAACAAGTAATTGATATTGCCTCAATATTTCCTCCGCCCTTAATTGTATCCAAATACAATCACTACTTCACTAGCAATACAAACGTGTATGTACAAAATCAGCATGCATACGACCAGAACCACTGCTATGGAAACTAGAACCATAACCAAATGCCACAAAATTCAGTAATCATTACTACCACAGCCAATACTGCAACTACGATTACAGCTACAAACGCTTCAATCACAGCATGCAGAACAACCAACCTTTCCACAACTGCTACAAACCATAACTACCACCCCAAATACAATTTGCTACTAAAGTTGGCATAACTGCATTCCACCATAACTATAGCATACAAGCAAACAAAATTCCCAAAATTACAACCATATGCCGCTGCTACAATCCCCTCGATGCCAGTCATGCCCGCCCCAAAATGTTCAATACTTCTCAATTCATTACACCAGCCTACTTGCTGTGCTTCTTGAACTTAGACGACCACCCTGTTCATAGTAAAAGGAATGGTCGCTTGTGATGTCCCACCCATGTAATTTGAAATGCATTTAATTTGTAATATCTTTTACGTTCTCCTATACTGTGCAGTTCCATTTAGCACTTTCTTTCACCGTTTCCTACCCTCGAATGTGAGAAATCGATCTAGTAATTCTTCATGAAGGAATTTGGCCTTCATCCCCTTGATTGCAGATTAGTATCTTGAAACCTTTCCTCATTTATTTTCATGTGAATTAATGAATGGGTGCTTTTGCAGGTGAAAACTTGGAACAGACTGTGCATAGAGAAGTAGCAGAAGAAGTAGGGATAGAAGTGTCTTCTGTACGATATGTTGCATCCCAGCACTGGCCCTTCCCAGGATCTTTGATGGCTGGATGTTTTGCTACTGCAGAAAAACAAAAGGTTAGATTTATGGTCTTGTATAGTTTATTTGCCATTTTGCTTTACACAATGTGTAGAATGTGTTTACAAGCAATTAGAGTACTGTATATAGGCATGCAATATAATAATGACCAAACCACTTCTCTGAAGCTGGAGAAGCGAATGTTTCGGTCCATCCTGGACCAAAACGTGACAAATTTGGCAGGTGTGATTTAGATGTTGTCGAATACGTTATGTAGTGCAGAATTTAGTGAGGATAAGAGCAATTGATGGTGCTAGTTTCTAGTGGTAATTAACCCGTTTTAATGACCAGAACCTAGTTTTGCCTGTAACCATTCAGATGTGGGGGATAATGTTAAAAGGAGAAAGTGATAACAATACTTGAAACTTAAAGGTGATGGAACATTGAGCAAAGAAATGGCTAACTATTTTTATTGCCTACAGACGAGAAGGTTTTAAATGTTAAAATTTAAAGTCTGACAAATGTTGAACTTGGTGGGATACTACTTTATCGGGACCAACGTGGGTTTAAACCAGGATGCTCCTGTCTTGCTGTTAGACCACTGTGAGTTGGCCTTGGATGCAATTGAAGATAAGCAAAATGTTGCTGTAAATACACACACTTGCAATAGTGTGGCATTGTGTGCGATTATGCCATGGTCACGGTGTGAATGAAGGGAATAACTGGTAAAGTAGGAAAGATGCACATTTAATCTCCTAATGGCACCCAAGAGTCAACAAGGTAAAATATGGATTGCTATTAAAAATCTTCTAACATTGAGTAGAAGCTAAACACTGATAACCTCAAAATTGTTTACATTGTTGTCAATGGGGCCACCCAATGGTTAAGGGGGGGGGGGGGTAACCACTATGGTGAAAATCTAAATCAAACCCAGGACCACACTTAAAATGCAATCAAACCACATAGAAGTAAAAATCTATGGAAAACCATGAAGTAATTATATAAAAGTAGTAAAACTACAAAAGAACAGTGGCTGTTGGCACTGAAAGACAAAAATGACAGGCTGGAAAACTAGAACCTTTCAAACATGGTGCCGTTATGCAGCAGTGAGTTTTTTAATAGTATTAGAGTAAAATATTTTTGCACATAAAGAGCCCCATAAAATAAACTGGTGTTGACCTGGAAAATTCGGATTTTATGGCCCAAATCCATTCAATGAAACCTTAAATTACTGTGTTGGGACTACTTAAAATTTCATGTTGTACTAACTTGAGTGCAGACAGAAATGGAATTTGAATTTAAACCTGGAAAGTCTTTAATAATTTGAGTATAAAGGACCAGAAGCTTTCAGACACTCGGTAATGTTACGACTGGTTTAGATAACGCAAACCCAATATGGTAACTATATGTACAATATTGTGAATTGTTCACAGCAACGGTAGTCGTCGTATGATAAGACAGCATCGTGACGAGGAAAGCTGTAAGCCACAGCTGTCTTGGTGCTGATGGCAATAGGCTGGTCACACCTGGTGAGACCAAGGCTGACAAGAAGTGATGCTGCTGGCTGTTATGTTGTAAGGCTGCCAGTTGAGGCAGATCACGGGTGTTGCTTCTGGCCAAGCTGTCTACCAGGCTGTTTAGAGCACGACTGCTTTTTAACCAGTTTATGGGAAATGGCTGTCATTTGTAGTACATGGAATTCCTGAAACATTTCTAATGCAGTTGCTAAATCTCTAAATGTGGCATAACTACCCAACATATCATTAAATAGGCAACTACATAAGTAGGTACCTGATCAACTAGACTCGTGTTTGAGTTGAACTGCATTCAGTGGCATCGGTCAACCAAGAGACCCATCCAGCAGCCCGTCCTCCAAAGACCCAAGCGATTCCATGCACCCACCAAACCCCCTGTTTATGAATGGGAAAAACGGTCTACACATGACTCGACTGATTTCGTTCGAACACTTCCGGAACAAGTGGTTCACCGATGAATTTTGTTCAAACCACAACGGTGTAAATGCTTCACCCATGTATTGGAAATACAAATAATCGCCAACAGAACATACACCTAACCTATGCCTATACTGTATATGCACAATATGCTAATATATTGTAATTTATATTTGAGAGAATTCCCATTTTGAATGAACAGCATGTAAATTTATGAATGCGTCTGTGGGGTCGACCGCTGGATGTAATAAACTAGTAGAGGACGGGTTGCAGCCGGAGAATGAACTGCGAGGACATTGATCCTTGGACTCGAGGTAACAATGATATATACTTTAATAAGTTATTTTGTAACGAGACATAACTTTTCTTTTCAGTTGACCATAGATGAGAGAGAACTAGAAGAGGCACGATGGTTTTCTAGAGATGAAATAAGTGGAGCTGTAGAAAGAATAACCTCTAATCCTTACTTGAGGCTCCGTGGTAAAACCTGCGAAGAATTGCTTATTCCCCCGCCAGGAGCTATAGCATATCACCTTATATCCCACTGGGTCAAGGGTACCCCTATTGAAGAGATTTATCACCATATTTACTAATATTCCTTATGAAATTGAATGATGGACTTTGATTTTTCTAGTATCTACCTAACGAGAAAGTTCTAAAGCAATTGCCACTTTTGTCCAAGTATTTTCTTAACCAACACTAATATTAAAGTTAACATGCTTAATGTGCATTTTGGATACCAGATATTTATTTGTAATGTTGACAGATGCAACATTACTGTACATAAATTTCGTACATCAATGTGATGTTTTAGCATAGTTTAAATTGTAGAGCTATTGTATTTATTTAAAATTTAAAATTTTAATGTCGCTTCCCCTTCTATAAGAAAATTGTACGTAAATTCTAGTAATTGAAACTTTGCTGGGTAATTTTTGGGAAATTTTTTTTTTTAGGAAATATCTTTATTTTAATTGTAATCTTGGGTATAGCTACCATTTTCAATTAAAAAAAAAAATAAAAAAAAATTAGAAGGGGATTATCAAAATTGTTAAAATTCTTAAGGGATTGGAAATAAATGGTTATAAAGTATCATGTATTCAATTGGCCACATTACATTTAAAATCTGCAAGTTTTGCCATAACTTTTCTTAATATTGCAACAACAGGAGAGTCGGAATCGAGTCTCTGAATATTGTATCCGTCCTGAGCAGCTGCTAATTTAGGGTCCAGTGGTAGACATGCCAGAAGAGGAACGTCATATTTCTTGGCTAAGTATTCCCCAGCCCCTGAGGAAAAAACTGGGCTCACATCCTGAAAATTAAAATTAATTTTTAATTCCATTAATAAAAGTTTTCAATGTCTAAATATGGCATGATTAATATTAACAAATGGTTTTCAATAAGTTACTCTAAATATCTGAAGTGAAATCTTCCCCATTTTACACATGAGGGTATGGAACAAAAGCATGACCCAGAAATGCTGAGAACACAGGATAAAGAGAGGCACCCTTGCCCCTCCCCAATTCCCATTTTCACAACCCAGGTGAGTTGGGGGAAATTGTCATCATTATGAACTCTCTGCGAATGACCTAAATTTTCCCTCCTTCCACTTTGACATTTTGTGCATCTATATTCTGGCCTAATCATTTCCAAATATTTACCTTTTCTGAATCTAAACTAGTCCAATATTTTTTATACTAGCTGTACCCAGCCACACATGCACGTTGCCAAGTCACAGCAACCCTACCCGTCCTCCCAACCATTCTCCTCTTCCTCCATCCCCACCATTCCCCACTCCCTCGTTTGATGCGTTCACAAATGGCGTGATATTCCCATCACTGAAAAGTAAGAACAGTTAAATGCAATTAAAAAAAAAACTCATGGTATGGTAAACGCAGCTCAATTCCAAGTCACATAGATAAAGGTTTTTACAAAATGTAGGGAAGGGGTGGGGGGGGGGGGGTCAAGGATGGAATGAGACATTGGTAACAAACCGAAAGAATTTAGGAGAGAGAACTGTACCGAAAGAGGTAGGTGGTTTCACCTTCCTACAGTTCTGAAATGCCTTTTCCTTGAACACTCCATTTCCGTCTTCACCTACGGGTCAAAGTCTACAGATGGTGTAGGCTACTGTTGTTTTTTCCTGACCACACCTGTGTTGCCTGCCTCTGGAAACCAGCATCTTCATGGCAGAACTTTATGCTATTTTTAATGCTCAACAGCTTTCTCGCTGTCAATCCTCCTTTGTTGTAGTTTACTTGCAGTGCCCTCATAACTAGTCATTTTAAGTCCATACTGTGGTAATTGAAATTCAACATTGGCTGTTTATCTCCAGCAGATTTAAGATGGTAGTTTTGCTGGGTTCCCAGCCATATTGGCATTTCCTTAACCCTTGTGCTGCTAAGGGCCTTAAGCTGCTCTGGGCTATTTGGCCTGTCACCCACAAGCGCACAAATTTTTTTTCTTAACCTGTTAATTTGTTCCCTAACCAAGAGAAAAATTTAATTGTACATAGGGGAGGGCATAGTTTGTAGAACATTAAAAAAAAAAAATATTGGCCTATTGCACGCTTCCCTGCTGGTGGCAAATGTTTGTGTGCTTGAAAGGCCTCCGTGTAAGTGAGCCTGTGTAGCAGCATGGTGCAATACTGGGTTCATAATGGGTCATTGTATGCCAGGAATTTCTTTGCCAAACTGTTGGTAACCGTGTTAAAAGTGTAAAACCAAACTAATGAAAAGTTGGTTTACGTCCTTTTTTTTTTTTTTTTTTTTTTTTTTCCACCAGCTACATATTGTAATGTTCAGCATGCTTACGTCAAGATGGAAACTTTTTTTTTCATCCACTTCCCTAACACTAGACAGCCCCCACCATCATGTCACATTTATCAACCAAATGCATGTTGATATAGTAAAGAACACAATCTGGCTTGTATATTGGTTGTTTCGTTGCTCAGTTCACTCTTGTACCATCGTGAACGGTTGTCAGCAAGTTCACTTCTCGTCTTTCCACCTAACTGAGAGTATTTGATCACTTTTTCTTAGCTGGCAGTCACCAACTTAGACTGTCAAACACTGGCATTTCCCTTCTTGGCTTTACTGTGCTCCACATTCTAGTTCTATTTTCAGTCAAGAACCTAGTTAGCAAGGGACTTTTATAGTAGTTATACATGTACAAAATGTGGCACTTGTTCATCCATGGTGCCATCAGTGACTTCACCACACTACCTGAGAAACCATGTTGGTCTTTACTGGAAATGTCAACATCGCTAGCAAAATACAGAATCTTGTAATTACCAAAGTGTAGTTACAGGATGGGAGCTACGCTCTTGTGTAACACGTTTCTTGTTTCAGTCACACAGAACATAGAATTTAAATCCATATCTGGTGCGTTTGGAGGGAATATATTGCTTGAACCTAATACGTCCTTTGAAAAGCACAAGGGATTCGTCAATCGCCAGCTTCCATGCTGGTACGTAGAAATCTCTGTACTTTACAATCGCTTCATAATGTTCCTGACTCTCCAAAGTCTATCATGATGTCTGGTCTTCAAATCAAATGTTTATTCAGGTAAAAGTACATTCATAGAGGATTAATTACAATGTTGGATTAATCGAGCTAGTACATCAAATGCCTAAAGCCACTAGTACGCACAGCATTACTTGCAAAATGAAGACACCTGAAGTGTTTCTGAAACCTGTCTTGACATGTATTTCCTGAACAAAGGTGTTGGAATAGTCGGATCTTTGCTCCAATAATCTGAGAACGTGTTTTACAATTTCATAAACATAGTGCCAAAAATACATATTTCACCTAAAGTAGTGTTTTTCCTATGCTGTAATCGTGAAAATTGTCATCTCGAAGGGAAAGAGTTGAGCTGCATGAAGGTTTGGTGTACAATATATTCCATGAGCGGCTCATCATAAAATGCTGTAAAATAATCCATTTCACACATGTCCTCACCAGTATCGGGGAAAAAGGTCGGTAATCACGACGCCTTTATTGTCAAAGGCAGGAATTAGAGGAACAAAACTGTCACCATCACTCCACAAAAGTACACCTGGTGTCCTGCGAGATGAAACGGGGGCGAGAAATTTTTGCACATGGACCAGGAGCTAAAGCCCATCCACGTAAAGTACGGGCGCTACATGAACACAAGGTAAAATCACGTGAACGTGAGGGTCTTAGTTCCTCATGTGGTGGCGCTTGGCTGGGCGAGACCCTGCCGACGTGACAAGATCTCGCTTGGTAATGCCACTGGCACTAGTGGTAATACTACGCTCTGATTCCACTTCACTAAAACCAGAAAAGGCTCCGTCCTCTGACTTGTCTCCCAAAATATCCTCATACTCTAAATAAAACTATGTGGTCGTGCGTGAATTGGAGTAGACACTGGGCAAGGTGGCACTGGTGAGCGTGTAGGCTGCGCAATGGGAGCAGGCTGAATCTCAAATTCTCGCTGTGCTACTATTATTGGTCATTTGTGTGTAATCCTTATCAATGTCAGTCATCGATCACTTTCCTCGCCATCGGAAAATAATTCGCTAGTTATTAGCTCTTAAATGATTGTGTGGTGCATGCTCGGAAGGCGTTTGGCCGTGCGCTCGCCATGGGTAACTGAGGCCTCTCACTCTTTGGTGGCAGAGCTGGATTTTTTCAAAATGACGGCTGTTTACTATAGCCCGTGGGCAGTGTATGGGGGGGGGTCCCCCTACCCCCTACCCCCTACCCTGTTGGCCATTCCAATCTTGCGTGGTACTCAGTCATATGATGTGTTGGGCAGTATAAGGGTTAAGGGCTTCAACATTGCTAGGCACAAGGAAAAAAAATCCAATTTTTTTTTTCCTAAGTGTTTAATTGTATTCCCCGAGTTATCTTGTTGTTCCGGGGCTTAGCGTCCCCGCGGCCCAGTCGTCAACAAGGCCTCCTCGTTGCTGGACTGGTCAACCAGGCTGTTTGACGCTCGCAGCCTGACGTATGAATCACAGCCTGGTTGATCAGGTATCCTTTGGAGGTGCTTATCCAGTTCTCTCTTGAACACTGCGAGGGGTCGGCCAGTTATGCCCCTTATGTGTAGTGGAAGCGTGTTGAACATTCTGGGGCCTCTGACGTTGATAGGTCTCTCTCGGAGTACCTGTTGCACCTCTGCTTTTCAATGGGGGTATTCTGCACATCCTGCCATGCCTTCTGGTCTCGTGTTATTTCTGTGTGCAGGTTTGGGACCAGCCCCTCCAATATTTTCCACGTGTAGATTATTATGCATCTCTCCCGCCTGCGCTCAAGAGAATACAGATTTAGGCTTTTTAGTCGGTCCCAGTAGTTTAGATGTTTTACACACTCCAAGTCAGCAATTTCTTCGGCTTTGAAAGAGGCTGTCATTGTGCAGCAGTATTCCACTCTAGAGAGCACTAGCGTCTTGAAAACTATTATGGGCACAGCCTGAGCACAGGAAAAATGATAAAAAATTTAATTGTACTTGCCAATGATGTAAATGAGCAGAGAATTTGGCTGATGTTAGGGTGCTTGCTCAAGCATGCTGCATCCCGTAAGCATTACGCGTGGCATTCAAGCTGCCCGAGTTGCCATGAATATTTCTGTGGCATTATTTGCAGTATCTATGGCATATTTTACCATTTTTGTTATTCCATATATTTTCACATGTTATGTACATGTTTTTGCATTGGTATTGGACATTTGGTAGTTCTGGAGACTGTGATACTGTGCCAAACAGTCTACATAGCACAAAGGGGACAGCACACCCCTCACACCATGTTGGAACCAATCTTTCGTTTCTGTAGCCCCTCGTGTGATCTTGCAATGCACTCATGCTGGCCTATTGCATGCATTCCAGTTGGTGGTAATTTCTTTATTTGGTGTAGATGAAAGCCTTCCCTGTAAGCGAGCCTGGGTGTGGGAGCATGGTGCAATACTGGGTTATGAATGGGTCTTTGTATGCCAGAGATTTCTTTGCCAAACTTTCTTACTAATTGTTTCATAACTTGAAAACTAAATGTACGGAATCATGGTTTTCTACCCGTTTTCACATGATACATATTGTGACTGTTCAACATTGTTACGTCAACAAGGTGGAAATATATCCTGGTCCACTTTACTGTTTTCTGTACACACACTACTACCCTACCTTTGTAATACATTTATCAACCAAATGCATGTTTGTTGTAATTCATAACATTTTGGCTTAAAGATTATTTTTTGTTCTGTTCACCTTGCCACTGTCCACCATTGTACCAGTGTGAATGGTGGTCAACATGTTCATTTCCATCTGCTTGATACCTGCTTGATGGGGTTCTGAGAGTTCTTCTACACGCCTGGAGACCGAGCCCAGGCCATGCTTGACTTGTGAGAGTTTGGTCCACCAGGTTGTTGCTTGGAGCGGCCTGCAGGCCACTCCAAGACCGCACATACCCACCGCAGCCTGATTTGTCCGGTACTTTTTAGAAAATATTCTAGTTTGCTCTTTATGTACATGGCTGTTCCCACAATATTTCTTATACTCGCTCAGAGGATGTTGAACTGTAGACCTCTGATGTTTATACAGTGTTCTCTGTGCCTATAGCACCTCTGCTCTTCACTGGTTCTATTCTGCATTTTCTTCCATATCGTTCACTCCAGTATGTTATTACCACCAGTTATTTCTTGGCTCTCAATTGCCTACCTGCATAGCAGTGTCCAACACAGGATTTTTCCGTAGTTTTGCCTTTACTGTGCCTCACACTCCTGTTCTGTTTTCAAGCAAGAACCTAATTGGCAAGGGACTGGTATAATAGCTGTGTATAATGTGGCCCTTGTTTAGATATGGTGCAAGCAGTGACTTCACCACACTACCCGAGAAGCCATGTTTTGTCATTACCAGGAATGTCTAAATTTGTACCCAAATACATTTTCATGTGTAACACTTCCTGCATCAGAATACAAAGAATTCTGAACCTAAATCTGTGGTATTTGGAGGGAATTTACTTGAAGGCAGCACATTCATTGAAAAGCTCAAGGGATTCATCAATCACAAGCTTCTGACCTGGTTCGTAGAAATCTTTGAACTTTCCAATAAGGCCATTTAGTGCCGCACCCTCCAAAGCCTATCATCCTGTGTCTCATCTTTGGTACTTTCAAAATGAAGACGCCCATTTATCAAAAATCTGTCTTGAGACACACACATTTCCCGAACGATGGTGTTGGAACAGCCTGGGCATTGTGTCAAACACGTAATAAACCATTATTGGAGCAATGTTTCATCAACATACACACTGCCAAAAACACGCATTTTACCTACAGTTGTATCTTTCCAACGCCGTAATCATGAAAAATCTGACTACTACTCACCAATGAAATCAGTCATGTATTTATTCATTTCATGAACAATGTCCCATGAGTGGCTTATCAAAATATGCAGTGAAGAGGTTCATTTCACACATTTAATCACCATTATCAGGGTAAAGGCCTGTAATCCCAACATTTTAAGCAGAAGCCAGTCAGGGGGAAGACTTTGTTCCAGAAACTTCTGCCATCACTCCACACAAATACAGTACACCTGCTGTCTTCCAAGAGGCAACAGCTGCAACAGTGACGAATCAGTTACTTGGAGCTGAAGCAGGTCTAGCAACAGTAGGGGCAGGAAGGGACGATGAGGGAAAAATACTTGAAGATGAGGGGCTTTGTTCCTCATTGTTGCCATGCAGTGGTGCTTGGCTGGGTCACACGATGCCGATGTGACAAAACTTAGCAACACCACTGCCACCAACAACAGGCGTGGTAAAACTATTCCAATTCTAAATCGCTAAAACCAGACAGTGATTCATCTTCCTCAGACTCTTCAACCAAAACATCAGTCTTGCAAAGTAACACATGAACTGTGTGGTTGGGCACGAAGTGGTATTGAATGTGGAGGAGTAGGCACTGGCGAGTCTGTAGGCCTCCTCATCCTTGTGGCACCCTTGTGTTCATTCTCACTGTCCGTGGTATCAACATCCTCAGGCTGTGTGTAATCTTGATCTATGTCGGAGTCGTCAATATTAGGTTCATCAATCTCATCAAAACAATTCATCGGCAGCGTGTCCCCATGGCCTTCCTCCTACTACCGTAACCGGTGGTGGGGAAACGGCTCTGGCAAGGTTATGCGTTTGCCATACATGTTTAACTCGTGGGCACTTGATAGTGCTGCCCTGCTCCTTATTGTCCAAACTGCATTGTCCTTCTTACGTTTGTGCAGTCTTGTTGAATGTCCTGACTTTCAGGATGTGCACGTGTCTTGATTCCTGACTGTCCCCTGGTCGTCACCTGTCCCTCGGGTCGAGGGAGGCACCCTCGACCAGGCCGCGGGGACGCTGAACCCTGAACTCATTGCAAGGTAAGATCACTCGATAGAATCCTTGGTAAATCAGATATCTTTGATATTGTTCCCCTTATGCACTTTTGTTCTAGTATTTTCATCCTTAGTGATATTTAGTGCCTTTTGAATATACTGCACATTTGATGGTGCTACATAGTCTTTCCTGCTTTGCGTCCTTCTTTGATAATTTACTTGCTTCCCTTTCTCCCGCCCCCCCCCCCCCCTTTTTCCTGTCAGAAAATGTAATACTGTAACCTAAATAAATTCATGTTACTTGTTTTCAAGTAGACTGTGAAAATAAGCAGGTAAATAGGAATAAGCATAAACTCCATGAGAAAACACCCAATTTAACTTCAGGCTATGAAAATGGCAAGAGGGCTACTATTGATGCTGGTGCAGTATTTCTTAAAGCATGGCACTTGGGCTGACCTGACTGGTCTATGACACTTGCCTTCCTTCTCCCCCACCTTCCTCTAGGATTCATGTGTGGAAGTGAAGCGAGGTTAGCTGCATGCACCTGACTGCCTACTTTGGACACTCAATATTTTATGGATACAGATGGCTGACTGGTGGTCCACATAAAATGGCATGCACTGTGCAAGGGTTAAACTTGTATATGTGAATGTAACAGTGAGCTGCTTTAACATTCATGCCTGTTCAGTCATTTAATGCAGTTGTTCTTGCAGGCTCTCCAAAACTTCTGCCTCCATGCAGTCCCCAAGCTCTCATGATACCAGATGTGGGCCCAGCCAAATTGGAAACGACATTATGCATGACTTCTTTCTCTAGCTGCAATTGCTGTCTCTACAACAGAAGCCTCCACCAGCACTGTGAGAGGATACAAAATGCACGACGACAGCCCTGCCATGACTTTTCGAGTGCACAATGTCAATCACAGCCCACTCTTCCTCTTCCAGACAGTTGCCCTCAGTGTAAGGAAGGGGTCCCTTTTGGAAGAATGTTATTAATACTAACTCAACTGTGTTGGTTTGTGAGGGAACATTTGGAATTCTCATTAGTGCAGTGGCTAGTCCTGCACATATGCAGTGCATTGTCACAGTGTGAGCATGTTGTCCTCTAAAAATATAAACATCAGTTCAATGAAGGAAAATATAGTCCCAAGTACATTCAGTGGATGAAAATGTGTACAAATTGGTTAACAGTAGGAAACCAGTTTGGAACTCAATGAAAGAAATAAATAAATTTGGGATACAATCTGAAAGAATATTATAGGAATGCTGGTGGTTAGACAGAAGTGCACCAATGATTTGTTCACTTGGCTGGTGGTGGTAGAGAGGACCAACTGACGTCATGGGATGCTCAGCGGTTTTCAACAATGCGATAAGTGCAGTAATGTCAATTTTATTGTGTTATTGTTATATAGTTAAGTGTAGTATATAGATATATTTAAATTATGTACATGTCCCAGTGGACGGTTGGTATTTAGTGGTGGATCCATCCCAGAGTGGGTATTGTTGAGCACATGTGTGTTCTACCAGTCATTTTCTATGTTATTTGTTTAACCAATAAGAACCTTGTCTGTTAAGATTCCTGGAATTTGTGAGAGGATTGTAATGTATTATTCCTATAGTATTAAAAGTAACCCTATTCCAAGTAATACCTATTGTGAACTATTAAAATGGTGATAATATTTTATCTTGGTGTCTTAATGCCTTGATACCATGTGAGGGCACGAGATAACCTTTGCCCAACTATAACAATAGCACCACCCTGCACTTACCATATTGCTAAAAACTGCCGAGTGTCCCTTGCTGTCAGTCAGTCAGTCTTTGCCACCATCAGCCAAGTGAACGAATTATTGGCACTTCTGTCTAACCACCAGTGTTCCTATAATATTCTTTCAAATCGTATCACAAATTTATTTGTTTCAGAGTTCCAAACTGGTTTCCTTTGTACGCATTTGTACACATTTTCAATCACTGAATGTACTTGAGACGATATATTTTCTTTCATTGAACTGGTGTTTATATTCTTTTAGAGAGGAACATACTTGCACTGTGACAATGCACTGCGTATGTGCAGGACTAGCCACTGCACTGATGGGGATTCCAAATGTTCCTTTACAAACCTTAGTGTTAGTATTGATAACAGTCGAGTTATCAATACTAACACCCTTTTCCAAAAAGGAGCCCTTCCTTACATCACTGTCTCAATGCCATCTTGCTATATATACTGCCTCTAGTTTTATCAGATGGCCCATGGTGTCCAGCCACCATTTTCCCCCATACAAACGGCTTCCAAATTGGCTATACAGACTGCAGTGTCCTGCCGTTTTCTCACCATATAGCCTCAGTGTCCTGACACTATCTGGCTTATCTGGACTGCCTCCAGCTTTGCCCTATGGTCTGTAATGTTACAAAACTAGCTTGCCATATGGATGGTCTCCAGCTTGGTCATACAGCCCGCATGGCCAAGTGTCAGGACATTGTGACTGCATTGTCCTGACACTATCTCACTATACAGTACAGTCTGTGTAGCCAAGCCGGAGGCATTGTACTGATGCTCTCACCATATGGATTGCTTTCAGCTTGGCCATATAGATTGCAGTCTCCCAATGCCATCTTGCCCTATGACAGTTTGGTCAAGCTAGAGGCAGTCCATATGGTGAGACAGCATCAGGACACTACAGACTGTTTGGTAAAATGCACAACTATCTACACACCCAGGCATCTTTCAAGAAAGCTTTGTTGTCATCAGCATGTCTGTTATTGGGCACTGTGCAGATGCCTCTTAATCTGCGTGGGGAATAACCTCTTGTTCATCTTTGATACATTGACTATAGGCTGCCCCTTTCCCTGGAAGAGATTGAATATCTGTGCTTGAACCATTTTTTTTTTATTTACGTAATAAGAATCTTTATCAACACTTGCCAACACATTTTATACTAACAAATTCTACAGCATTTCCTAAAATAAAAACTTGTACTTGCCCCAGTAATTGACTTCATACAAACCCCCAGTAACATTAGATGTAAGATAAAAACCCACCCTTGTATATTTTTTTCATTTCTGTAAGGAATTTACACCAAGTTTTCCCGAGTGCTTTGTCAAGTTCTGAGTGTTTGATTAGGATGAGACTTGCATCTTGACATCTAATCAAGATTAGACATTGAGATGCAAGTCTCGTCCTAATCGCACACTCAGAAGAGTGTGAAAGACTGAAATTTATGTAAGGAATTTACACCAGCAAACAAGTGTGGGTTTTATCTATGTTATTATGTCTGTGAGAAGACATTACCATTACTAAACATTTAATGTTTTATTTCTAATGCTTTTAGATATAAATTTCAGTATCTTATTTAGAACATTTATACATTAATGGTGATCTTTATCCCCAGAAATACAAAGATTCTCAACAATTCTGCTACTCTGATGAGCAATGCCTAAATAAATATAATGAATGTATTATCATCCAGCATGCAGTCTTGGTTTAAACTATCCAATCTTTTCTTTACAGCACATCATGTAAGTTTTAAGTAGTTTAACACTTTCGTCCGGGCATGACGCAATGCTGCGTCATCAGTTTACTGTCGGTAGTCTCGGGGATGACACAATGCTGCGTCGTCCACTAAAATAATAGCCAAAAATCAGGATTTTATCCGATTTTTTGGGGACTGGTTTTAAAATGCGCGCCTATGTCTTCCCTACATGCCTATGTCATGTTCAACACACAACACTGAGGTGGTAAGTACAAAAAATTGCATTATTTTGTATATATTTTTTTTTTGTTCATACTTTCGCGTATTGTACAGGCAATATTGTTCTTCAATTGGCCCTTATATGCACATATCCATCTAAAGCATTCTATTAGGAACAATTTCATACCTAAATGAGCGCTGTAACACGAAAATTGAGATTAGCAACAAGTAATAATACTAAACATTTGTGGGCAGGAATTGGGAGTGTAGCTGGAAGGCGTCTGGGCGCTCACTCGCGGCTAACGCGTGGCCCGTCTTCAACTCGTCGGCGGTTGGAGCGTGACCAGGTTTTTTTATTTTATATGCTAATATTCCTCTAGAGAATTCTATTGCAAACCCATTGATACCAAAATGAAAGACCTAGGACGAAAATTGAGGTGACCAGAGTGAAAAGAGTGAACACATTTTATCGCTTTTGCGCGCTCCTGGGTAACTCGTTCGCACTTTCTCTGTTTGCTGCGGGTAATTAGCCGGGCTTTTGGAGTTTATATGCATTTAGTGCTGTAGAGAATTCTATTGCGAACACAATGATACCAAATTTAATCTCGTAGGACAAGAATTGAGGCGACAAAGTTGAACAGAGTATACACTTTTCAGAATTACTGCGCGCTCCCGTGAAACGCTGGGACCCATATCGCATAGTTGAGGGGTGGCGCGCGCGGTGCGCGAAAGTGTTAAAATCCGACACAGTTTAGATGGTTTAGAGTGTTACATAAGAATAAAGGTAACTGCAGAAGGCCTATTGACCCATACGAGGCAGCTCCTATTTACAAACACCCATTCTCATTAATCGCAGTAACCATTTGAAAGTAACTCATTGAAGTAACCAACATTACTTGTCCTCCACAGCTACAATGTTTACATGACAGCGTGTCGCATCCTAATTGTCACTACAAAAAGGCAAATATGAAACCATGATAGAAAACCAGGGTCATTACATAACCAGGATAAATATTACTAAAATCTGATAAAAAATAATAAGCGATTACAAAAATAATGTCGTACTTACTGAGCAACACGGGCAACAAAAGCCCGACATGTTTTCTATTATCCCTAAAATGGGTATGGCCATCTTCTGACAAAACTTGATCTCTCTGCTGACAACACCTGTGAAAAATATTAAATAAAATATTTAAAGATTTAGTAAAAGTACAGACCAAAATGTTAAGCACCCAATTCAAATAATTTAATCCTTTGTTTATTAACACTCCAACCTAACTTGAACATCCGTGTACAACGTTGTGGTCTATTATGCATCTTTTTAATTATACAGAATTTATTATAGAGTAAATTGAAATATACAGCATCCAAGATCATGAAAATAAATAATAAACCTGTATAGCTGCAAGAATTTATGGGGATTTTTAAAGAATAGCCTTGTGTAAATTAGGTCAAATCATAAAAATCCACAAAATCACAGAATTTCCATATAAATTTAAATCCAAGATTCTAATACAAAATGGTAAAATTAGAACTAGGGAGAGAAATGGTGAGCATTGTGGGAGACCTTCCATTCCTGGACAGGACAACAAAGAGTATTTCCTATATTTTTTTTTTAACCCTTTAACTGCGCGGTTTATAAATATGACACCCTCCCAGTGCGCAGGAAATAAATTCTCTTGAAAAAATTCTTTTGTTTTTTTAGTGTCAAAAACCCTTCCCTCAGTATGGGTATGTAAAAAAAAAAATTGAAATTGTACTTACTTTGACTGCTACAGGGTCCGTAAGTTGGTGCGTGACATCATCATTCCCCGTTTGCCCGTGACGTATGCTCCCGGGACCAGTAGGGCGCCCAGGGCGGGGCGCACCAGTTGCCGCAAATATATTTTTGTTCATTTTTTGCGCACAGTTCCAAATACATTTTATTTGTTTCTACGTGCTAATCCTATGTATAATGAACACGTACACTATATTATGGCAGACATCCGTACTATCTGAGGACACTGTTATGTGCATGACACTTGTGTACACATATGTTGGACATATTTACCATGTATCATGCTAATTTATGTAAATTAAGATCAGAACACTGGAAAGAGTACATGTGTTAGTGTGGGTGCGCGCTCCCAGGAAACGCCAAGCCCACCTTGGGGCGCATGTGCCGGGTGCGCGAAAGTGCTAAAAGCCAGGGCCCAAGCTGAATAAAAAAACAGAGTGAGGACAGCCTGCCAACGCTCGAGGCGAGAGGCAAAAAAACAGACACCGCCTCCCGGAGTATCGGCACAGTTTCAGCAACGCCGCCAAAGCCCCAGATGATGGCCCGGCACTCAATGCCTCCACATCTTCCACAAGCCAATCCATGGACAATTTGAGAAGAGAATATAAGGACTCAAGGGTGCAGACTGAACCAAGGTTGAAGCGACCAATGCCAAGTCCGGGTCACTAAAACCAAAATGAGGCAGCCTCGGGGCATTTTTGCGGGTGACCAATCTAGCGCATTGCAACAACAAAAACCTACCATGCAACATGACAGCCGCTTGACCCCTAAGAACTTCTGAACAACGGGTGAATTGAAGAATGAATGGGGGAACAAGTCTCAAAGGTGTCACCAACCTAACAAGCAGCATGGCGGAGGCAAAATAGATGATCGTCACCCTGAGACAAGGGTAACGAACAACATGCAATCTTGCATGAGACGAGGGGGGGGGGTGACTCGGAAGAATGATCCGTAGTAAACCCTGAGCCCTAACGGGGCTTTCCAGAGCCTGCAGGAGGATGTATCCCTAAGGGAAGTCCTGGCACTGGTGCTGCAAAGCTAGTTGATCCCCCTCAATTACCAGGCAAACTGACTCCTGTGAAGGATGCAACCTCAGGGGCCTAGGGGAAGACTACCGAATGGAACCTAGGCGTACCTAATGGGAAGCCAGGCAGAAAAGAGCTTTGAAAAGAACTGAAAACAAAACCCCCAAAAGTGCACCACCACAACAGGAGGTTAGAGGGAAACACGGCCGCCGCTAGGTATGCGAGCTGTGCAGCACCGTGCGCCCCAACCAGCAACAAACACATCCTACCTAGGACAAACGAAAGCACCAAGACCCCCGCAGACCCCAAGGGTCAATGTCAATGCCAAGCGACAGCAACCCCTACGGGAGTGAAGACCCGAAACCCCCAGAAGATAACCCTGAGACCCAAGGAAAGTACTTACAGGGCGCCTAGAGCACATGCAGACCCCTAAGCACATGCAGCCCGAAGTACAGCTTACTCCTGGCCATCGCTGAACACACAGCAGGTACAACCGTGAGGGCAAAAACCTGACAGGAAATTGAGGCCAGAGAAGACGTCATCCCTAGCCAGCTTCAAGCGACGAACTGCAGTGTGAGCGGCTGGCTCGGGTGGGGCTCAGGAGGCGGAAGTTCTTGGGCTCTGTTCGGTCTTGGATTGCAATAATCTACCAGTGGGGATTTGTTTTGAGATGCCTACCTTTCTGGGTGCCCAACCCTGGTTGATGTCAGACATGAATATACTCTCAGAGTAGAATTTTCATAGGCCATTGCTCCCCGCGCCTCTCTGAGGGAGCCAGGTTCTGGCTCGTGGTTCCCGGTAGGCAGAACCCTGTGACTGAAGCCCCAGACTAATATAGCATATATCGGTCCGATAGCTCCAGGGAGCCGACGGGGCTCCCCACAGAAAACTGTTCATTAAATACAAGAGTGCAGAATAAAAGACAAATTACTATCATGAATGTTACACAGAGTACATACCAGCAGACAGCTTCTGGGGTGATGTCACAATTACTGCCCCATCTGGGTTGGTAGTGGAGAGGAGTTTAATGATGGTGAGGTGTTCGTCACTAGTCCCTGGTGGAGTGTCTATAATCAAATCATCCAATCGGCCCCAAAGTGTGTCCTGTAGAAATGCAGTGTTCATTAATTACATGGGAGCAACATGTGCTGCATATCTGAAAATTTAAGCAAATGGTTCCCATTGCCAGAAACAGGAAACTTGTTAGGCTTATGGAGGAACTCTTAGGATAACAACTCGGCTCCAGAATGCAACCTACAACAGTTTCTTAACTCACAGATAATGTATATACTTATTGCAAGGTGAACAGAGACAACAGGTATAAGAAATGTGACCAAACATCTCATACTACTACTGTATATGTAAAAATGCAACAATAAAAATAATTGCTGGGGCACTTGAAAATGTTTCTTGGTGAATATGTATATAACTCTATATGCCATTGTATGTACTGTGTGTGTGATTACCTAAGTGTAGTTACAGGATGAGAGCTACGCTCGTGGTGTCCCGTCTTCCCAGCACTCTTTGTCATATAATGCTTTGAAACTACTGACGGTCTTGGCCTCCACCACCTTCTCACCTAACTTGTTCCAACCGTCTACCACTCTGTTTGCGAAAGTGAATTTTCTTATTTCTTCGGCATCTGTGTTTAGCTAGTTTAAATCTATGATCTCTTGTTCTTAAAGTTCCAGGTCTCAGGAAATCTTCCCTATCGATTTTATCAATTCCTGTTACTATTTTGTATGTAGTAATCATATTGCCTCTTTTTCTTCTGTCTTCCAGTTTAGGCATATTTAATGCCTCTAACCTCTCTTCGTAGCTCTTGCCCTTCAGTTCTGGGAGCCACTTAGTAGCATGTCGTTGCACCTTTTCCAGTTTGTTGATGTGCTTCTTAAGATATGGGCACCACACAACCGCTGCATATTCTAGCTTTGGCCTAACAAAAGTCGTGAACAATTTCTTTAGTATATCGCCATCCATGTATTTAAAAGCAATTCTGAAGTTAGAAAGTGTGGCATAGGCTCCTCGCACAATATACACACAATATGCAGAGTGTGCTACTTCTGGTGCTGCATGTTTGAGAAAAACAGTAAAGTCTGGTCAGTATCCACAATTGGATGCTGCAGTGTATAAGTGGTTTATTCAGCACCGCACAATTGGCATGGCACACTGTCCTGTCAAATCCTGTAAGATTTGGCAGGACATTTTCTTTTAAAGATTTATTGTAACCATGAAGTAAGCAGCATTACTTATAAGAATGTTGTAGGTGTGTAGACTGAAAATTTATTTGTATACTTTTGAATAAATTAAACACACATATAACATACCTTTATCATACGTCTTATTAAAGCAGTTTTGCGAGGTCCTCTCCACACGACAGCTTGGGACCCAGAGCTCAAAAGGGATCCCACTGACAATGTTTTAATTTTGCCATAAGGAGATCTGTGTAAATTATTACAATTCAAATAAATAATATTATACAAGAAAAAGCTGCTCATGCTCATGGGGTCTCAATATGCAATCAACACTTTAAATGTGTAGAAGAATATGATCCCACTGATCATATTCTTTCACACATGAAGAATATGATCAGTGGGGATATAAACAAATATATAATTACAAAGTGGAGAATTAATCACTACCAGAGGGTTGAAACAAATCTAATGATGCTGATAGCTTCAACAGTAGGGACTGTAGCCAACCTGCCACACTTTCATAAAACTCCCAATGATTTTTTTATTTTACAATTACTTATATTTTAAATTAAAAACCTGTACAGCTGAAACAAACAAAATGGGTAAAACAATATATAGTAAACTATACTATGTTATGAAAAATGGTGCGATGTAAGGAAAACAATAATATGTTGGGAAAAAACAGCATTATGTAAGGAAAAACAGCACTATGTACAGAAAAACAACACTATGTAAGGACAAACGGTACTGTGTAAAGAACCAGTGTTGAATGTAATGAAATGCCATTTTCTGGGTGAGCCCCAGAGGCTCCCCTGGAGCTTATCGGGCTAATGTATGTTATATTGGACCGGGACATTAGCTAAGGAGTTCAGACCTACCAGGGACCAGCGCCAGAACCTGGCCCCTTCAGAGAGGTTTCAGGGAGCAATGGCCCTGGAAAACCCCTTTGTGGTTGGGGTTTTCCTTATCTGCCATCGACCAGGGTTAGGCACCCAGAAAGGTAGGCATAACAAAACAAACCCCACATGGTAAAAAAACTAAAACAAAAAAACGAACAGAGGTAAAAACTCCCTACAATCACAAGCAAACAAGCAAACATCACACTTTACTGCCGCGCCGATCGTCCGCGCAGCCCTCCCCGCCCCGAGAAGGGGAGGGGGCAGCCCCGGACCAACCGCGCCGGCTTCCAAGCTTCAGTTCGGAAGCTAAGCTTCAACCAACGCGAAAAAACCGCCGACCGAGGGAGTAATAGAGAATGCCGGTGGGAGGGAGGGTTGCCAGGGAGCCTGGTAAAGAAGGCACAAAACTGCATCAAAAGGCCCACCTCGATAACAAAACTTCAAAGTCCCAGCACGACCACAACATGTGCCAAGACCCAAGAAGATTAGTCTGCAAGCCAGGAAGACCCCGGAACTCCAGAAGGCAGAACTGGGTCACACGAGGAAACAAAGCCCCCTGAACCCACAAAGGGGGCCCAAGAGGAAGAAACCTCCGGAACGAAACCAAAGAACCCAAAGGAACCCAGAATCGAACCAGAGAGAGCCCAAACCACCACATTTGCCGGCGGAGAACACCACAGAAAGGCAAAGCACAGCCCCCAGACAGAACCCTCTGGGAAAACGGTCATAACAGACCGAAAACCGAGGGACAAGGTGTGGGAGCAAGCATAACAGCCAGGGGACACTGAGCCCAAACCCAAAGGCCCAGACCCAAAACAGACCAAATGGAAAACCCAGTGTAAAATCAACACCCAAACGTTCCCAGAGGAACAGGCAACGGGCAGAAAAAAACAGAAAAGCAAAGAAACGACAACAGGATAATAAAAACCCCTGAAAAAAGGTGAAAACTCCCCCAAGAACCTCGCTCGCACACCGTCGCATGTAAACAAACCGCAACACCGCCCTAGTGGCCACGCCGGGTAACCGGCAGACGAAAATGGCCGCCAGCAGGGGCTGTGACTGACACTAAAGATACAAAAACACGCCAGCAAAAGTGGGAAGCAAGCAGACTGGATGGGCGAAAAGCAGCGCCCAAAAGCAGAAAACCCAGGCAGGGGCAAACCGCCCCAGAACTGCTAGCAGGCATCCCCCACAGCCCCGGGAACCAACAACAGAGACCCCGGGGCAGAGCCGTCCTCCAAGCCCTCCGCCCTTAAAGAAAAGCAAAAGTTCATGGGAAAGGCAGCAAGAAAGGGCCGCTGGTAAGACCCAGAAGCCTCGGCAGGAGGAACTGGCTCGAAAACCTCCATCCCCCAACCCGAACAGGGTAGACCCCGAAAACCGCCCGAGTCTCGGCCCCAACTAAACCCCGCCCGACCCCGAAACCCACAGACAGGCCGGAGCCGGGAACAGGGAGGGAAAGGGGCGAACAGCACCTAACCAAACGGGGCGACCTCGGAGCATCCGAGTGGGAAACCAACCTAGCATGTTGCAGCAACTTAACCTAGCTTGCAACATGGATGCTGCCTGTACTCTGAACAGTAATAACATCAGGAGAGTACTGGAGAACAAGCAGAGAATCTCTCGCAAGACTCCGGGTCAAGGTGTCAGTGACCCAATAGGCAGCATGACGGAGGTAAAAGTGGTGACTGTCATCCGGAGACAAGGGCACAGCAACCAACGATCCTGTACAAGACGGGTTGGAATCCGGAAGACACATTCAATGGTCCCCCGAGCCCAGACAGGGGTTTCCAGGGCCCGTAGGCTGACTGCTACGGGAAGTTCGGGCAAGGTGTTGCTAACCGGTTAAGAAACCCAAACATAACAAGAGGGTAAAGGATAGCACTGAAAACCCCTGCGACGTGTGCAAGCTTCCTGTAGTACAGTGTTCTTTGTTGTCAACTTGCAATCCCTGGGTGTGACAGATGTGGTTGGGCACGTTTCTTTTCATCTGATTCCTCTGCTCATCTAGCAGTAAATAGGTGCTCGGGAGTTAAGCAACTTGTGAATTACATCCTGGAGAAAGGTCTGACTTAAGTGGGGATGGCATAATACTGTACAGGCTTCCTATACCTGACAACACCAATTATGTCCACTGTATACATGCTAAAAATATGATGAGGACAAGAAGAAATAACAAACTCACATCACAGGCTTCCATCCCCATTGTGAATCCAAAATAGGTTCATCTGCCACTCCCATGAGTAAGGGAATGCTTGGACCACAGACATCTACATCTAAAATTCCGACACGTCTACCATCATTCGCTAGTATCTGGGAAATTATCGCTGCTATGCTGGACTTCCCTGTCAAAAAATGCATAATTATGCACATAAATATGAATATTATGAATATTAAATGTTCACAACTAATAAATAATGAAATCCAATCATTTAACACTTTGCGTGACTGATAATGGATAATGCGTCCATATATGAATATACTCAGTGTTTGCACGCTGCGTGCTAAAATTTAAATATTTGTTAAAATTTCATTTATTGTTTGATTATTATGGGACTAGTTGTAAAATGCACACCTTTCAATTGCAAATAATTTGATACCAATATGCATGAATGAAAATTAGTACGAGTATCGAAATTAATTTTCGGTACTCGTACTCAATTTCTCAAAAAAAATTGATTCGGTACTTGTGGTTTTCCTCGGTGCTTGTAGTTTGTTTATACACATGTACGAGCAGAAGACTGCCAAGCACGAGCATGGCGCTTCAATTTACCAGTGTCTCCCGCCTAGTGATGATCGCGCTTCAATTCTTTGTGAAGAATTTCATTGTTTTTGTGCTTTTTTGGTTTCTGAACATTAAAGTTTTTATTATATATCACGCCATAGGTTCCAAGAAAATCAGTGGTAATGTTAAACTTAGGTAAACCTAAGAAAATAGTTGTGAGGATGACGATAGAGGAAAACAAGAGCTCATTCATGGTGAGACAATGTGATGTCTCACTACAGACAAGTGTTAAAACATAGGGAAAAACAAGTGTCTATAGACAGATTCTTAGTAAGACAAGAGAGCAGTGAGCCACAACCAAGTCCTAGTGGTATGCATGCAAAACGTAAGAGTACGCCAGAAATGTCATCACTGCCCGATGTTAAAATGGAAGGGGACTCCCCTTCCAAACACTAACACCTCTCCTCCTCCCCCACTCCTCATCGTCTTTCATATGCCAACAAGAGTCCTTCATAAAGGTAAGGTACTATGAGTAGTCTTCTGTATAAAATGTATTTTTTGGGGTAATATTTTTTTGGGGGGTGGAACACATTAATTCAATTTACATATTTCTTATGGGAAAACTTGTCTCGGTATTTGTACTGTCTCTGGGAATGGATTAACTACGAAAACTGAAGTATCCCTGTATCCCTTTAGAGCATTCTATTGCAAACAATTTGATACGAAAATGAACGACGTAACATGGCAATTGAGGTAAAAACAATGAAAAAGTGAATAAACATTTGAGTGCGGGTGGCGCATTGGGCCTTTTGACCTTATAAAAAAAATCAAATCAAAATGTTTATTTAGGTAAGGTACATACATAAAAGAGATTTTACAAAGAGTGATGGATTTATAGATAGGGCTAGTACATACAATGCCTAAAGCCACTATTACGCAAAGCGTTTTGGGCATAAAAAACTTAAATGACTAAAGCTTAATACTAATTGAGCATAAAGAGTAAAATGAAAACATGGAATGAAAACATAGCTGAAAAAGCAGCACAAATACAATTCTGTCGACAAACAGCGCTTTTTAAAAAAAAAAAAAAAAAAAAAAAAAAAAAAAAAACATTGGATGACATTAGAGGGGAAGGTAGGTTACAGGGAATTTATTAGGTATAGCTTCGTTTTTATCTTAAACTGGTTGAGAGAGGTACAGTCTTTAACATGGTTGGGAAGGTCATTCCACAATCTGGGTCCCTTGATTTGTAGAGCATTTCTAGTTTGATTAAGTCGTACTCTAGGAATATCAAAACTGTGTTTATTTCTGGTGTGGTGCTCATGGGTTCTGTTACAACCTTCTATGAAGCTTTTGAGATCAGGATGGGCATTACAGTTTAGCGTTTTATATATGTATAATACACATGAGAGAATGTGCAGTGACTTAATGTCTAACATATTCAGAGATTTGAGTAGGGGTACCGAGTGATGTCTGGGGCCAGAGTTGGATATTGTCCTAATAGCAGCTTTGTGTTGAGTAATTAGAGGACGTAAATGATTTTGGGTAGTAGAACCCCAAGCACAAATACCATAGTTGAGATATGGATAGACGAGGGAGTAATAGAGAGTTACCAGGGCAGGGCGGGGTACATAATATCTGATCTTAGAAAGAATGCCAACAGTTTTTGAAACTTTTTTTGATATATTTAGAATGTGGCCCTGGAAATTCAGTTTGTGATCAATGAGAATACCAAGGAATTTGCCATCTAATTTGTTACAAATTTGGATATTGTTTATTTTGAGATTTATTTGATTAGAGGATTTATTGCCAAACAGAATATAGAAAGTTTTGTCAATGTTAAAGGTGAGTTTGTTGGCAGTTAGCCAAAGGTGGACTTTATTTAGCTCAGTATTTACTGTGGCATTTAGAGCAAGGGGGTCAGGACTGGCGTAAATGAAGGTTGTGTCGTCAGCAAATAGAATTGGTTTGAGGTGTAGGGAGGCATTTGGAAGGTCATTAATGTAGATGAGAAAGAGGAGAGGGCCAAGTATGCTGCCCTGAGGAACACCAATGTTGATGGGTAGGGTGGGAGAAATTGAATTATTCACAGAAACATACTGGAGCCTGTCAGTAAGGTAGGATTTGAGGTATTGCAGGGAGTGTCCTCTGACTCCATAATGATGTAGTTTAAGAAGGTGGTTTTGGTGGTTGACAGCGTCAAAAGCTTTACGCAGGTCCACAAATAACCCAACAGGGAACTCATTTTTATCGAGCTGTATGAATCGAGTTAAGCATACTAATAAGTGCATCGTTAGTGCTTTTTTTGGGTCTGAAGCCATATTGGCATTTATGTGCATATATCCCTTTAGAGAATTCTATTGTGAACAATTTGATACCAAAATGAACGACATAGCACAAAATTTGAGGTGGGAAAAGTGAAAAAGAGTATATACATTTTAGTGTGGGTACGTGCTCACTGGAAATGCTCAGTCGACCTTGGGATGTGCTGGGGGTCGCGCGAAGTGTTAAATACCATAGTTAAGTAAATATTTAAAATATATACAGAATAAAGATAATTTGCAATATTGGAGAAAATAGCTTTATAGGGACCATACCAACTGCTAGTTTCTCACCTTGTCGCATACCCTGACTACCACCACATGGCAGCACTCTTGCCATCAGCAGGTTACAAGCTTTGAGCCTCTATTACATTTTACCCACACAAACAGAACTCTGAACACGGGAAAATTAAAGCTGTGAGCAACCTCGTCCAACAGCCTGGTTGACCACCAACCCAAAGGCCTGGTTGGAGACCGGGCCACAGGATTGTTGATCCTCGGAATCATTGAAGGGTAAATGAAAGGTAAAGTTAAACACAGTTGTTAATAGGGTAGAAATAAAGAATATATGAGCATTACATACCTACACCTCCTTTTCCAGAAAGCACCAAGATCTTGCGTTTTATTGCTCTTAATCTTGTATCAATGATTTCCTGTTCTGGGTCTGGTTTGCTCACTAAAACAGAAAACAGTGGTATATATTTAGCTTCTCAAACTATTACAAACAGTTACTATTATATTGTGTGTGATTAGAATTATATTATTTCATAACACGTACAATATTTATTTTTATTACCCAATTAGTAAAAGGGACAGAAAAATTTATCTAAACAATAGCACCTTGAATATCTGGACTACATTGCACCAGAGCTGCTCCACAATTTGAGAGGAATTCATATTTTGGCATATAAAGCCATTTTGATTATAAAAAAAATGCATGAGTTATAAAAAATAATAGAACACATCATGTAGATGTGTTATATTACTTGTGTCTGAGGTCTCAGCTCCTGCTCCACTTGGGTCTTAGCAAATTCAGTGGGGCAATCTAAAAATATCACCCCACAGAATTTACAGTATTACTGTATAATATACACTACTATACTGTTAGAAATTATTAAATTATAAATGATTAAAAGAATTTTAGCAGATACAGTATTGCATTGGGAATCACTTGCTAAATTTGTTTTTCGTTTCATTTATCTTGCTGTTGTCTGTTTTGTTTTGCTCTACTTTTCTGGTGGTCTTTCTTGGTCTGAGTGACCTAGTATCCTTAGCTCCCTATGCCTTTCTAGACGAGGCCAGATTTTTAACCTCTGGTCCCTAGGAGGCTTTCAATGACTCACGAGGGCCTGGTGTGATTAGAATTAGGGTAGGTGGAGCTGTCCAGGTTGCTAGCAACAGGGAGCCATGTTATGAGTCCTCCCCAGAATTACTACAGTACATTCCTGTACTGTATCTCTGTCTAGTCAAATTCCTGGGACTCATCAATATGGAAAATAGATTGGTTATAGGAATTCAATTATAATAAATTTCACTTTACTTCCCTAAAATATGACAATAAAATATAGTGTGCTATATTGGTACAATGGTTCAAGATGTCAACACACAATACCTTCAGAAAGGCATAGCTCTCTACCAGGACATCCTTTACACACGTCTGCACACCCAGCCTCCTTCTAAAAAAAAAAAAAAAAAAAAAAAGTACAAATAAAAGAGCTTCATAATACATCTTGACAGTTCATAAACTTCACAACTAACAATTTCAATTAAACTAATCTAATACAAGCTGATCATACAGTATTATTATATTTAACTGTGCTAGATCTTGTTATAGTTGATCTTAAAAAAAATCCATTTGCATTTCAAGGTAAAACATATACAATGCAATACTCTACTGTAAACATTCAATTGCATCCTCTATAAGATGCAATCTGGGCCCTGTCCTCTGGAAGTTGAATTTTCACTGTACATGTGTGCAGAGCTAAATATTATTTATCTTAACTATAACAGTAAATACAACTATGATCTATAAACAACAGATATCACTGTACCGAATCTGCTGGGCATTCTTGTATTCCCACATCTTCAAGATCACCTGGTTCAGTCGACATGCTGCTAGTTACTTCATACACCTGACAAAATATACATTTTATGTCATACTCAACTTGGGATAAGATTTTGAGTAGGATTAAGTAGGATTGCTTCAGGGAGCCAACAGGGCTCCCCCAAAGAAAACGTCACTCGTAATGAATAATAACCAAAGATATTTATATTTCATGTTAAAAATGTTTACTAAAAAACTGATTTGATTCTGCTGCTAGCAATAATTAATTTTGTGTGCACCCCACACTGCAAGTGGCAGCAAAAAGAATTACAGAAAACATACAACCTCCTAGCTAGACCCCTGTGGGCGCTGCTAGACATTGTCAGCATTTCTATTTACATGCAAAACAAGTATTGCTTGTACTGTAATTACTAAGCATAACAATGTAACTTGCAAATTCGGGTCGAATCATTAGATATTAGGCTATACTGTAGTTCTTTGTATGGATTATACCTAAAAGTAGAGCCCCATGGATTTGTATCTAAAGAGCATAGAGCTTGATGGGCTTCTATCTAAAAAGTACAGTGCCTCAAGCTTGTATAGAAAGAGTGCAAAACTCCAACACCTGTGAAGTTTGGTCATATTGTATACTGTATAGGCATTTTCATAAAACTCATTTTCTAATAACTAAAATTGTATATATCATTAGACAAAGATGGGCACCCATTCCTCAAATACACCAGATGATCTAGTCCCAGTCCTTGCCTCAAAACAGACCAACGATCTTTGTTACAGTTCTTGCCTCAAAACAGGCCAACAATCTTGGTTGGGTTGGGTTAGATAGTATTAGATAGATTTTAAAATTCACTGGCAAACCTTCTTGGCTATGAAGTTACCTGCATCCAAAAAACATACATTGTGACCTATATCAACACAACCTGACCTAACATTGTCCACTCTGATGATGTATAGAACTTTTAAATTTAGAAAAGTTATGAGTGATACACCTGTGTACAATTTAACCTCATTCAGTACCCTACCTGGTACTTGGGTATAAGGTACGTGGGTATTATACCAAAGGGGGGTAACCTCGGTATAAGCCAAACATGAACTATATATATAAACTGGCTTCCTGTCTGCTGACACAATGAATTATTATTATTATTAATATACCGATTGAGAGTATTCCTAGGCATATACAGTGATAAGAAACTTAACTTTATCACTAACAAGAAACATAGCCAAAATATTTTGCAACTGGGCGCAAATCGTTAACTGTAGCCTCTGTTTAATTCAACAGTAAAATGAGTACTTGGTTGTAACAACGATTCTTCGCGGTGGGGATCGTATTCCAGGGACCTGCTCGAAACGCTACGCGTACTAGTGGCTGTACAAGAATGTAACAACTCTTGTATATATCTCAAAAAAAAAAAAAAAAAAAAAAAAAAAAAAAAAAAAAGTGAAAATCTGATAGTTTCACACTGTATCTCATTAGGTTAGCCTCGTTTGACACTGTAGTCTCTGGGAACAGCCACAGTTGTATGAGGCCACATACAAAACTGTAAGAGGAATTAACAACAATGACAAAGAATTCTTGAAAACTACAAAATCAAGAACAAGAGGATATACACTGAGGAGTGTACACACTGAAGAAACAAGGCTGCCGAAAAAAAATCAGTAAATTTTACTTTTGCAGAGTAGACGGTTGGAAGGTTAGGTTAGGCCAAAACCGTCAGTAGTTTCATGCTATAACTACACTTGGGTAACTACAGTTGTGGTGTGAGGCAGGTCACAACATCATCATCACCCAGCGAAACTGTGTAGGCGCACAACCAACTCATTGAACCAGAGTTATCAGACACATGTGTAGGCGGATAGGTTGTTGTTGTTGTTATTGGGTTAGGGGCAGGTACAGCACAGAGCCGTGCCGGAGAGACAGTGCTGCCAGAACTAAATTGCTGAAAGTAGCGAGCTAGTCAAATCAAATCAAATCAAATGTTTATTTAGGTAAGGTACATACATACAAGAGATTTTACAAAGAGTGATGGATTTATAGATAGGGCTAGTACATACAATGCCTAAAGCCGCTATTACGCAAAGTGTTTCGGGCATGAAAAACTTAAATGACTAAAGCTTAATACTAATCGAGCATAAAGAATAAAATGAGTTGAGAACAAATAAAAAAAAAAAAGAGATAAAAAGGTGGGAACATGGCTGAAAAAGCAGCACAAATACAATTCGGTCGACAAACAGCGTCATTTAAAAAAAACAGACATTGGTTGACAATAGAGGGGTAAGGTAGGTTACAAGGAATTTATTAGGTATAGCTTCGTTTTTTCTTAAACTGGTTGAGAGAGGTACAGTCTTTAACATGGTTGGGAAGGTCATTCCACATTCTGGGTCCCTTGATTTGTAGAGCATTTCTAGTTTGATTAAGTCGTACTCTAGGAATATCAAAACTGTATTTATTTCTGGTGTGGTGCTCATGGGTTCTGTTACAACCTTCTATGAAGCTTTTGAGGTCAGGTCATTTGAGTCACAAATATCCTAGACATGGGACCTCTATTAATTTCTCCAAGCGTCAGAGGTATACAAAGCCATCATGTCATTTCCGCCAGGCTCAGCAGGGGATATACACTGAAGTAAGACCTCAGCACCTGAAGGAGATGACAAACTCAGTTCTCGGCGAAGTTCTCGAGACACTACTGTCAGAGGTCACGAAGTTTGTCAACGACTGCCTCTCTGGGCTGATCCCAGATACAATTAAACCCTTCTTCTTCGGGGGTTGGAGTCAGACCCATTGCCGTGGGTAACACACTTCGGCGCTTTGTTGCTAGGGCAGCTGTCAGAAAAATTAGCATAGAAGCTGCAACGATGCTTCGACCCCATCAATTAGGTTTTGGTGTCCCCCATGGCTGTGAAGCAGCAGCTCATACAGCGCGAGCCTATATCAAGCACTTTCCAGAAAATAAGGCATTAATTAAATTAGACTTTAAAAATGCCTTCAACCAGGTAAAAAGGGATGTGGTACTGGAAGCAGTTCGAACAAGCTTTCCTTGTCTACTTCCCTTCGTTTCAGCAGGGTACAGTAGGGAATCGACACTGTTGTTTGGGGAACATGAAGTTGTTTCCGCAGAAGGTATCCAGCAGGGAGACCCACTTGCCCCTTTTCTTTTCTGCATGGCAGCTAAAGAGGTCACAAGCAGGTTGTCCAGCGAATTCAACATCTGGTTCCTGGACGATAGTACCCTGGCAGGGACACAGGAATCCCTGCTAGGAGATCTACAGCTGGTGAAATCTAAGGGGGAGGAGTAAGGCCTTACCCTTAATCCATCAAAGTGTGAAATCATCTCATCCAGCCATCCAATCATAGATGCAGTACGTATCTTATTGCCAGGAGCCTCAGTAATCGCTCCCACCAACAGTGTGCTGCTAGGGGCACCTCTGGGCTCGAACGCCATTGAGGTAGTCCTCGAAGCTGAACGACTTGAGGACAGCCCATTTCCTTTTCATTTTCCGTGAATCTATTTCCCATTTTCAACCTATGAATATTATCCTTTACCTGCAATTCCCCTTGAGTACAAAGATTCTGCGAAGCTTTTGGGGTTATTCCTTGACACTCGTTTGTCTTGGTCTCCCCATTTTCTGATCAGGGGAAGAAAGATACTGACAGTATGGGGCTTAAATGTTTATTGATAAAATAAATTTGCGAGGGCGGGCGAAGTGAGGGCAGAGCCCCTCTTTACCACAGTATTTATATGGCCCCAGACTGCCCGCGCAACGCCGCGGGACGCAATGGGCAATTGTTTCTTTCTCCCCCATCAGAAACATCCCTGCTTGCGAAGCAGTGGCCGTATCTCTTACCTCCGTGTTGTGCTCTAAGGCCCTTACCCTCCTTCGGGTCTTGTCCCATCCTTCTTGGGGGGGGGGGGGCAGATAAGCGCACTCTCCTTGCTTTACATTCCTCTCTCGTCCTGTCTAAGCTCGATTATGGTTGCTCTGCTTACTCGTTTGCTTCTCCTTCTACTCTTCGCCGTTTTGATGCTTTGCACCATACTGGGTTGCGCCTCAGTTCTGGTGCCTTTCGTTCGACTCCCGTCCTTAGCTTGTATGTTGACACTGGCTTCCTGTCTCTCCAGGACCGCCGTGATCGCTAATGTCTTCGCTATCTTGCGCGGTCCTTACAACATCCTTCCTCTCGCCTCTGTCGTGCTTTAACTTTTACCCCTCCTGTGGTTCCTGTTCCTCTTCACCACCTCCCTCTTTCTGTCCGTTTATCTCGCCTACAGGATTCTCTTTCCGTTCGTATTTCTAATGTTTCTCCTCGTGTTGTTCCTTCTTTGCCCCCGTGGAGAGTCCCTCTTCCGCGGTTTTGTACATCCTTGACCCGTATCACTAAAGCTTTTACCCCTCCTACGGTTCTCAAATGCCTTTTCCTTGAGCACTTTTCTTCTCACTCCCGCTCCGTTTCTGTCTTCACCGATGGATCTAAGTCTGCGGACGGTGTTGGCTACTCTGTTGTTTTTCTGATCGCACTTATATGTGTCGCTTACCTCCGGAGACTAGCATCTTTACAGCGGAGCTTTATGCTATTCTCTATGCTCTTCGTCTCCTGCTTTCTCGTTGTCAGTCTTCCTTTGTAGTTGTTGTTGACTCTCGTAGTGCCCTCATGGCTCTCGGGTCCTTTAATCCGGTTCATCCAGTAGTTGTCGAGATCCAGCATTGGCTGTTTCTTGTTCACAGTAAATTTAAGTCGGTTGAGTTTTGTCGGTTCCCAGCCATATTGGTGTGTCTTTAAATGAGCGTGCGGATGCTGCCGCCAAGGAAGCTGTCCGCTCTTGTCCCATCTCTCATAAAGGTATTCCATATTCCGACTTTTACCCGGTTATCCATTCCTCCGTCCTTACCCGTTGGCAGGCTTCTTGGTCGTCTGTTACTGGTAACAAACTCCGTACTCTTAAATGTTGTGTTTCCTCGTGGCCGTCCTCCTCCCACCGTAACCGGCGATGGGAAACAGCTCTGGCAAGGTTGCGTATTGGCCATACTCGCTTAACCCATGGTCACTTGATGGAGTGCTGCCCTGCTCCCTATTGTCCTAGTTGCATTGACCCTCTTACGGTCGTGCATGTCCTTCTTGAATGTCCTGACTTCCAGGACGAGCGTGTGTCTTGCTTTCCGACCGCCCCTTGCGGTCACCTGTCCCTCAATAGAATTCTTGGTGACTCGGATACTTTTAATATCGTTCGCCTTATGCGTTTTTGTTCTCGCATTGGCATCCTTGGTGATATTTAGCGCCCTCTGATTATTCTGCGCATTTGATGGTGCTACATAGCCTTCCCGGTTTGGTGCCTTCTTTGGATAATTACTTACTTACTTTACCTGCAATTTTTGTTTATGAATTTATAGAATAGACGCAGGACGGCGGGTTCTGTTTTATATTTGTCTGCAATCACTTCTTCAAAATTTCTTTCTGCAGTGGAATTTCTTTCTTCTTTAGTGGAAGACATTAATGCTCAAGCTCCCTTGACAATCATCACTCCCCGACAAAAAAGTTTCGGCCAATTGATAACTATAATATCAAAAGGGTTTTGGCCAATTGATAATAATAATACACAAAAATCGATCATTTGTGGTCAGCAACTCCAGTAGTAATGATACGCAAAGATCAATATATAAGCATAAAGTAAGGCTTTTTATTCCTCACTCGCCGCTCGCCGGTCCCCAAGTGTCCCGCTGTCCGCAGCTAATACTTTGCCCAGTCTAGGTGCTAGTAAGCCCTACTTGTAGTCACACCCCCTTCTCCTTATCCATTAGGTCTTTTACGGCCTCTTGGCCGGGTACATTACGTGTTATGTGGTCTCTCACTTATTAGTTATTCTTTGTGTCCTGCCTGTTATATCCTAGTGTTGTATAATTACTACACATTTGCACTCGGCCTTAATTCTAGTACCAGTTAACCTTTAGGTTTCTGCAGAATTAGTTTCCATGTCACTATAGGCTAAGGTCTCATACTTACTACGGGTGTACCTTTAAGTTAAATCTAGTCCTTGGAATTGTTACTGTTAATTCTTACTTTATATATTTACTTTATATATTTACTTTATATATTTTAATATAAACGTTATATATTCCTTAAATTATATTTGAAACTTTGTATATTTACATGTTCAATATTAAGTTTTATATAATATCAACTTTGTTAAGTCTATAATATAAACCGTGTTTAATATAAACTTTATATAATTACTTACTTTATGTGAACTTTATATATTTACATGTTCTGCAGAATTTAATCTTCAATAAACTTTAACGCCCCATACTGCCAGTATCTTTCTCCCCCTGGACAGAAAAGTAAGGCTTTTTATTCCTCAAAGAGACAGAAAAAGTGTAAGTTGAGTGTTAAGGTGTGAGTGCGGAAGGCTGACTAAGATTCTCAATTCAGTTTGCTAATACACTCTCGAACCCATTGTTGATGTGACGACTTATATTGAATTTTGTAACTAGCTCATCAAGATTGTAACTAGCTTAGCTAAATGAATTGTGGGGGTTCAGTCCCTGAGCCCATTATGTGCCTCTGTAACCCTTTCCACTACCGCCCACAAGATGGGTATGGGGTACACAATAAATGAACTAGTTTTTATTTGAGTTTAGTTCATTTATAATGCACCCCATACCCATCTTGTGGGCGTAGTGGACTAAACTAACTAACAGCCCGAAACGCTGCGCGTACTAGTGGCTTTACAAGATTGTAATTTCCATATTATGTATCCTCACATTCCCAATGTACCTTCTTGTATATGCATAAATAAATAAATAAGTAAATAAATAAATAAATAAATAAAAACTAATACCCACTCCCCCCCCCCCAGGCCACAACTGATGGCTTGTTTACATTGAGCCGTTGCAGATGTACAATAACACATGACACCATACACTCTATATTACCTCACTATTATACTCTACACTCACCACTATATCATTTATGATGACAATTATTATAATACAGTAAAGGGATAGTGTAAATGAGTGTCATGAGACCGGTGAGTGGCGGAGAAATGCGGTGTGTGAGGTGTGGCGGGTGTCGTCAGCTGACGCTTATCAGCGGCGGTGATGGTGGTTGATAGTTGTGTGTGAGGGACGGCAGGCACCACACTCCTCCAGGTACTGTGAGGGACGGCAGGCACCACACTCCTCCAGGTACTGTGAGGGACGGCAGGCACCACACTCCTCCAGGTACTGTGAGGGACGGCAGGCACCACACTCCTCCAGGTACTGTGAGGGACGGCAGGCACCACACTCCTCCAGGTACTGTGAGGGACGGCAGGCACCACACTCCTCCAGGTAGTGTGTGAGGGAGGCAGGCACCACACTCCTCCAGGTAGTGTGTGAGGGACGGCAGGCACCACACTCCTCCAGGTAGTGTGTGAGGGACGGCAGGCACCACACTCCTCCAGGTACTGTGAGGGACGGCAGGCACCACACTCCTCCAGGTACTGTGTGTGAGGGAGGCAGGCACCACACTCCTCCAGGTACTGTGAGGGACGGCAGGAACCACACTCCTCCAGGTACTGTGTGTGAGGGAGGCAGGCACCACACTCCTCCAGGTACTGTGAGGGACGGCAGGAACCACACTCCTCCAGGTACTGTGTGTGAGGGAGGCAGGCACCACACTCCTCCAGGTACTGTGTGTGAGGGAGGCAGGCACCACACTCCTCCAGGTACTGTGAGGGACGGCAGGCACCACACTCCTCCAGGTACTGTGAGGGACGGCAGGCACCACACTCCTCCGGGTAGTGTGAGGGACGGCAGGCACCACACTCCTCTGGGTAGTGTGAGGGACGGCAGGTACCACACTCCTCCAGGTTGTGTGTGAGGGAGGCAGACACCACACTCCTCCAGGTACTGTGAGGGACGGCAGGCACCACACTCCTCCAGGTACTGTGTGTGAGGGAGGCAGGCACCACACTCCTCCAGGTACTGTGTGTGAGGGAGGCAGGCACCACACTCCTCCAGGTACTGTGTGTGAGGGAGGCAGGCACCACACTCCTCCAGGTACTGTGTGTGAGGGAGGCAGGCACCACACTCCTCCAGGTACTGTGAGGGACGGCAGGCACCACACTCCTCCAGGTACTGTGTGTGAGGGAGGCAGGCACCACACTCCTCCAGGTACTGTGAGGGACGGCAGGCACCACACTCCTCCAGGTACTGTGTGTGAGGGAGGCAGGCACCACACTCCTCCAGGTACTGTGTGTGAGGGACGGCAGGCACCACACTCCTCCAGGTACTGTGAGGGACGGCAGGCACCACACTCCTCCAGGTACTGTGTGTGAGGGAGGCAGGCACCACACTCCTCCAGGTACTGTGAGGGACGGCAGGAACCACACTCCTCCAGGTACTGTGAGGGACGGCAGGCACCACACTCCTCCGGGTAGTGTGAGGGACGGCAGGCACCACACTCCTCCGGGTAGTGTGAGGGACGGCAGGCACCACACTCCTCCGGGTAGTGTGAGGGACGGCAGGCACCACGCTCCTCTGGGTAGTGTGAGGGACGGCAGGCACCACACTCCTCCGGGTAGTGTGAGGGACGGCAGGCACCACACTCCTCCGGGTAGTGTGTGTGTGTGAGGGACGGCAGGCACCACACTCCTCCGGGTAGTGTGAGGGACGGCAGGCAAATAAATAAATAATAATATAAATAAATGTTTATTTAGGTAAGGTACATACATAAAGAGATTTTACAAAGTTTGTTGGGTTAATAGATAGAGCTAGTACATACAATGCCTAAAGCCACTATTACGCAAAGCGTTTCGGGCAGGAAAAACATTAATGACTAAAGCTTAAAACTAATGGGTAAAAAGAATAAAATGTGTTGAGAACAAATAAAAATAGAGGTAAAAGAGGGGGGAACATGGTTGAAAAAGCAGCACAAATACAATTACAAATTATTACAGAAAATTACATTCAAACAGCGTTGTTTTGAAAAAAAAAAAAAAACATACATGGGTTGACAACAGAGGGGTAAGGTAGGTTACAGGGAATTTATTAGGTAGTGCTTCGTTTTTATCTTAAACTGGTTGAGAGAGGTACTGTCTTTAACATGGTTGGGAAGATCATTCCACATTCTGGGTCCCTTGATTTGAAGAGCATTTCTAGTATGATTAAGTCGTACTCTAGGAATATCAAAACTGTATTTATTTCTGGTGTGGTGCTCATGGGTTCTGTTACAACCTTCAATGAATCTTTTGAGGTCAGGATTGGCATTACAGTTCAGCGTTTTATATATGTATAATACACATGAGAGAATGTGCAATGACTTAATATCTAACATATTCAGAGATTTGAGTAGGGGTACCGAGTGATGTCTGGGGCTAGAGTTGGATATTGTCCTAATAGCAGCTTTGTGTTGAGTAATTAGAGGACGTAAATGATTTTGGGTAGTAGAACCCCAAGCACAAATGCCATAGTTGAGATATGGATAGATGAGGGAGTAATAGAGAGTCACCAGGGCAGGGCGGGGTACATAATATCTGATCTTAGAAAGAATGCCAACAGTTTTTGAAACTTTTTTTGATATATTTAGAATGTGTCCCTGGAAATTCAGCTTGTGGTCGATGAGAACGCCAAGGAATTTGCCATCTAATTTGTTACAAATTTGGGTATTGTTTATTTTGAGATTTATATGATTAGAGGATTTATTGCCAAACAGAATATAAAACGTTTTGTCAATGTTAAGGGTGAGTTTGTTGGCAGTTAGCCAAAGATGGACTTTCTCTAGCTCAGTATTTACTGTGGCATTTAGAGCAAGGGGGTCAGGACTGGAGTAAATGAAGGTTGTGTCGTCAGCAAATAGAATTGGTTTGAGGTGTTGGGAGGCATTTGGAAGGTCATTAATGTAGATGAGAAAGAGGAGAGGGCCAAGTATGCTGCCCTGAGGAACACCAATGTTGATGGGTAGGGTGGGAGAAATTGTATTATTCACAGAAACATACTGGAGCCTGTCAGTAAGATAAGATTTGAGGTATTGCAGGGAGTGTCCTCTGACTCCATAATGATGTAATTTAAGAAGAAGGTTTTGGTGGTTGACAGTGTCAAAAGCCTTACGCAGGTCCACAAATAACCCAACAGGGAACTCCTTTTTATCAAGAGCTGCGTGAATCAAGTTAATCATACTAATAAGTGCATCGTTAGTGCTTTTTTTGGGTCTGAAGCCATATTGACAAGAGCTAAGTATATTGTGTTTGGCTAGAAAAGAGTAAAGCTGCTTGTAGATTAGTTTTTCGAATATTTTTGACAAGTTAGGCAGGATTGATATAGGTCTGTAGTTGTTAACATCTGTGTGATCACCACATTTGTGGACAGGGGTTACTCTTGCTTTTTTTAGAATGTCTGGAAAGGTTTGGAGTTCAAGTGACTTGTTGAAGAGCAATGCAATAGCAGGGGCTAAAGATCTGGAGGCTTTTTTGTAAATTAAAGTTGGTATCTCCTCGAGGGCACTAGACTTGGTTTTAAGGGAAAGGATTATCTCATTGACATCAGTGGAATTAGTAGGCTTTAGGTACAGAGACTGTGGATAGTTACCTGTAAGATAGTCATTAACATCAGTACTGGAAGATGGAATATCATTTGCAAGGGATGACCCAATGGAAGAGAAGAACCTATTGAACTCAATAGCAGAATCAGAGGCTGAAAGCTGACCAACGTTATTGGACAGGAGTGTTGGTTTGTTATTTAAAATCTTCTTTGATCCCAATATTTGTGAAATTGTGCTCCAAGTTTTTTTAATGTTGCTCTTTATTTGGGTAAATTTATCTTCATAGTATTTAGTTTTGGCTCGTCTAATTATTTTAGATAGCAATAACGAGTAATTCTTTGAGAATTCTTTGGAGACGGTTCCTAACCTATACTTCTTCTCAAGGTCGTGTTTTTTGTTAATGGATTTAAGTATTCCCTTTGTAAGCCAAGGATTGTTAAGCCTTTTGTTTGTGACTTGTTTTGTAAGCATAGGACAGTGGGTGTTATAAAGGCTAAGAGTTGTTTGTAGAAAAGATTGCACTGCTAGGTTGATGTCCCCTATGTTACCTAACTCGGACTCCCAGTTGACATTATCAGCAGCAGTTATAAAATTGTTTAAAGCAGTTTCATTGTGCAGCCTAAAGCTTAACTCCCTTGACTCAAGAGGTGGTTTCATAATGTTTGTTAAGAGAAATGTGGGGTAATGGTCTGTAGTGCTATCGGTGATTATACCTGAAGTAAGCGGAGAGGTTATGTTGGTCCAGATGTGATCTAGAGTCGTAGCAGTACTATCAGTGATTCTAGTTGGTCTAGTGATTAAGGGTATGAGGAAGCAGGAATTCATACAGTTGAGGAAGCTAACAGCAGTAGGGTGTTCAGGCTCGCAGAGGTCAATATTAAAGTCCCCTGCGATAATTAGATGGTTTTTGTTCAGTCTGTTATCTAGTATTAGATTTCTAAGGTTTGAATTGAATTCAGACACATCAGTGTTAGGAATTCTATAGACTGCACCCACAGACAGGACAGACTCGGCACCCTTGGCTCTGAAACTGGCGAAGATATACTCCCCACAGCAGTCTCTAGTTCTAATTATTTTTAAGCATTTTTAACAAGGACCTTTATTGTTGAATACTGTAATATGCTGCTTACAATTAATTTGATTAATTAATAAATCAATGACAAATTATTACAATACACTATGATGTGGGTTGTCAAGCTGTCATAGACCACTACTTATTGTGTGCTGTTGCAGGTTCTCTGGAGTAGCAAAATGGAGCACCCAGTCACCAAACCTAAGATTGTGGGGTATTGGTTCAATGAGAAAAAGTGTCAGAAATTTGGAGTGGCAGATTTGAAAACAGAATGCAAGTAAGTACAATATATTGGCAGCAAGCTGTTGGATAATATAAATTTTTTATTAGGTGTTCTCTGTAGATATTACTTTCCCCTATAGTGTATTTCTGAGCTGTATCTCACTTATGTGGGTGTAAGGTAAGAACTGAACTATAATTGCTGTGTCACAGACATGATTTATGTAGCGAGGCAAGACCATAGGGATCTTTTAGAGTGTCTGCAGGTTCATTTAAGGTGCTAGGGAGACACTAGACAACAGCTCCTTCTTGCCCACAACCACCAAAAACAAAGACTGCAACCATAATAACTGATACAATCACGAGAACCTGTACGGGGCCACGAGAACCCGTACGGGGCCACGAGAACCTGTACGGGGCCACGAGAACCTGTACGAGGCCACGATAACCTGTACGGGGCCACGAGGTGACACAAGGAAAACATCCATTTTTGCATTGGATTTTGTGAAGATATACAAGGATTGATTGTAATTGGTTAAGCGAGTAATGTTATCTCTATTGTCAGAAAAGATATTCTTTACATTGCTGCATTAACAACCAATTGACTTGGAACACTAAAAATAATACTCTGTGGCAGTAACATCATTGGTGATCTGTTGTCACAGGTCACCAGGGGGGGGGGGAACCCAGGTCACCAGGGGGAGGGGCATCCCAGGTCACCAGGGGGAGGGGCATCCCAGGTCACCAGGGGGAGGGGCATCCCAGGTCACCAGAGGGAGGGGCCATCCTAGGTCACCAGGGGGGGCCATCTTAGGTCACCAGGGGGAGGGGCCATCCTAGGTCACCAGGGGGGCCATCCTAGGTCAACAGGGGGGCATCCCAGGTCACCAGGGGGAGGGGCCATCCCAGGTCACCAGGGGGAGGGGCCATCCTAGGTCAACAAGGGGGGCATCCCAGGTCACCAGGGGGAGGGGCCATCCTAGGTCAACAAGGATGGCATCCCAGGTCACCAGGGGGAGGGGGCATCCCAGGTCACCAGGGGGAGGGGGCATCCCAGGTCACCAGGGGGAGGGGCCATCCTAGGTCACCAGGGAGAGGGGCCATCCTAGGTCACCAGGGAGAGGGGCCATCCTAGGTCACCAGGGAGAGGGGCCATCCTAGGTCACCAGGGAGAGGGGCCATCCTAGGTCACCAGGGGGGGCCATCCTAGGTCACCAGGGGGGGCCATCCTAGGTCACCAGGGGGGCCATCCTAGGTCACCAGGGGGGCCATCCCAGGTCACCAGGGGGGCCATCCCAGGTCACCAGGGGGAGGGGGCATCCCAGGTCACCAGGGGGAGGGGCCATCCTAGGTCACCAGGGAGAGGGGCCATCCTAGGTCACCAGGGAGAGGGGCCATCCTAGGTCACCAGGGAGAGGGGCCATCCTAGGTCACCAGGGAGAGGGGCCATCCTAGGTCACCAGGGAGAGGGGCCATCCTAGGTCACCAGGGAGAGGGGCCATCCTAGGTCACCAGGGAGAGGGGCCATCCTAGGTCACCAGGGAGAGGGGCCATCCTAGGTCACCAGGGAGAGGGGCCATCCTAGGTCACCAGAGGGAGGGGGGGCCATCCTAGGTCACCAGAGGGAGGGGGGGCCGTCCCAGGTCACCAGAGGGAGGGGGGGCCGTCCCAGGTCACCAGAGGGAGGGGGGGCCGTCCCAGGTCACCAGAGGGAGGGGGGGCCGTCCCAGGTCACCAGAGGGAGGGGGGGGCCATCCCAGGTCACCAGAGGGAGGGGGGGCCGTCCCAGGTCACCAGAGGGAGGGGGGGGCCATCCCAGGTCACCAGAGGGAGGGGGGGCCGTGCCAGGTCACCAGAGGGAGGGGGGGGCCGTCCCAGGTCACCAGAGGGAGGGGGGGGCCATCCCAGGTCACCAGAGGGAGGGGGGGCCGTCCCAGGTCACCAGAGGGAGGGGGGCCGTGCCAGGTCACCAGAGGGAGGGGGGGCCGTCCCAGGTCACCAGAGGGAGGGGGGGGCCATCCCAGGTCACCAGAGGGAGGGGGGGCCGTCCCAGGTCACCAGAGGGAGGGGGGGCCGTCCCAGGTCACCAGAGGGAGGGGGGGGCCGTCCCAGGTCACCAGAGGGAGGGGGGGGCCGTCCCAGGTCACCAGAGGGAGGGGGGCCGTGCCAGGTCACCAGAGGGAGGGGGGGGCCGTCCCAGGTCACCAGAGGGAGGGGGGGGCCGTCCCAGGTCACCAGAGGGAGGGGGGCCGTGCCAGGTCACCAGAGGGAGGGGGGGGCCGTCCCAGGTCACAAGGGGGTATTCTAAACGGTACTCTACTGGTATTTCTTCAAGTTTTCCTCTGCTTAATTGTAAAATACTGTAGAGTAATTTCCTTTCCATAAGAAATATATTATTGGATGTTAATGGAAATTGTTTGATAATGTATTAATTTTGTTTTCTTTTTTACAGGAGACGTGGAATTCATCTTGTCAAGGTATTGTTTACTGTGTTGAGGAGAGTGATGAAGGTATACATTTAGGGTGTTTGGGGGAGAGATAGTTATACATTTTATTCTTTAACCAGGAATGCATTAAAGTTTATGAAGATTGTTGTTAGAAAATCAAGTAACCTTGCATGGCTAATCTATGTTCTGAAATAAGAAGGGAGTGAAAATACTGTGTTACCTTCCTGAGGTATCCCCTGGGGTGCTTGTCAAGCCATGACTCGGGGTCCACTCATGATGGGGTGCATGCATTAGGCTCCTCAAACTTCTCTTCTACAAGGGAAGTACATTTTCAAAGTCTTATGTAATTGAATGGTGCTAATCTGCTAAGAACGAAACATTGGCATTTTATCAGGACCATATTGTGGTGAGGGCATACATTTCCCAACCTTCTATCAGTCATACACTTTGTCCTGTTGCAGCATTTCTCCATTATCTATAGGGCTCCCATGCTTCCCACTCATTTGTCTTTCTGAATACTCTAACTCAGACTCTGGACACTGCAGCTCACGTTTCCCAGCTGGTCAGCAAGATGAAATAGTCATTTATCACCGAGTATGACAGAATGAGATGCAACTCTTTTATGCTCCTCCTAATTATATCTCAATGTTTAAGTTAAATTTTTTGTATAAGTTGTAAATGAAAGTGGCTTTGAAAACTGCATCCTTCCAAGCATTCCACTTGCCAGCCATTTGTCCAGACTTGTCTGAAATCTCTTAAGGCTTCATTGTGCATCCATTGTGTAATAGGCAGTTGGTCTGGTGATGGACTGAGAGTGTATCTTCACCTTTCCTGTTACATGGCAGGACTCTACAAAGAATTACAGTACTTTCTATGGTGGGGCTAAGGCCACACAAAACCCAGTGCTTGTACAAAGTTTTGAAGTACTGTGGTTGGTGATTTGGGAAGGACCCAAGTGACTAACCCCCTCAGAAAAGGGAGTTACACAACACTTTGCCCCATTTTAGTATCTTAGATAAGATAGTGTTGATTTTGATAATAAGAGAGACTAACAGCTGTATGATTTATTAGTTTGATATCATTTGTTAGACTGCTGTAGTATTGTTATTTTATTTCTGTATTATTAATATGCCATTGAATTGATGGAAATGACAGTAGGAAGCTTGTTGAAATTGAAATAAGATTATTGAGGTAAAATACACACAAAGGGAGGAGGTAGCTCAAGCTATTCTCACCCCGTTCAGTACATAGTGTTAATACTGTACATACATAGACACACATGACAAACAATAAATATATTACCGAACATTCTGAGAGATAAATATATACATTCCTCCTTTACACAAGTAGTATGGTATCAGACGTACACACAAATACTTTTATGACCTAGGTATACTGTATAGACAATTTTCAAGAGACATGCAGATAATTCAACAAAAGATTACAGTCTTGGTGCAAAATTCTTATCTCTCAAGAATATCATCAACCTTTCCATTGTGACACATCCAGGCTATTTGTTCAGGAACAGTCCTTATCTCAGTGTTTCTATATACATTAATCAACGGACAATCAAGAACATAATGGGCAAGGGTGAGAGACCTTAACATACCACATAGTTTACACTTCGTGTCATTATCATGAACACCTATCCCATATTCCCAGTAATATTTGTACCCAAGCCTGAGCCGCATGTACACAGTCACTCCAAGCATTTCTCCTTTTACCATAAGAGAAATGGATGTTTTGACTCGCATACATGTAGTGTTACATGGTTTGACTTCCCTCATACATTATACCTCTCGGAAGCTTGTTAGTGTAGTATGGTATTTGCCTTATACTTGATTAATATATATAAATATAGTAAACTATTTCTACATGCTCTGAGTGCATACATGAGTTATTTGGTATTTCTTGTACCTTGACATTCTGTAATGGTTCCCTTATCGACATCCTCCTCTCTCTCTCTCTCTGTCTCTCTCTCTCTCTCTCTGTCTCTCTCTCTGTCTCTCTCTCTCTCTCTCTGTCTCTCTCTCTCTCTCTCTCTGTCTCTCTCTCTCTCTCTGTCTCTCTCTCTCTCTCTCTCTGTCTCTCTCTGTCTCTCTCTCTGTCTCTCTCTCTCTCTCTCTGTCTCTCTCTCTCTCTCTCTGTCTCTCTCTCTCTCTGTCTCTCTCTCTCTCTCTCTCTCTCTCTCTGTCTCTCTCTCTCTCTCTGTCTCTCTCTCAATTTGCTTCATGGCCATGACTAGACAGACAAGCAACATCAGGCACACGTGAACCACTTTACACGCTAGGAAGAAGCTCCATTCCACATTTCCCTGGGCAGGAACCAACTGGGGGTATGATAGGCCATTCTAGCTATGTCATAATGGCTATGTCCTAAAATGAGGTACCATACCAGGGGGGGGGGGAATTGTCCTAGTATGATAGCCTATTGTCCCAGATTGTCATTTGGGACAATCCCTCAAAACCATGGATTGTACTTGTGTCGTGGCCCATGGTTTCTTCTTGATTGTGATTGATGTAGTACTCCCTCCTCCCTGGTTAGTCCCCTTGTCCTGCTCTGTGGGTAAGTAGCTTCAGGGAACCACAAGGGGCTCCCCCCACAAGACTAGCATTTAATGTAATGACATGTCAATTTTTCTCATTCTTGATGAGTTTGGATTTGATCTTGTAGGCAGTTCCCAGAAAGAATTTGCATTTGTATAAATGTGTTAATTGCAGCGCTCTTGGCAGCTCTGGGTTATGCTTTCTTGAGATGCTGAGAGCTGCTTTGTTTGCTCCTCTTACTGAGGGTTCATATATTGTAATGGTATGACAACCAAGTCCTGTATGTGAAAAGTAAATGTAAATTAATTCAATAATATTATTTCAGATTGATATGAGTTCTCCCATGGAAGAGCAAGGGCCCTTTGACCTTGTGCTTCACAAGCTGACAGCATTATTTGCTCAGGCACTCAACTATGACCCTAAGGCAAGTTTTGCTATTTTTCTGTAAGATTAGTAATATGTGTAATACTGTGTTTAAGGCCATCTCAAATTATATTTTTACACCTCTTTCTGGGGGGGGGGGGGGAGGAAAGAGTCCCTTCGACTCCCTGGAGCTATCTAGGCTGATGTGTATATCGTTAGACTTTGGCATCAGTAAGAATGGAGTTCTACGCCTACCAGGGACCATGACCAGAACCTGGTCCCCTCAGAGAGGCACGAGTAGCAATGGCCTATAGAAATGCACATGGGATTTGAAGCCCCAGACCCCCATGCTGGCAAGCCACCCTCCAGTTCTTTGGCTGATGTGATTGTGGCATGGTTGTGTGGCTGCAGCTCAAGACTCTTGTGTCGTGCAATACCTTAGGTCCAGTACTGTTCTTATGGTGGCGTGCGAGCTGGGAGCAATATTCACAGGTACTTGGGCTGCATATGCTTAGGGTCACCTTCCCTAAGTGCCCTGTAAGTACTGCCCTAGGGGCCTGGGGTTATCTTTCACAAGTCGCCTTGGATCTACCTCTGTTCGTCTTTTGCTGCTTGGTAATTGACTGCCCTGTGTGTGTTGGGGAAGGGGAGGGGAATCCTTCATTGTTTGCCTTGGGGTAAGAGGTATTTTTTTGCACTGGTAGGGGCACGGGGTACTGCGCAGCTAGTTTTCAACTATAACAGCGGCCGGCTCTGTTCCTCCTGGGTGCGTTGTCCTCTTGCGGGATTTTTGTTTTTGTTTTTGCTTCTTCGGGGGGGGGGGGGGGGTCTGCTTTGGTGTGTCTTCCCCCAGTTATATTAGAATTGACCTGTTTCGGTGGTACCCCCTGCTTCATCCCCATGAGTGGACACATCCCGGGGGTTCAGGTTTTAGCAGTTTGTTTGGTAGCATTGTGCGCCGGCTAGCAGTAACCTGCCTGGGCTTACCCTTAGCGATACCAGTCTAAGGGCCCTGGGAAACCCCACGGGGGCACACGGGGTCCAATGGATGCGACCCCTGGGTTCCCTCTCACCTTATTTGAGTTTAAGGGTTGCTCTGGCCCTCGGCTTCAGCTGAGAGCATTGTTGCTTGTGACTCAATTCATCCAATCTACTGATGATGTTATTCGTGTGTAGGCGGCTCTGGCATTGCAGGCTAGGTTTACCTAGCTGCAACGTGCTAGGTTGGTTGCTTCCCCAGATGCCCTGAGGCTGCTCCGCTTTGCTTAAAAGGACCCGGACTTTGGGATGTTGGTCACGTAGGCTTTAGCTCAGTCAGCACCCCCCTCATTTTTCCCTTGCTGTGGTTCATTGTCCCTCCCCCTCCTCTCCTGCTTCTGGCTCCTAAGCATGTGAGGGCTTTGGGGGTCGAGGCAGGGTTTAGAAGTTTCAGAGACTCGGGCGGTTTTGGGGGGGTTTCCCCTTCTGGGGTGGTGACAGTCATTCGAGTTGGTTCCTCCAGCCGTAGCACCGGAGTCTGACCAGTGGGCCCCTCATCCTGCTTTTCCGGCCAACCCGGCTTTTTCTTGTGAGGCCGGGGCTTAAGAGGATGACTCTACCCCGGGTCCTGATGTGGAGGTTCTTGGAGGATGGGGAGGAGCTGACTTGGGGACCTTTGGCCCCGTTGGACCCCACCTGGGTTTTCCAACCCTCGGAGTGGGGCTTACTGTTAGGAGTGTGGTTTTCCTTCCCCCCCCTCCCTCTGCGTAAAAGTTGGATTTGGGTGCGACTCCGCCCCCGGGTTCAGTTCCGTATCCCTGTGGGTCCTTTTTGACTCAAATCTTATCACCATCTGCATGGTGCACAGGTGCCTGCTTTGATGGTGTCCAGCTTGGTTGGGTTGGCAGGGGAGCATAATGTGCTTTGTCTGGTGCTGGTTTTGCCTCCCTCTGGCCTTGAGCCTGCATGCTTCCAGACTTGATGTCTGGAAGTATGCTGCTCTGACAGCAGTGTTTGCTAATGTCTTGGGCCGATATTTGGGCACAGGAGTTTTAGAGGTCAAACAGGTTATTGACAATCAAGTATCTTGTGAATGTTCCTGGTTGTTTGTGGCCTTGTGTGGCATTGGGTTCTGTCACAGCCGACTGTCTCCTCTTTGTTTTGATACCTATGGTGATGCCTTTTTCCTAGTAAGTGGCCTATTTTGTCCTTCTATGTAAGTAGTTAGCTTCAGGAAGCCTCAAGGGGGGAGGGGGTTTCCCCAGAAAACAAGCTCTGAATGTAATGAAACTCTAATTTCTGGGTGACATTGGAGGCTCCCTGATACCTTCCTTTCCCAAGGAGTTAGCTAGTTACATCATCATAAAGAACTGAAGGTGGTGCGAACCAGCTAACCTGATCTGAGTCCTTCCGCCTCCTCAGGCAAGGGAAGGGGGTGAAGTGAGGCAAACTAGCTTGCGCTAGTTTTATGAAATTTTGGCCGTTTGCTTTCATAATTGTGAGGTTTTTTGCATTTTGAGGCTGCGGTCTTGTTCTAACCACGCAGTAGACTGTTTTGGGTGCCTTTTTAGGTCCCTGGTGGTGGCAGACATGATTAACTTTAAATGTAAGGTGTTCATATTGCCACCTGCACCTCTCTGAGGGGGCTAGGTTCTGGCTTGCAGTCTCTGGTAAGCCAATAGAACTCTGCAACTGATGGCACCTAATAGTCTGGCACTGAATCAGTGAGATAGCTTTAGGAAGCCTAAGGGGCTCACCCAGAAATTAGTGTTTCATTACATTCAATGCTTGTTTTTTAGTTTATTTTTATATTTTTTTCAGGCTGTAACTGCAATCAAAATGTTTGAAGAATACATTGGTAAACACCCAGAAACTTTTGTAATGGATCCTCTCTCTGGGGTCTACAGACTTTTGCTGAGGAACCAGACATATGATCTATTACAACAGCGCTTCAAAAATGATGGTAAATTATTGCAACTTTCAAGTTTATATTGGGTTTATCTTAAGGCATTGTATGGGTTATAAAATCTGTTTCTTGCAGTCCAGATGATTACTCTAATGGACCTTATTCTGGTACAGTATCTTCATACTATATTTAATGTGTTTCTCGGGTATTCACATTTGGGCGCCCCCAAAGTTGAGATCTGCTGTGTCCTTTGGATGAGGATCCTGACAGTCTGGCAGGCGATACTCGGCATCGGAAACTTTTCGGCTGCAGAGGGTTCCTGCAGTCACAAATGATCATAGGGAATTGATACACCTGGAGATGAAGTGCCTTCGTTTTAATCCTGAACTTTCTTATCCTGGAGTTCTGACTTAATGGTATTCAATATGAAACATAAGATCCTATTTTAAAAATTAAGAGGACATTGTCATGAAGGCAAAAGCTAAAATTTGGATAACCAAATAGAATTTTACTTCAAGTTGGAGCGAGTAGTCGATCAAAACATGGATGTTGCAGACTCTTGGATGAAAAAAAGAGAAGAGAATAGCAGACAGTTGGGATCAAAGAACGTTGATAAGCATCCCAGTATATTACATTTGGTATAGTTGTGCCACATCATATTAATGTAGAATTGTAATTCAAACAATAGGGGCGGAAATTAGAAAAATTAAGTCACTAGGTACTACAGATCTTGAATGGATCTTAAGGTCAATTGAGCCCCTCATAAAATATTCTAGTGTCATCGGCAAAGAAGATGGGACTATAGTTTGTGTCCTTGTCTATGTCCAATATGAGGACGAGACAAGTACTGGAGCAAAGCACAGTACCCTGGGGGGGGGGACTATTTTCCATGGTGGCTGATTTGGATTTACTTTGTTGACTATTGCACTCTGGATCCTGTTTATTAACACTTTCGCTCACCCCGCACGCCACCCCTCAATAGTGCGATATGGGACCCAGGGTGTCACGGGAGCGCGCGTAAATTCTGAAAAGTGTATACTCTCCAACTTTGTCACCTTAATTCTCGTCCTACGCGATTAAATTTGGTATCATTGTGTTCGCAATAGATTTCTCTACAGCACTAAAGGCATATAAACTCCAAAAGCCCGGCTAATTATCCGCAGTAAACAGAGAAAGTGCGAACGAGTTACCCAGGAGCGCGCAAACGGGATAAAATGTGTTCACTATTTTCACTCTGGTCACCTCAATTTTTGTCCTAGGTCTTTCATTTTGGTCTCAATGGGTTCGCAATAGAATTCTCTAGAGGAACATTAGCATATAAAATATAAAACCTGGTCACGCTCCAACCGCCGACGAGTTGAAGACGGGCCACGCGTTAGCCGCGAGTGAGTGCTCAGACGCCTTCCAGCTACACTCCCAATTCCCTCCCTTTTCAAGCCTTTCTTTCGCAATTTTCTTCCTGGAAGGGTCTTGTTCATGATCACTATCCATCGTGGAGTAAGGGTAGATAGTTTCTAAAGCCGCAGTAAGAAATATAGCCACGGAAAATAGCCGAAATGTTCACACGTTTGAGATGCGAGGGGAGGCGACATTGGTCACAACAGTGGAGCGAAAACAATGGGCCCACGGCATGTGCCAAGCCACCTTAGGGCCACGAGGCTCAACAAAGAAAATGGGAAGACATCGGCGCACATTTTAAAACCAGTCCCCAAAAAATCGGATAAAAACCTGGTTTTTGGCGATTATTTAAAGTGGATGACGCAATGCTGCGTCATCCCCGGTATTACCGACAGTAAACGGATGACGCAATGCTGCGTCATGCCCGGGCGAAAGTGTTAAGAAACTAAAAAGGCATCTTCCCGCCACACACAATGACGAAACTACGACATTGCTACAACGTTTGAACAAGTTTTAACACCTCCTCACAAGTTGTAACAACCAATATAGCAAATTGTAACAACGTTCTGTCATGAAAACATTATTCCAAGATGTAACAACTTTATTACAAGTTGTAACCAGCAACTAAGGACCAATGTACTCCTGTTGCTATTACTACACTATATACACACATTTTATATACCCATGTACAAATGTGTTCACCAGAGTGAACCTCACCACAATTCCTCCTCCCACAATACTGCTGTTATCACAATACTGGTCACTAAATCCTGTAAATACATAATTGACCACAAGCTTTTGTAAAGGAACCCAATAAGTCATTTGAAGATTCCTAGATAGAGGAAATAATGCTGCGGTGCTGTGGCTAGTGCTGTGAACATCGTGAACAGCGTTGAATTACTAATATTTGAACATTGTACACAGTCATTATCACACTTGGGCTCTCCTGTAATACTATCATGGCTAAATAATACAAGTTATATATATTTTTTGGTATTATTAGGCGATGCTGTGGTCACAAGCTGAACAGCAGTGCTGTGAGCTTGTGCTGTGTGGGCCGGCCTTGGTTGCTCACTCACTACTAAGGCTCTCACACCCAGGAATGTGGACCACGATTTTTTGTGAAGATGGCATCTGTTTACAAGAGTCCTGAGGAAGCTGATGTGAACCCCATGTAGCCGCCGGAGTTTTGAATGGAACGTAAAAAATACAAATACTGTACCCGGAGGCGCATAGCGTACCCCAGACGTGAGCCTGCAGGCGCGTTGCGCAGTTAAAGGGTTAATATTAATATTGCTTTTTATTTGTGTATTTATTGTAAGTAAATACACAAATAAGTAAACAGCAATGTTTGACCTGCTGACACGATTTCCCCATCCTTGTTACCTTTTTCTCTTTTCGCCCTCCCCTCTCCTTCCCTAGGTGGCAGTTTGCAAAAGTGGACTGGAACCTCTTTACCCTCAGTACTACTCTCTCTGCCCTCTCCCTTCTGCCTCTCCCTCGCTCTCTCCTCCTTTTTCATGACACTATCTTTGACGCTGTCCTCCGCTCTATTCCTCGCTCTTCCTCTCGGGATCCACGGAAGTGCGTTCCCTGGTGGAATGCAGACTGCTCGGGCTGTCCGCTGTAAGCGTGCAGCCTGGAAGAGACACCGCCATCGGCGGACGGCCGATTTTTTTCTTTTCTTTCGGAAGGCGAGTACGGTGGCCCGTAGGGCCATCTGTACGGCTAAACGTGAATATTGGGCATCTTATGTCTCCACCATTACGTCCGAAACTCCTCTGCCACAGATCTGGAAGCGTATCCGCAAGATAGCGGGTAAGTTCGTTCCCGATGTTTCACCGGTCCTTCGCCTCCATGGTACTCTTGTGGCGGACCCGTTGCAGGTCGCTACCGAACTGGGTTCCCACTTTTCTTCTGTTAGCTCTGGTCTTCATCTTCCCCAATCTTTCCTTCTTCGTAAACCTGTCCTTGAGTCTTGTCCTTTGGATTTCTGTACTCGTCTTCGCCTTCCCTATAGCGATCCCTTCTCTCTCTCTGAACTTCGTTCTGCCCTGGCCCTCTGCGGTTCTACGGCGGCGGGCTCCGATGGTATTCATTATGAGATGCTTCGCCATCTCCCTCCGTGCATGTCTCGGTATTTACCGAGTCTGTATAATCGGATCTGGGAGTCGTCGTCAGTCCCTGAGGACTGGCTCGATGCCGTTGTCCTCCCTGTTCGCAAACCAGGGTCTCTGGGAACATCCCCTAAGGACTTTCGCCCTATTGCCCTCACAAGTTGTCTGCAAACTCTTTGAACGTATGGTTAACATTCGTCTGATGTGGTTCCTGGAACACCATCACCTCCTCTCCCCTTCTCAATTTGGTTTCCGCAAGTGCCGCAGCACAACAGATATCCTGGTGAACTTGGAGGTCTGTATTCGTACTGCTTTTGCTGCGAAGACCTCTGTTGTTGCCATCCTTTTTAACCTGGAAAAGGCTTACGACACCACTTAGCGATATCATTCTTTTGGCCTTCGTGGTTATCTCACTCTTTCTCCGCAGCTTCCTCTCTCGTCGTTCCTTTCGGGTGCTGCTTGGTACCGCTCTCTCTCTGCCTCTTTTCAGCAATACGAAGGTGTGCCCGAAGGTAGTGTTCTGAGCACTACTCTTTTTTCTTGTTGCCCTCAATGGTCTCTCTTCACTTACTTTTGATTAAATGAAAGCACTCATATTTTCTGCTCTAACTGAAATGTTATACTGTATATTAAATGGTGCAATAATGATACAGTAGTAGACTCTTTACATTAGTGAAGAATATTTATTTATTTGCTTTTTCTTACATTTACAGTTTTTTATTGCAGATAAGGTGTTCACTCCCACTTATGTGGAACTCTCAACAGCAAACTTACAACACAACCGATTGCTAATTCAGACGGCAAATGTTACATTCCCAGTGGGTAAGTACCGATTGCTCGTGTACAGTTGTCACAACCAAAAGGTCCCAGGTTCAATTTCCACAACAGGACCATGTTTGTTTGACCGATGCCTCTTAATACTGTATAGCAATAAATACGTACTGGGTAGCTAGGCAACTGTTGTGGATTGCATCCTGAGGAAGTTCAGTAGTTGGCCTAAGGGGGGACCTCAATAAGCCTAATATGCTTCCTGTCACTGACAATAGGAAACAATAAACCATCCCACCAAATTGAGAGCATAATATACAGAACTATATATATAATATACAGATCAGCTTGCATGTAGACAAAGAAAACTCTAAATATTTCAACTACCACATGCAGCATTATACAACACAAAAAAATAGTATCAGTGTATAATTGGTATGCAAATCAAGGTTCTAATATGTGTAATTTCCTCCCTAATGTAACAAAATGCTGTTTGATCCTTAACCACTGCACTGTGCAAGCGCCGTTAGGCGTGCTGAGAATTGTGCTATTTTGTTTAATTAGGCTATATTTTAATGTTTTTAATGTTTTCATTGCTCTTTGTGTTTTGAAATGGAAATAGTTGAGTTTGGAAACATTTTGACTAACTTTACCTGAATATTTATGAAAACAAAAATGTCATTGACAATTGCACTAGGAAGTTTTTGCCAAAAACAGGTGTGCAGTGCAGTGGTTAAGCAATTCAACTTGCCATAGCATTATCATTGCCCAGTTTTTCCACTTTCATTATCTTCATTACATTACATTTGCTTGGGTTAAACTCTTAACAACCATTTGTTTGACTATTCCTTCAGTTTGTCCAGATTTGCGATGATAGTATTACAGAAGACCCCTGACTGTGATAAAAAAGACCAGGATTCTGATAGTAGCAGGATTGTGATAATTAGTGTTGTGTATAGTATGGTGGGATATGTAATGCTGAAGAAGATAGTGTCTGCTGACTGTGTGGTCACCTGTTATTGTCTGCACTCACCATACCAGCTTACTGGTTCACTATGGTGAACACAAATATAGATAATTATATATAACGTGTGTGTGTATATAGTGAAATAACAGCAGAAGGTATATGTTGGGAGGAGCCATTTTTGGTAATGAAGGTGGTGTAGTCTGCTGGCTGCTGTCTCTTGTCATGCAATTTTGTTGTGGCCACTATGTTGTTTGGACACCATACCAGCTTTGTTGTGCAGTTATGGTGAATAAAAACATGTAGATACTTGTATATAATGTGTGTATATAGTGTAAAAACAGCACAAACAGTATAGTGGGAGTAGGAATGTTGGCAAGTGAGGGAGGGAGCATCAGCTGACTGTGTGGCGACCTCAATTGTCGTCTTGACTCACCATACCAGCTTAGTTGTACAGTTGGTTCACGTATTTTATTATATAAATATATAATATTACTGCAAAACAGCAGAGAAAAAATAAATCGGAGACGTTGAAATAATTAGGTAATAATATCTTTGAGGCAACTCCCGCCAGACAGCTTGGGTGGAGCAGACCACCTCCGATGTTTGCTCTGTCAATGCCTCTTTTCTGGGGAAAGCCCCTGCAGCTTCCTGGAGCTATCCAGGCTGATATAGATATATTAAACTTTGGCATCAGTCAATGTGCATGGAGTTATAGACCTACCGGATACCACGAGCCAGAACCTGACCCCCTCAGAGAGGCACGAGGAGCAATGGCCTATAGAAACCCTTGTGTGGTGAGGCATTCTGTCTCCCATGGACCGGGTCAGGCACCCAGAAAGGTAAGCGCCCCCAAAACACACCCCTATTCTGGTTAACATTGCTACTGAAAGTATGAAATGAAAATGCATAAAGAGCATCACATCACCAAGTCACCGCGCCGCTATCTGTGCAATCCCCCCTCCACCAAACTGGAAAGGGTGAGCCCCAGACCCTAGTTCATCGGCTGATGTGATTGGCAACGGTCGTGTCTCTCTGCCTCCTGTCTCCAACTCTGTGCCTTGTGGCATGGTGCTATGTCCTTGGTGGTGTACGAGCCAGGAGTAATTTCACAAGTACTCGGGCTACATGTGCCTAAGGTCACCTTCCCTAGGTGCCCTGTAAGTACTGCCCTTGGGGCCGCCATCCACAAGTCCCCTTAGGATCTACCTCCGCGATGACTTTTGCTGCTCGGTGATGACCGCCTTTGGAGTCAGCTGGGATGTTCGTGCTTCCCTGTTGGCTTCTGGGTAGGGGGGTAGTTTTCATCACTAGTTGGGGCGCAGGGTACTGTGCAGCTAGGTATCGCCTCTCATAGCGGCCGGCTCTGTTTCGCCTGGGTACGTTGTTCTCTTGTGGGGTTTTATTTTCCTTTTTTGTTTTCCTGCCTAGTGGGGGGGTCTGCCTTTGATTGGTCACACTCAATTGTAATTTCGTGGTCCTCTGCTAGGCCTCTGCGAGTGTACACGTCCCGGGGGTTCAGCTTTAGCAGTTTGCTCAGTAGTTTTGGGTGCAATTAGCAGTACTCTGCCTGGGCTTTCCTTAGCGGAATACCACGACTAAGGATCCTGGGAAACCCTTCAGGGGCTCAGTGGATCAAAGGATGCGACCCCTGGGTCCCCTCTTGCTTCATGAGAGATTGAAGGTTGCTCTGTCCCCTTGTATCAGAGTGACACTCACTGGGTGTGCCTCAGTCATGTTGCCTAATGGGTTGGTGACACATTAGACCTGCAGTCTTGCGAGTTTTGTTGCTTGTTCGTACTCCAGTTCACCCAGACCAATGATCATGTGTGGGTGCAGGCAGCTTTAGCGTTGCATGCTGCAGCGCGCTAGGATGGTTGCTACCCCAGATGCTCCAAGACTGCCCTGCTTTAGTTATAGGGACCTGGACTTTGGGGGATGTTAGTCACCTCGACTTTGGTTCCGTCCGCACCCCCGTGTCCTCTTCCTTCAGTTGTGCATCCTGGTCCTTACCCTTTGCTTCCGGTTCCAAAGTGTCTGAGGGCTTCAGAGTCGGGGCAGGGTTTAGTCAGTGTTGAGACTCGGGCAGTTTTGGGGGAGTCCCCTTCCGGAGTGGCGGCGGAGGCATTCGAGCCTGGTCCTCCGGCCGGAGCTTCTGAGTATGACCAGTGGGCCTCCTTTGATCTTGCTTTTATGCCTGCTCCTGCATTTTCTTTAGAGGCGGGGAGTTTAGTGGACAGCCCAGCCCCGGGTCTTTGTTGGGAGGTTCCCGGGGCGGGAAAGGGATTGACTTGGGATCCTTGAGCCCCGTTAGACCCCACTTGGGTTTTTGTACCCTCAGACTGGGGCTAGGTGTTAGTGATTTGGGTTTTCTTTTTCCCCCCTCCTCGTACGCGTTGGATTTGGTGTCTACCCCTCACCGGGTATGGTTCGGTGATCCTGAGGGTTCTTCGGTCCAGTCTTTCCAGAGGTTTTCGGCCTCCAGCATCCCGCCCCATGTGGTGCAGGAGGCCATTGTGGCTTACCTCCTGTGTGACCCGGATTATGCCTTTGTAATGGATACTACTACTTTCGTGTGTGGAGCTTCCTGTCCCTATTGAATTCGTTACGAGGTTCCAGAGTCGTCCTGGCTTGTAGACTGCTCTATTTTCTCGGCGGCGCATTTGTTCTGTCAGTCCAGCATGCTTGAGTGGCACAAGGCTCATACAGTAGTTCAGGATTTCCTGGGGGGGGGGGGCAGTTTGAGCATCTTAATGCATGCTTGTTTGCCCCTGCTCTTCTTCGGGATGTCGGTGTGGTGCAGCTTCATGTGTAGGTTCCTTCTCTTTAGGCTGCGTTGGTCACTAAAGACTTGCGTGCCCATGGCCTGTTGGCTTCGGCCTTGCAATTCTTTTCCCTTCTTGAGCTGTCCTCGAACTGGTTTGAGGAGGATGTCGAGGGGCCGCTCCTGGGTCTGGTGCGTTGGTCTCGGTGGTGCGTGCGTCTTTTGAAGCTGTTTAAGCTGATCCTGCGGGATGCAGTGTTGCTGTTTTTTTTGCTTCCCATCTCGAGTGTCAGCAGGTGGTGCTTTCTTCTTCTTTTGGAAATTGCTCAGGTCCTTGCTCTCAGGCTTTCTTCGCCTTTTTGCCCGTTGTTGTTTGCAGAATCTGCAATGGTGCAGTATCTGCAGGCAACTTCGTCTAGTTGTTGTCCCATGTCGGACGTGTTGGTTCTTCAGGGGGCCCCGTGGGGGTCTTCCTGGAAGGGTCGTGCTAGGGCTCATGGTTCCTCCCGTCGTGGTGGGCCAGTGGTGCCAGTTTCGGTGCCGGCGCAGCCATCGGACCCCCTCTTCGTCTGGTCAGTGTGGTGATCGCTCAGTGCAAAGGTTGGGTTCCTGTAAGGGGAGTCGGCCCTTTTGCGGATCGTCCCATTGACGGGGCAATGGGGGGGGGGAGGGGAGGTTTATTATCAATGATAATATTTGAAGTACAATATACTCTTTATTTACAAATATCCCCTAGGAGGCCTGGCAAGAGACCGGGCCACGGGGACCCTGACCTCCAGAATCTATGCAAGGTATCAGCAAGGAGGTGAATAGTGGTGTGGTTTATAATGCTGCTATTGGTGGCATCAAGAGCGTAGGTGGTAGATAAGCTGACTTGTAATTATGGTGCTCGGTGATCATTGTGTTGGCAAGGTGCACTTGTAAAGGCTTTTTGAGTGTATTATTTAAACTTTCTACAGTTCTGCTTAGCTAGATGATATCCTCCAATGTTTGTAAGTTGAAAAGTTTCCATGGTACCACTTCCGTATCTCAAATATCGCCCAGCTTGATTGCATGACTCATTTTTCCATTAACAGAGGAATTTTACCTTGGAGGGGGGGGGATAACCAGGTGGGTCTGATTAAAAATGTACTTTTTATATACTTTACACTCAAAGCCTATTTTGTAGTCTTTATTCTCTGTGAATGTGTTCTTTGTACATTGATGTACTGTATATCTTCAATGATTAATATTTGTTCTCTATTCTCAGTTTGTAAACCGGTCACTGCAGGTGGGGGAATAGAAGCCCATGAGGTAAGTTGTGTGCTATTTGAAGTACAATATACTCTTTATTTATTTATTCATTTACTAGCTGTACCCGGCCACGCGTTGCTGTGGCTCAGCAATGCATGTGCGTTGCTGAGCCACAGCAACCTTCCCCTGTCTCCCAGTCCTCTTCCCCCATTCCCCCCTCCCCCATCCCCTCGTCCTCCTAAACATTCCTCACTCCCCCCACCTCCCATCCCCTCGTCCTCCTAACCATTCCCCACTCCACTGTCCCCTTGTCCTCCCCACCACCTCCCACTCCCCCATCCCCTCGTCCTCCCCTACTATTCCCCCTCTCCCCCGTCCCCTCGTACTCCCTACCACCCTCCACTCCCCTGTCCCCTTGTCCTACCCAGCATTCTTCATTCCCCCGTTCCCTCAACCCCACTATCCCCATGTCCCCCATCCCCCTCGTCCTTCCCACCATCCCCATGTCCCCCATCCCCCTCGTCCTTACCACCATTACCCCCTCCCCTGTCCCCTCATCCTCTCCACCATTCCCCACTCCCTCGTCCGATGCATTCCCAAAAGATCTGATGTTCCCATCAGAAAATTGAAATCATCACTGAAATATCAGAAAAAGTTAAAAAAAAAAGAAATGAAAATATAAAAAAATATAAAAAATATAAAAAGTAAACTATACTTATTAAATTATGGGTATAGTCACACAGCTCAATTCCAACACAGTCACACAAAATAATTATATGAAAATGAAAATAAGTCAAAATCTATGAAAATTCCATTTATCAATGAAATTGGAAACATTGAAATGGAATCGTAACATGTTTAATATAGCGTGTGTTGCTCTTACGTGCAACAGATGACACTGTTTTTTAAAAACAGCATGTTATTACCTGTCACAGGTGTGGCATCTATACTTATTTTCACGAAATGAATGGTATGGTAAACAACACGGCTCCATTCCTATGTAATGTCATACCAAATAATTAAATGAAAATGAAAATAAATCGAAACCTATGAAAATTTAATTTGTCAATGCAATCGAAAACATTGAAATGGAATTGGAACATATTTAGTATAGCGTGTGTTGCTCTTACGTGCAACAGATGGTGCTGTTTTTTAAAAAAGCTTGTTCTTACATGTCATTGGTGTGGCATCTATATAGTAGGTATATAAAAACACGAGTGTATTCGAACGGAACGTTGTGTCTCAGTTTCAAAGCAATCGGTGAAGAACTTTTGGAGATTACAACATGTGTTGCTCTTACGTCAACAGATGGCGCTGTTTTTAAAAAAAAAAGAATGTTTTTTTTCCTGTCACAGGTGAGGCATGTATATAATACGTATATAAAAACACGCCCTTATTCGAATGCAACGTTGTCAAAATTTCATAGCAATCGGTAAAGTGGTTTCAAAAATTTCCCTGATATGAAAAAACACACGAAAAACACAGTTTTCCCAAAAGTATGTTTTTTTTTCCTGTCAGACCTGACATCTATATAAAATATATATAAAACCTCGCTCTAATGTGAATGGAACGTTGTGTGAAAATTTCAAAGCAATCAGTGAAGAATTTTCGGAGATTAGCGATTTTGAACAAACTAACATTTCCATTTTTATTTATATAGATATACAAGAAGGTATATTGGGTTTGAGACTACTGTATTTTACTGCCATAGACTTCCAATTAATGTGGTAATAAACTGCAGAGTAAACCTACATGAGAAATGTATTAAAACAAATATCAGTTTACCACATTTAATGTTAGAACCTACATAGATTTACATGTCAAGACAATAAAATCAAAATGATAACCATGGCCCCAGTTTTGTCTTTTACATGAAAAGTGTGACTAGATGTTCACCATAGCTCGTATGGTGAGTAAAGGCACAGATAATGTGGCTACTCACAGTCGGCTGATCGGCGGCCGCCCTCAAGGCCAGACGCACTAATATTTCTCCTCCAACAATACTGTGTGGTGTATTACGCTATATACACACACATTATATAAAATATCTACCTGTTTTATGCACCATACTTGTACAAATAAACTGGTATGGTGCCCAAAGACCATCGTGGTAATCAGTAAACAACACCGTCGTCTGCACGACGCCACCGTGCAGACGACGCCACCGCCCTCAACAAAATGGCGGCTCCAAACCTTCTCTTGCTCTTTATACCCTCTATACGCACGTTATATATAAGTATCTACATTTGTGTTCACCATAGCGAACCACTAACCACTAAGCTGGTATGGTGAGTGCAGTCAATAAAAGGTGGCCACACAGTCAAAAAGACATCGCCACCACCCTCCCTCCCTCAGCATTACACCTCCTTCCATGGGGCACAGCGCTAAATATCACCACAATCCTGTTATTATCAGAACCCTGGTCAGTTTTATCAAAGTCAGGGGTCTTCTGTAATAATATCATCGCTACATAATAGCATGAACAAGTATAATTTGGCATTTTTAGGCGATGCTGTGGTCACAAGCAGAACAGCAGTGCTGTTAGCTCATGCTGCGTGCGTCAGGCTTGGTTGCTCACTCAATACTGAGGCCAATAACACCCGGGAGTTTGGCCCACGATTTAAAAAAAAAATGGCGTCTGTTTACAAGAGCCCTGATG